TCTCTAGAATACAGTATATTTTCAATCTATTACTATTTTATTATCATAAAAATATGTGGATAAATATAAAATACGTGATAAAAGAGCTCATAAAAATACTTTTTTCAAAGCTATGCTGTATGTATTTAAGGGACTTTTATTTTGCCATAAAAGTTTACTTCTTTCCCATGAAACCTAAAATTTTAAATAAACAAATACCCGCTTGGATTATTAGTGCCTGAATATTAATATTTCCTTTCTTTCTTCTCAATTCACACACATATGTATATTCCATCCTAAAAGTTTTTGGGAATGTCCCAAACGGTGGATGATGTTGCTCCAGTTGCTTTTGGGGGGGCCCCCAAAAAATTTGTAATTCCCAAACGAGGCCGTGCAGCATTCTCATGCTAAACACGAACCAAGAGCGATTTACTGGCACTTTTTCTTTATTTTCCTCGACTCCATATCCCGGAGAGTAGAGAGTATGTGTGTGTCAAAAGGCAGACAGCATAAATAACACGAGCCGCAAAAGAAGAAAAGATGCCCAACAAGGGCGAGGAAAAACACGTGCAAAAAAAAACCTGCTTGGTTTTCCTCTTGTTTTGCGTTTTCCTTTCCTTTTTTTCTTGTTTTTTTTTTTTTAAGGCAGCCGCTTGATAATAAAAATCAAATAAAGCCGGGCCAAGTCGAAGAAATGACTGAAACCGCAACGCCAAAGAAAGTGAGGATGGGAAAAGGGCAATGGAAAGTAAAATTTCACACACGCGCCAACGCAAACAACAGAACAAAAAAAAGAGGAGATGTGTAAAGGAGGGCGGACAGGAAAAAAACACGTAAATAAATAAGAAGCGTGAACTTGAATTGATTTGCTTAAGAGTGTTACCCGAACCACTTCTTGTTAGGCGTAAAAACATCATAATTATAACGAGGTAGCAATTTGTATGGCTCGGATCAGACAACGAGGCGTATGAGCGACGCGCAGCCACCGCGGCGGATGAGCAACACGCTCGTAAGGAACTTTTTTATGGCACACACGGGCATAAAATTTAAACCGAATGTCAAGAGAAAAAGGTTAAATGCAGCTGTAAAAATTCATGCGGCCAAGGGGCGGGGCCAAAGCGGAGTGTGAGCTGCAAAAAAGATTTATGAAAAATTGGCTTTTGTTGTTATGGCCGTGTTGTTGGTCCTTGTTGTTGTGGTTGCTTCCCCCCAGTGCGTCGAGGGGCTTCTCTTTGCAAGTAAACAAGATAACATGGCCGAAACACACACACACACACATAGGCACACTCATCCCGAAACTCACACACATGCGGTCGAAGGTCCGTGAACGGAAATGAAAATGTGAACTTTATGACAGAACTCGACTTTTTTACCGCTGCCGTTCGACCTTCTGCGCCCCGCCGTTCGTTAGGATATCCGCCTGGGTCTCGCTCTTTTTTTTCAACAGCCAGGCCAGGCCGCATTTTTATCAACTAGAATAAATAAATCAAAAACTATATGGCCTGAGGTCAGCTAGGCTTACACCCTTTACTTGTGACCTTACATGCAAAAAATTAAGGGTATATTATAAGGCTTTTACTGCGAATTTAATGGGAAAATAATAATTTATTATTTACCTTTGATAGAATTAAAGGAAAGAGAGGTTTTTATTATAAAATTTAATTTAATTTATTGGTTTTTATTTTTTTATATCACAAAAAATAGTAGCATTAAGCCAGATTAACACGGAAATTGCAGTGCATATTGCCCCAATTTATTTATCAATTTATAAACCATAAATAGGGTAAGGTGGGGTAAAGCCGACAGTGTGGGTAAACCCGACCTCCCTCTGTTTTCGAAAATCGGAAGCACTACGCAAAATAATATTAGTGTTGTCGTGTAGAGCATCGAAAACAATGTAAATGGTGGTATGACAGCATTTTATTAGTCAACATTGAGATGGTCAAACGACAACAAGTTTGTTTTCACAATTTTGAATTTCATTTTTGTGCATAATTAACTGCAGGATATTTCTTTTTGTCAAAGTTATCGCATGAAAAGGTAAGTGGATTTAGATTCTTTGAATAAAGTCCTACAAAGTGCATATAAGTTTGGTTCATTTTTTTTCATAATTTCTTTTTTAATTGCGTTTTTATGAAAAATTACGTGGTGGGGCAAATCCGACCTCTAAATAGCGGGGTAAATCTTGCCGCAAAAAATCCAAAAAAAACAACAATCACACCAAAACCATCAACATCGCAGTCAACCAGACGTTCAACTCGAACCAAAAAACGCCAGCAAGCTATTTGAGCAGCGAATCAGAAGATACTGATTAATTATTTTGCTATTTAAATTTTTTTAATTCTTTTATCTTTTTTTACCATTATATAACATAACATTGATTGATTTATCATTGCAACACCTATATTTAGGTTATATCTGTACTATATCAACCAAAAACATAGGCGGTCGGGTTTACCCCATCATTTTTGAACATAGCAAAAATGAACTTTTTCGTAAAACGCTTGTATCTCAAAACTTTTCAAAGGTATGAATAAAATGCTATGCATAGAACGTTGCGCAAAAGTCTAACCTTTAATTTGGTATATATAACGACTTTATCCGATGTAAAATAAGCATTTTATAGCCAAAACCATTTACTAGGTCGGCTTTACCCCACCTTACCCTAAGCATTATGAAAAAATAAAATAAAAAATATATGGAATATCAAAATAATAATCTGAGCTGCCATAATTTTCATTCTCGTTTTCATGTTGAATTGAATTTTATCTGTTGACCGCAAAATAAACAAAGATGCCAAAGCAATTTTGTGGCCAATCAACACAAAAACAAATAGTGTGTGCATGTGTGTGTGTGTGTGTGTTTGTGCATAGAACTATCTATGCACATTGGCCAACATGGGTTAACTGGGTTAAAATGACAAACGCAATTGGGCACAGCAACAATAAAAACAACAACAAAAAGCAAATTCTAGTCTGTCTAAGACATTTTTGTTAAACATTTGTTGGCCTTTCTTCGCGTGGCTTCCTTTTCTCTGACATTACAGTAAACACTCGATAAGGTAAATGGGTAAGAATTTTAAGAATTTATTGGAAATTTGTAGGATAACAATTTTTTAAAAATGTGGAGGATATTAAATAATATTAAATTAATAACTGAACTTATTAATATTTAAAAAGTCAATTAATATATAATTTCTACATTTTATATTTTTATGAAATTTATGAAATTTGCTGAAATTCAGTTAATTTTATAAATTTCTTCACTTCTTAGAGTGTAAAAAATGCATTTTCTTAACTAAATATGCCCTGTACTTTTTGATTTTTTCCTTTTTGTTATTGCACATTTCTCGTTTGGCCATGTTTCCCACATAAATGTAATTTCGTTTTTATTGGCCTTTTACAAATTTGTTCTCCGCCGTTGTTTATGTTTATGCATTTTAATGGCACAGTAACCGGCAGCCAAGTCGAAAAATTTGGCAAGTGAAGCGGCCTGCAGGCAGCCGGCGCTTGCCAGCCGTCTGATCTTTGGCCCCTGGCCACCCGCCCGCCAGAATAAAACCCCTCTGGCCCATCGACCCTGGCACAATATCAAAGTCAAATTGTGTGTAAAATTCTGAGGCCGAATAAAATCATCAGCGGCGGAAAATGTTGAAACCAATTCAAAGCTGATGACTAAATGATGAGCCAAAGTGATGGGCAGAAAAGGGCCGGCATTTCGGGAATTTGGAACAAATGCGTCATGTTTCCAGGTCATTAGATTTATTTATTGAACCAATTTGATTAGCTAAATTCAACAGGCAAATTCTTTAGACCGAAAAAACAGAGAGAGATTTGAATTATTCCAGGAGCATTTTGTTGGAAATAATGTACGACATTTCTTTGTAATGATTATTGTTCTTTCTTTTATCAGGGAACATGTGTTTTTTTCATTAGAACATAAGTCTCTCTTTGTTATAGGCAATACAAAAAACAGAAAATAATTACAGTCACTTAATTGAGTTAAATTTTATTCATATTTTTATGGTGAAAAAAAAACAAGGATTTCTGCTTGCTCTAAAAGTCCAGCAACTGCACAAATGATTTGCTTTAAAATTGTATTTATTATTTATTATATTTAATGTGTTTATTTACCATTCAACAAAAGACTGTAAATGTTATTAAATAATAATTACAACTGTACATAATTCCATAAACATGGAATATATTCAAAAAACTCGTAAAATTTAATGAAAAAATTATTTATGTCCACTGTTTTTATGTCCCAACTATAACAATAATAATCAACTACAAATGAGTGAAATTTATTTAATTTATTAAATAGTTGCAATGTCCCACAAAATAAGCTGTTAAAGCTCTATCTAGCTGTATGGTTAATTACTTCTCTCTAAATAATTACAAGCTAAGAGTGAGGAGCCTTAAAGGAAGCTCAAACTTTGATTGCTACCCAAAACCCCTCCCTGTTCTTGATTAATTTTTTTTCTATCTAAAGATAACGATTATGTCCGTTCCCTGGGATTATTAGCTAGTCATCTGAACAGATTGCTTCCCCCCTCCCAGAGCAGTTCTAATTGCATTCGATATTCTCCTACCCGTACCCCTTTCCGCTCTCGACTGCTTGGCAGCTACAATTTCAAATACCCAGGGATATTCGAGCGGAAGATTGGGGTACAGACTCTGCAAATCCCTTGTAATCCGAGCCGGAGGAAGAAATCACAGTCGCAATCCTTTGGCTCCTACGGACGACTGCCACTCAGGAGTGTCGCTGGCGAGAAGAAGTTCGGGCGAAAGTTGTTGAAAAATTGCAAAACGTTAATCAAAGTTAAGCGGCGGCGCCGACGACGTCAAAGTTAATTAAATTACAAAGTTATTTAATACTTTGGAATCGTTCAGCAGAGGTGGCGGCACCAGCAGGAGCCAGCGTAGCATCCAGCCAGGCTGGCTGGCAGGCAGCATCTGCTCCGATGAACTCTGCCCCATTCGTCCTTCGTCCCGGGCAACGTGTGGCAGCCCTTAATGAAATGTAATTGAAATGAATTTATTTTTCTCACACTTTTTCGTGGACTGTGAGGGTCTGTGTAATGGAAGCATTTCGTGTGCAGCAGCTTAATTCATTTTCAGTCGGACGCTGACCAGTTAATGCCATCCTCCTCGGACGTGGAGTCCAGCTCCACATCGTTGTATACCTCGTACATTTCCACGTCCTCGCCTCCGTTGTATTGGTGTGAACTCTCCATCTTTGGCTCCATCAGGAAGGCGGAGTTGAGAGCTGTTGGGGTTAAAAGTTGTTATGACGAGGTGAAGATGATGATGATGGCTGCATAATTAAATTAACTCGGGATAACCCGGTTCAGTACTTGAAGGAATTTAAGCATATTTTCTAGCAAAAAAGGGTTGCAGATTGATTTTAAATTATATCAAGAAGTATTTCCTAGAAATAAGCTTGTGGAAAATGTAATTTAAAGAGAACTAAAGTCGCAAAATTAAAAACTAATCAAAAAATCTGAAAATCTATAAGTACCTGCATGAGTTATCTCATCCTTGGCCTCGTATATATCCTTTTCGAAGACTTCGCTGCGTGGCATTAGAGCATCCACACAGGCAACTTTCTGGCGAGGATCTAAGACCAGGACCTTGAAGCTGTCTTCCTTCGTCAAGGCACTACCGGCCAGCGATAGATTCGGCTCGCAGCCCAGGTAAAATCCATTGAGGGCCCGCTGGGCGCTCAGCTGGTTCTCGGCATGGCATTGGCGCACCTCCTCATAGCTCTTCTCCGTCCTCTTCTTAATCAGTGTGCTCTTGTAGCTGTGCGCCCCGGGAAAGGGCGGGAAATTGTCAGGGATGTGAGAGCATCCGGCCAGCTCACGGGTGTTGGTCTCGGTCAGCATCGGCTCTGGCCCCTTGTGGAAGTCTTCGTCGCGTGTCTCCGGCTTTGGACACTGGACAGGGTGCTGGATGCGTCCCTGACTACGAATCATGGCCCTGAGGTCAGCCGCGGCGATGCCCATCTGGCCAAAGGTGCGCTCCAGATCAAAGAAGCTGGGCACAGGGCGGCCGGCATGATTGGAACCATTACTGGTGCGAGTGCCAATCTCACGGATTTCTCAAGGGAATAACGAAAGTTTAATCATTTCCTTGGCTATCGAATAGGAAAGGGGGTTGAGTTACTTACTGTTCCGCAACAGTTCCACCAGCGTATGACGCATGAATCCGTCCTCCAATTCGCAGTCCTTGGCTATCAACATTTGGTCTACCACTTTATACAAGGCTTTATCGTAGCAATTCATTTTGAAAATAAGAAAATAAGAGGGAAGAAAAAACCATAGTAGAATTATAATTCTACTATGGAAAAAACTATGCTGAGCTAAGAAGGAAATGTCAAGGAAAAACACTGCTGAAAAACACTTGTGAAAAAAGAGTTGCAGAGTTGTAAGAAAGGACTTATTTGTTATCGATATTTGATAGACTTGTAGGATAGCCAAAGTAATCTTTAAGTTTATGTACACTTTCAAGAAAATATTTATAAATATATGTATGTCATAATATATCAGACCTGAGCAATCTATGACCATTACTTCTCAATGTCTTAATAGTTTAAAAATATCAAAAAACATGAAAAACAAATCATATAAATAATAGTATTACCCAATAACAACTCCCCTTCGTATATACATATTTCCTCCAAAGCCGCCTCCACTTTTCTTAACTAATTTACACAATCTTTCCATGATGCTGAGCACAAAAGGCCGTCGCTGCTTAGCAAAATTAGCTACCGTTTGGGGAACTATGTATCTCTCTGCCACCACACCCCGAAAACTAATTAAAATATTTTCGCCTTATGCGATCGCGACAAACTGCAAACTGCTTAGCATCCGAACCCTCCGCCCCTCCTGCAGATCCATCCATAAGACCATATCTCGAACATCTCTCCTAATGAGTTATGCAAATATTTGCAGCTGAATGGCCGGCTTCCAGGAAAATAATAGCGAGACAGGTCAGGCCAGCGTTCGGCCATCCAAAAAGTGGGAGCCATTGTTTGGCCAATGACAAATTTTCCAGACTCCGTCACAGATAAGCCGAAACGTGAGGCATAATCAGTCATAGAGCGCGAAAAGAGAACGGAAAACTACAGGGGGAAAACGGGACTCGTTACGCGGTACTTGGGACTTGGGGAAAACCCAGGCACGAGGTCACTGTGTCGCAGTGGAAAAGGCACTTAAGATGCAGACAGATTCGCGCTTGCGACGCCCAACAGGCTGCTGCAATTGAACAAATTGTCCGACCTCCTAGAGCCCCTACACAAGTCCCCATCTCCGTGTCTAGTTCCAATCTTTACGATCATCGTCATGATGGAGCTGATGATGGGCATTATGTTGCCTCAGCTCCGCTCGGTCGTGCATTGTGGGCGTTCCATAACTGACAGACGTACAAAGAACTCGCCCGTCGTATCTGCGATCTCATGTTTTTTTGCCTCGAAGCGCTACCGTTTAAGGCGTACACGCGAAAAAATATATCTTAAATGCTTATCAAATGGTTACAAATTTATTAGCAAGAAACCTTGATCTTAGGCTGGAGGTAATTGGAACAGATTAATCTGTTATTCATACAAAATAGATACAAATAAAGGCAGAGCTGAATTTTCTTAGATTTTTGTTTTGATTTTAGGCTACTTAGCTTTTAAATTATTACTATAAGATGTAAAATCTTGTAAATATTAACTAACAGACATGGCACAGAGTTAATATAACAAAAATCTTATTTAAAATTTAACTGACTTTAATCTGAAATATAAATAGGAAAGCTCAATTTAAGTAGTAAACATTTTAATGAATTCCTTAGTTGTTCCTACAGCTAGCAGTGTCTTTTAGCCATTTATTGTAAAAGATAAGTTGGCTTTTTATTGTGTTTGCTCAACTTAATTACCATTCACTTTGTTACAAGTAAATGCCACAAATTTTTGTTTAGTTTTCCAGTGGGTTATGACTAGTGTTTACTGTAAAGTTTAAGCTAAAGTTAAAACGTAATTAAAAACAATCAGATAATAAAAACTAATGAAAATACCGTAATTATCAGTCTTTAGGATCCGGTTTATAGTTTCTATTTTAACTTTAACTTAAAATATTTAATCAAAGTTCCTTTACTTACTTTATTTATTATATTTATTTTCAACGTTCTTTCTTTGCTCCCCTTTATTTTCTCTGTGCAAAATTGTGATACAATTCTGTTGACATGCTAATTTATGCACTCGCATTAGCGGTTGCGCCCATTGTCGCATAAATTTCATTCATAATTAACAAGATGAGCTGCAGAGAGAATGGAGGCTGCCGCGTTGCAGTTGCTAGTTGCATCCTACATTGCAAGTTGTTTGCTCAGACGACAAACAAAATAATTGCCGCAATTTAGCCGACGGGCACCGTAGCCTCAAATTGAGCTGTCTCTGGCCAAAACGGGCTAATTCGAACGATTAATTCGATAAGCTTGCAGCTCCAATCGGACGGGACAAACGGGCCAAAGAGACAGTTGGACAAAACCCGCAGCAAATTGATTGAGCAGCCGATTACTGTGGAAGTCAGAGTCACAGTCCCCCTTTGCAGTTGCAGTTACTCTCCCACTCCTCTAATCCCGGCCAGAGGCCCGGTGCAAATTGCCCCGTCGGCTGGCGAACACTACAAAGCACCAGCAAATTGTTCCAGTTTCCGAGGCGCAGATAAATCTATTGAGATATCGACCTCCGGTCTGCAACTCCCCATCCTCTGCCTCTTTTTCTCTAGCGATCTTGCACCGTTAAGCCCACGCAGGCCAAATGCATTCCGCCCCGGATCTCTGCCTCTGGATAGGAGGCTGTGCATCTGGATCACGATCTTCTGGGTTCTGGGCTCTGGGCTCTCCGTTCTCTGGAAGCAATCAGGGTGTAGGCATGATGTTTATGACAGGCCACTGCCGGAACTGGTGGACAGGTTAAGCCACGTTCTTCTGAAAAGAGATTGAAAGGGTAATGGAGCCACTTGAACTATTCACCTGGAAGAGAAAGAAATTGGGAAATTCTAAAGATTTTAGCTTAGGTTGTGTAGTCTTTATAAAACTTATGCCTGATCTGTGATCACTTGGCTCTAATGATCCCCTCTAATAGAGCTCATTATAGCCTAGTATCCCGCTGGCCATTTAAAATCAAAGTTCGACAAGAGCACGACTTTTTGCCGGCTCTTGCAAATCGCTAATGACACAATCAATGCAAACTTGCGTAATTAGAGCCCGAGGAGCATTGCCAGCCAGATGGTCAACTGTTTTGGGCCACATTTGTTTGATCAATGGCCCCAGTTAGTGGGCCCACGGAAGCCGGTAGCCACAAAGCGCATTCGTCAACCCGCCAAATTGTGTTAAAATGGTAAAATGACAAAGGCAATAACAATTACAATTATTGTAAGTTATTGTGCGGCGTGGAAAACGAGTTTGCCTGACCAGCAGGTGCCACCATAATTTACTGTACAATCTTTGGTATCCGAATTGGGAAATCAGTTACAATAAAAAGAAACTGCCGCCTCCAATCTCTGAGTACTTGCAAACAATGACGGAATCGGTGAGCTACATTTATTTTTTTTCTTCCAATTTTTGATATGTCGCAGTCTTATCTTATCAGTGCGAAAAAAAACAGTTGCCAAGTTAAAATAGGTTAAGAGGGAACAAAAGGGTTGGCATGAAAGCCTCTTACCTCTGACTGATTTTATGTTGGGACTGTAATATTTTTCATATTTGGTGCCATTTTCAGAAATTGTTTAAATAAGGATTGTGGAAAGCTCGTAAATTTTAAATCCCCTCTTAAATAAATATTGATAAAATGCAAAAGGTACTTAAAATGCACAGAATTCTCGTATTTTTCACACATTTATTGGGCATTTTTTCAGAATTTTATATTTGAGTTTATAAAAATATAACAATATTCAGAGCCAATGTAAAGAAAAATCCTTTATCTTTACTTTGTACTTATGTAAATAATTTTTATTTATTTACAGAAAGGAAACCTTTGCTTTATAGCTTTTGTAAACATTTAAAATGATTTAATTTTTCCCACAATTTTTAATCCTAATTTTCAGTGTATACAAACTTTTAGCAAGCATAGAACTACACTTTATTTGTCCAAACATATATATTCCTTTTAAAATTTTCCACAAGAACTGTTTCAAGTAAGAGGCACTGTATTTATTTGCAGTTTGTTTGCTTTTTTGATATTATTAGGGCACTTGCACTTTGAAACTTTTGCTCTGACTTCTTTGCACTTCGACATTTGTCTGCTAAAAAACTTTTCCCACCCCCGCCGACTGCAGGTTGTTTGCACTTTCCGCAGAGCTCCGAGAAAGCTTCCTTTTTTGTGACGAGGCTATGCAAATCGAATGGAAGAGATTGGTACTGGGATTGAGTTAGAGATTGAGAGATATACATAGATAGAGACTGGCAGACAGACAATGTTGCAATTTAGCCTTTTATGACAAAGTTGACAAAGTAATTTTGCGGCGAGACTGGAGACTCGCTTTCTATTTGCTCTCCGGTTTATGGGGTTCGGTGTCATGTTCGGAGCCGCCTATCTAATCACAGGGCAGGTGGCAATATCGTAAAGGGAAAACTCGGTTAGCGATCGAAATGTCTTGATTAATTCTAATTGACACAATTTTTTTGGCGAGACTTGCTCTTCTTTTATCATCTTCCTTTTTTAATAACGTTTTGTATTGACCAAATTGAAATTTATTGCCGAAACAAATGGCGAATTATGTCGAATGGAATTTATTAAATTACTTCTGCCAATTGAAAGCGGGCAAAACTCGAAATTAAAAGCGGTCTGAGGTGCGGAAGTGCGGAACGCGTGGCACATTTATTAATTCCATTTCTATTCAGTTTGCCAGAGAGAGAAACGTACGGAGTCTTCGTCTGCTCCGATTTCGATTCGATTTAAATTCAAATCAACTTCTCAAAGCTGGCGGCAAATTTATGCAGTATTTTGGTACATCTACATCAGGTTCCCGTCTCCGCTTCTTTTGTGCCCATCCGCTCCAGAAACAAAAATGCAAAATTTGTGCTAAAAACCTTCTACTTTTCTAAGCATAATTACGAATTTTTGACTTACATAAGCAGGCGAAAAGAGAGTTTCGGCTAGAAATGGCTTAAAATTATAGAAAGGTAATTAAGAAAATATTTTAAATTAGGGTATCGAAAAGAGATTATTATATAAAATATAAAAAAAAAAGAAATAAAGCTAACTTCGGCCAACCAAAGTTTGTATACCCTTGCAGGTAACAATTAAAATATATCATAGCTAAGCCATAAATGCATTAATTTCGATTCGGAAAGCAGTTTTATGTTAGTTTTTATTAATTTAAAAAAAAAATGCATACCAAATTTAAAATTTTAAGAAATCAAAATTTTGGTCAATTTTTTCTAATTTTAATAATGTAACCCCTTAAGAAATTTCGCAAAAATGGCCAAAAAATCGATTTCTTCCGGACATGTCTAGAAAGATTCCCCTGTTGATGCCGATCAAGAATATATATGGTTTATGGGGTGATTCCTTGACTTAGAAAAATATTATTTTGTATTATAAAATCTGATTTTTTATATTAAAAAACTTCTTGATTGTTTTTAAATTAAATCATAACTCGGCCAAAAAAGCATTAATTTTAAATCGGAAAACTGTTCTGTGCAAGATTTTCTACAGTTAATAAATCTGCATACTTCATTTAAAAATTTTGAAAATTCAATTTTTTATCAAAATCAAAAATTTTAATGATGTAACCTCTTATAAAATTTTGCAAAAATGGCCAAAAAATCGATTTCTTCCTGATATATCTAGAAAGATTCCCCTGTTGATGCTGATCAAGAATATATATACTTTATAGGGTCGGAAACGTCTCCTTCACTGCGTTGCAAACTTCTGACTGAAATTATAATACCCTGCAAGGGAATAAAAATATTCAGAAATAATCGAAATCAGCTTTAAGCAGACTAAACCAAAGTAGGAATGCACCAATATTTAAATTTATCGATAATATCGAAATGCATTGAATATCGAAATTTGAATTATAACAAATACATTATCGATAGGGTATTGTTAATATTTTAATATATAAAAATATTTAATACACAAAGTGAATGATCAACCATCGAAATGTGCACCACAGAAGGATATAAAGTTATTTATATATCGAAACCAATATCCTTAAATAATGTATTTGTTATTTTTAAACCGTTCCCATCTCCAACGTCATTATCTTTAGATATTTCGGAATTCCTAGAGGAGTGAAGGGGATTTCACTATAAGGAGTTTTAATGCCCAACTTTCTGTATTCCATATATCGCCCAAATAAACATTTCCGGCTGACAGACATTGAAGATAAACAAACAAAGCAAACCGAATGCAGTTGCTTAAATTATGAAAGAAATTCCAGATCAAAGACTTGGCCATCACGGAGGGGGAATAGTGGGTTTAAAAGGCAATCCCTGACATCTTCAAGTGGCTGTGATCCAAGGCGGACTCTGTTGCAATTATTATTATTTTTGGACCGAGGCACAGCATTTTGCTGACGCCAAATGGAGAACTTTGCATTTTTATTCGCGCGGTTCTCAAAATGTCAAAATGCTTTTTGCTTTGCCCTCGGAGAGTTGGTTTTGTGCATCGATTGAGTCAATATTTATGGCAAAAGAAAATTCTCGGAATATCATTTGCATGATTTTCCTTTGCTGGAAACTTTTTACTGATTTCTGATGTATTTCTTTATTGCAGATTTGTGAATTTCTGATCTGAAGTGGACCCAAAGACGCCTAACCAATAGGTAAATATAAAATACTTTCTTATTTAATGTATTAGTTATAATAAATAAACCAAGCCTCATTATTCAACTTCAATTGACAAGCTCTCTTAAATAATTCTTTCAAGTATTTTAGTTAATTAATTGAAAACAGATTACATTAATTTATGTATCTTAAAGCTAATACAAATTCAAATGTTTCCCAGACTTTGCATAACTTAATTAAATATCTAAGCTGGGTGTTAACTAAGCTCAATTAATTCTGTTGTCAATTTGCTATGCCAAATGTAGTATGCCTTCTCCTCTTGGCCATATTCAATAAATTCTCAGCCAACAAACATGTAATGAAATTGTGTTATAAATTTTCACCCTGGAAAATGCTAAGTACATTCCATAATTCAACAGCTTCGCTCGATAGCGATGCCATTTTCTGCAGTTCAAACGGCTAATGCAATTTGAGCCAAGCTAACCACTACCAAAAAAATAGAAAAAAAAACCTCCCACACACATGTGGTTGGTTGTCAACATTTACCACACATTTTGCGCAATGCCAGGCGGCGATTTTGATTTTCATCTTTTGGGATTCAGGCGGTTTTCATTTACACCTATTTATATTTATTTCCTCATGGCGGCGGCGGCACTCTAAAGTCCGCCACCTTTTCCCTTGTATTTATTTATGCTGATTCTCTGGGTCCACTATCGCCTGGTGCATTTTTTATGTTTTTTTTTAAATATTGCACTGAAGGCTAGTACAATAAGTTAGCGATAAGGCAACAGTCGCTTTTTGTGACCCATAAATTAATAAGAGTGCGAACGGAAAACTCGTTGCCGGTGCACGTGGCGAATGCGTAATAATTCCCATTGGTATTTCCGTGGCCTTAACGCCACAATTTGCTTAATGCCGCCGCTGCCGACCAATATTGATGCTTGACCAATATTTGTACAATTTGTTTCAAAGTCATAGCGCTGACATACATACATACATATTCCGATGAAGTGGATATACAGTGGTGGTGGAACTGAAAAGTCTGCGGTGTCGAGTGACTCAAATTGCAGATGATTCAGATGAACACACCTATATAGCTGCACTCGACTTAGTCACGGAAGATTTTAACTTATTTTTCGCCTCATCTTTTTTGCTTTTTAATGTCTAGCATCAATTTGCATGCCATTTGTTCTGTCAAAGTTTCTCTGTCCTGACCATATACGTACCGTAATTTGATTTCCAGATATCGCCGAGTTTGATTTGTGATTTTTGTGGCGTTTCTGAATTGGCTCGCCTTGACATTTTGGTGGTGGAAAATTTAAATATAGATTAAAAATCACCAAAAACGGTCGAGCGGCTCATCTGCCGGCCATTAGAAAAACGTTAATGCCACGCCCCCAGCCCACACTATATATATATCCATCTATAAATATGCCAGACTTTGCATAGCCATAAAGTCAACAAAGTGGCCAGGAGAATGGGATGATTATGATGCAGCAGCAGCAGCTGGACCCGGTGATGGCTTTGTGAAGGGTACTTTTATATAGAGAGGGAGTTCTATAGAGAATTGAGAGGAGCAGTTATGAACTGAGGGAAAAAGTATATATATAACTACTTGTTATATATACCGTTTTGTTATTTATGAATATAAAAAAGAAAATTTAACTTCAAGTATAAGGAATAGTTGCTTATTTTCTATATTTTCTCTGAAGAAGAACGTCCCTTGTATGTTAGATTTATTTTTCTCTCTGTGCAGGGAGTTCCCCTTTAACCAAATCAGAGTGCAACAGACCAGTTGGCAATAAATTACCGTCAAACGGAAATCATTTTGCATGCCTGTCCTGCATCCCAGCTTCGAATAGCAGAACAAAAAAAAAAAAAAGAGCACTCTCTCTCGAAATGAAAATGTCCTGTTTGCGTCTGCGGAATCTGAAGCGGAAATTCAACAAATTTTCGCAAAACGGAAGAGCGGGACAATTTCCACTTATCCTGCCAACGGTCTCGTAGCCTTTAGCCCTTTAGCCGGGGCTATAAACCAACATTCCATAATGCGATTAACCCCGGAACAATGCAAGTTCCGAGCTGTTTTCCAAGAAACCAAAACATTTTCTGCAGCACACGCACAAAAACCATAGACGAAGCAACAAATTTTTGGAGCCTGTAAATGATTTCAAGGCAACTCATGTGTGTGTGTGTGTGTGGGGGTGTGGGGGGTGTGCGGGTCTAGCAAACAAGATAAAACTTTTGATTTATCGTTGACACGAACGACAAGAACAGAAAGAAGCAGAGCCAGAGCGGACCAGGACCTGACGGAGTCCTGCTGAATTTTTTGGCCAGTGGGAGGCAACTAGAAACTAACTTGGGCCACAAATGCGTGCGTCGATAACGAAAGGCAGATCGTACAGTGTGGGAAAAATATCACTGATTTAGGTTATTTTAGCATACGTTTGTCTAGTTTTCAATTTAATACAAAACTATTTTAATTTAACATTTAGGGAAAAGTAATGTAATGGACTTCTTTCTCTAATGAATCAAGTGAATAATGAAACTTCGGCTACCCAAAAGTTCGCTTCTTGTCTTGTTATTATTTCTATATTTAATTAAACGCACTAGAATTCCTTACTTCCTGAGAGATTTTGATACAGCATATCAGGATCCAGGTCCCAAAAAGTATCACCTTTTAAGGCACATGCTAATCCCCATGACCACATAAAGTTTTCTCTCCGTGTGCCTGCATCGGAGGCAATTACCCAGCTGGCCACATGCCATGGTCTGGCAGTGTCAAGTGTGTGTCACGACACGCGCCGACAAATTTGTGGGCTGCCACCCAAAAAGCTGCAAACAGGCATAAACTCTCTCCAGCTTTTGTAGCAGGAAAATGAGGCGAGTTTTTTGGGTGTCGAAATTTGTGAAAGAAGAATACGAGGCGAACACAGACAACAATGGGCAGCTGAATGGTCAACTTGCTCGCCGACGCCCACCCACTCCTCCGATAGCATCGGCAAAACAATTTGGCCCAAACCAGAAACAGAGACAGAACGGAATCTGAAAGCAAAGTTCCGCAATATTTGTTTGCTTTGCCAGCCTTAATTTTCACAAATATTTGCTCACTTGTATTTTCGCTGTTTACTCACTTTGCTACAGCCTGAACTTGAAAAATAAATTAATAGAAAATATTTTTACAGCTCAGACGAGGGAGCGTTAAAATTAACAACACAAAAATACGCCAAGTGACATTTTAATGTCAATGGAATCCGCACACAAACCAATCTATATGGGTATTATATATGTATATCTGTTGAAAAACAGATCTAGAAAACGAAGATCGCTTTAACAGAATTTATCTTGGCAGGGTGATAGTTATTTATGCACGTGAAGAAATTATTTAGCAATTTATGTGTGCTTCTTGATAATAATAATAATAATTGAATATTTGAATATTTTGTTCTATTGTATTAAATAATAAAACTATTCAAAGAAACATAGATTTTATATTTATATAATTTCTTAGTAAAATTTTGGGAATTTTTAAAATTACTTCTGTGTTACTCTACATCATTGAGAGCTTAGCGGAATCTACATAATTATTTTTCTTTTGAATATTAAATATTGACTTAAACTATACAACTATTCAAAGAATATAAATATTATCATATAAAATTTCTTAGTAAAATTTTACGAATTCATACATCATTTCTGATTAATTTCTTATAAATACTTATAAAGCCAAAATTTATTTTAGTCTTTAAATTTAGTATTTTCTATTGAATTAAACTATAAAACTATTCAAAGAAACATTAATTTCTATAGTTTATAGCTACGAGGAAAAAACATTCCTTATTTATTGTATTTTCCATTGAATAAAATAGTAAATATATTCAAAGAATGAAAGATTTCATTATATAAATTTCCTAATACAATGTCATGAACTCATACCATGTCTGTGATTATTTTCGTGTTAAATTACTTAATCAAAATTAGTCAAAATATTAGTGTGAACATAGAAGCATATGTTGCCATGTCACAATTTAACAATTCTAGATTAAAAACGTTTTTATTTATTACTTTTTTCGAAACCTGGCTTATCAGCAAAGCATGAATAAATATATATACATACATATATATGTTTATGTTACTTGGTCTGAGCTAGAGATTAATACGTGTGCCATTAAATTTTTAAGTGCTTTTTATATTAAAATAAGGTTAAAAATACAAGTACTTACAAGTTTTTCTCACCGTGTGGACACTGATGGTGTCTGATAGGCTGGGACACCCCGGCGTCGAGTGTCTGTGTGTGTGTGGAATAAATTCGAGGGGCATGACATCACTTCGACCGACAGCCGCGGCTCCAATTGCCGTTCCAGTATGCGATATAGTACGTGATATAGATGCTGACGTAGCCGCCGGCGCCTGCGCCCAATGCAAATCTCAATCTCTGGTTTTATTTGGTCGATGACGTTGTCTCCAATACCCATTCGCAATGCACACACGCCGAAAAGTCGTTGGAAAATACTGGGGCCTCGCATTCGAATTGTGGGTACGTGCGGCTCTTCAAAGTCGGGAAGGGGGCGCTTGGAGCTCGGGGCTGAGTTATGTCATATATCTTTTGGGGTAGGACCAAAGCCGAACGAACGGACGGATGGATGGATGCCTGGCAAGCAGGTAGAAATGATTGATATGTGGAACTCTGCGGGACTCGAACTGCAGCCGAGTTGATTTGTGATGATTTCTGATGAATTGCTTGTTGGCTTTCGCATGAATCTTAAAATCAAAACAGAATTTATGACTCTGAGCAGCAATAAGGCGAACTATTTCGTTTTTAATTTTTACTGCGGTCGATTTATAATGCTGCCCCGCCCCAAAGACAGAGCTAAAAACGCCATAAAGGAAAGAAACCATTTAAAATTCATCTAAACTCATTAAAAAACTTTTTTTTTCGGCGTAAATTAATTACAACTTGGCCCAGAGCAGCGGAAAAACAGAAACAGAAAACTTTGAATGCACTTAAATTCAATTGAAAAGTGCAGCCTCATGCTGCCAGGCACTGCGTATACTTGATATCGCGCATACGCCGCGTGGGGACCACAGCAGTCATTCAGCTTACAAAACTCTGTGGATCTGCGAGTCCTGTCAAAGCAACAACAAACAAATACAACAGACACAATGACTTGTCAGCACACTAAATGACTTTCACTTTTCCTAGTGACGACAGTGACGGGTGTTGTCTAAAAAATGCACAGGAAACGCACAGAAATAAACAGGGGTTTTGTTAAAAATAAATAGGTAAATAAAGGAACTGTTTAAACACAAAAATTCTAAAAGAAATCTCTAAAATATTTAAATAACCTCGGATAACTAAGCTTTTTAATTTCTTAAACGAATTGGGTGACTAAAACTTGGGAATGTGAAAACTTTCCTTCTTGCTAAAATCTATTTGTAATACATTTTTTAGTTAAAATATATAATCCAAAATGCATTCTTACACTCTCAAGGCATTTGTTTTCACTGTTTAGCATGTAGATTGAATTTTAAAGTGCATCCTCTACTCCAAATACTCCAAGCTGCTTTAATTCCATCGTTTCTTTCCGTGTAAGGCTATCTTCGCTTTGAAAGATGTGTATCAGTGGACAGCCAAAGAATTCCGAGAGGACAAAGTTGCTTGCTGACGATAGGAAGAATCCTCGGCCATGGGCGAAGGGAATCCAGGGGGAAAACTTCAGTCAAAAGGCATGGCAGATGCGGAGATAGCAGTGAGACGCCGCAGCCACATAGTATGGCTAGTACGTGTCGGCTCCTTGCCGAGAAATTCCGCACAGGTGAACCATGAAAATGCAGGTGAAAATCAAGAGAAAAAGGCAAAGAGAGGGGAGCGGAAAGGTAAGACTGGGCAAACAGACCAAGTGGCAGCTGTGAAAACGTTTCTCGGCTACTTTTCAATGCAATTGAGGCAGACGAAGCTGCTGCTACTGGTGGTGATTGGCTTGAATCTGGCAGAGATGCGTATAAATTATATTGCCCAGCTACGATTTTCCCGTTTTCACATTTATTCCAGGCAATGAAAATGTGCAGTACGATTTATAGCTCACATTTACTGACGTACCTTTCTTTTATATATATTTTTTTTTGTTTTGTTTTTTTGGCCAAACGCTTTCTGTGATTGCATTTAAATCAATGAAATGCGCATAAATTAATTAAGCCAGAGTGCGCGAATCAAACGAAAAGACACGCATGTGTGTGATGTATTTATAAATGTTTAACTTCCTACAGCTACAAATTAACCGCAGAAAAACATTTACCTTTAATTAAACCGCAAACTGGTATTTAGCCAGCAATTTGCTATCGATTTTGAGAGTGTTTGTTTACGAATCGAAACGGAATCGGAATTAATGCAAATTCGCGGCAACTTAATTATGCCAAGAACGGGTTAATTCCGGCCATCCGCGATCCCCTTATTGATTACGACATATGCTAGCCAAGTCAGGAACTCCCCCAACATACCACACATACTACATATTATATACGCTATATCTGTTTGACAGGGGCAGAACTCGGCCAAGATTAATGCCAGCAATTTGTCCACTTCCAAAAGCCACATACCAAAATCTAAGCCCCAGTCGGAGCATCTTTAAGCCGCTGTTTAGTTTTTAATTTATTTGGCAGTCGTTTGCATTGAACCCGACGTTGAGGGGTTAAGTCCAAAGATGTTGTTTTCGCCATTGGCGGAGCCATTCAACTTTTGCTTTTAACTCGAATTCTCGACATTTTGATTGATGGCCAATCGAGCGAAATATATGGGGTGTGCGAGTGGGTGATGATCTGCTGAAGAGGTCTCAATTATAGCCGCTTTCCGGAGCTCTCTTTCGTTTGATGGGATTCTAATTACGCACAAATTACATATCATATATCATTATCGCTCAGTTCTGGGAACTGGCTATGATTTATGCTAATTCCCGGCCAGTAAATAGCACCGAAATAGCGCTGAAATAGCACTGAAATGGCACCTCATTAATGTAAATTCGTTGCCCAAATGGTGGAAACCCCCTTAGAAAATCATACACACGCCCCTAACTCATTTATCAGTGGCGCACACGTGGGTTTTTAATTTTCATTTGTGTATTTTTTAATGCCGTTCCCCATTCTCATTGCGATTCCCAGATGAATCCAAGGTTTCGGGCCTAATACCCAAAACTGATGCTGATGAGCTTATCTCCAGCCTCCAAGCTGACCGACAAGGTTGTGGCAAAGGGTCTTAATTCTAAATTTAAAAAATTACCAAACAGTCACAGTTTTCTAACCTTTTTTTAAGGGTTCCCAGCTGCCGCTTGATTGATTCGCTCGTCTTTGGCATTTTTCGGTTCAGTTAGGTTTGGGGTAAGATAAAAAAAATTATGACCCTTCGCTTCCCCGAAACATGTTGATACGATCCAATTAAAATCACATTTCCAGCTGCAAACGCTGCGTTGCTTTGGATGCTGTAACATTCGAAAAACACAAGTTATGGCCCGGCGACACGCCCAAGTTCAAGATCAAGGTCGCGATATATGTAGATGTTTGTATTTAAAGTAACATATGTACTCCCCTCCATAATTTTCGCCGACATTTGAATGTCGTCTGGGCCAAACAGCGGCTCCCACAGCCAACTGGATCCGAAGTGGGTCATAAATCAGTCAAATTCCGCCCACATCGCAGACGCGATGACTTCCCTGCGCTTGGCCGCGAGTGGGTGCCGTCTCCGTCTCTGTTCCTCTTTTTATTGGCCACTTAAACAAATGTCGAGTTGTAATAATGTTGACATCAACGTCTTGAAGGTCTATCTCTGCCGGGAACTCTCGCGTCATCGCGTCATCGTCGGGTCGAGCAAACAAACCAGAAAACCAGTAAACAATCCAACCGGGGAGACAACAATTACAGCCACTGAACCTCGGTGAGATCGGTACACAGGGACAAATATTAGCAGTGGAGATTAACACCTAAAAATATTAGTTTTAATTAGTAGAGATTTGTAGAATAATTGCATTATTGTGTAACTTTTAAGATCCTATTTAAGGTAACTCGTAAAAAATATATAATAAATATTATATTTCAAACTAAAAACATTTTCCGTGTATCAGGCCCATGATAATAATGAATGTCAAGTCGTCACCGTTGAGGAATTCGCTGTCGATTGCCGTTGGCCAAGGAAAGCCAAGAGGCACATGCCAAGAGCCAACAATGAGCCAAGAGACAGGCCCAGCAGGCATAAGCCAACAACTCCGGGCCAAGCCGGGCCGTCTGGCGAAGCTGTCAAGCCAGTTGGCCGCGGCGTGTGTTTACTTCTTTAACTCTTTCGCTTGCTCCCCCCTTTAATTTGTTTGGATTCGTGGGCATGAATTATTTTACAGGAATTATATATGATTAGCTCTGTGGATACGTATGTGCACGGGAAACGCTGCAAGGGGAGGCGACGAATTAGCCGCACACACACTCTAATGGCTCAATTAAAATGACACAATCAAGCCCATAATTTGCCGGGAGAGTGTGCTGGCCGGGAACAGGTATACAGATATCCATATCCATTGCAGCCATCGCTGAAACCTGCCGGCGATAGATCATTTAATTAAGTTTAGTGGAATGTCAAAGATGAAAGTCATGTCTGTCTAGTTGGAGGAAATTTTAATTACGATTTGTTTTCGGTTTATCATTAGATCTTCGCTAGGTACATTCACTTTCCACTGGGTCTAATTGGAAAATTAGATTTCGTTTAAGAAAGTATGTAGTATTTTAATATATATATATATATTATAACTTTTAATTCCACACATCTGTGCATTTAAATATATTGGTAACAGAATTATGAACCTAGAAATAGTTACCAGGCAGCCATAAATCTTTTCTGCTAACTATTTAACAACTTATTAAGTAACTCTAGTTGTTTTTAGGAATTTATACACACGATTTAAGGTCTTAATTTGCGTACCCTTTCAACGTTTAATGCCACACATCAGTACACTTATTTAGACAAAGACCTTTGAGCTGTAGTTGAGCCAAGAATAAACTCGGCAGAGACCCTGTTAAAACAGTTAGCGGATTAACCCGTCGGCATTTCAAGTCATTTATATGCGCAAAGTGGGTCACTGCAGCCGCACACCATTTCACACACTCGACAGAGGCACTCGGTGTGTGTCAACAAATTGAAAATAGAATGCAATAACAAGCATCGGTGGCAGCGGCCACAGACCCTGTCCCTCCCTCGTTGCTCTGCGTCTTGACGAGGTGGCTAGGAGTTATGAAAGTGTTAATTGAAACGCCAAACACAAAGCCAGGCTAAGAGAAGCTACTGCTGAATGGCCAAGAGATGACCACTGACGACGACCAGTTCTGCGGAGCGGAGCCAATAAATAAAATAAATCTGTTCAAATATATTCCCGTCGGCTCAATTTGTCTTGGCCAAGTGTGGAGGCGTTTGTGTGTCCATCCATCAACGGAAACACTTGTTAGAGGCTGCTGCTCCTCCTCCTTCGGAATATATTTGCATAAAACAAACATTTGCTGAAATAGAATTATGATAAGCAGACGACGAGTTGAGAGATTAACGAATGTTCATCGTTTGTTTTCGTTTCATTCACATCTTTTTCCAGCCCGTCTTCGGCCGGTTGAGCGATGTAAGCAGCGGCCACAGCTAAAAACGAGATCAGCCGAGGATTCATCACCAGCAGAGACAGAGAACAGGAAGAAACCCCCATTAGTAACCGCCAGTAAGCAGCAGAAGGATCATCAGGATGAGTGGCAGCCATAAAATGTGGTGCTGTCAAGTATTTATCTTAGTTTTATGTGAGTATGCGTGCAGACGCAGCGTCCTCTGAGTTATATTAAGCTTCATCCCTTGCCCTTGCAGTTGCACACACAATCCTGGCAGAGCTCCATGTCAGTGCAGCGAGCGCCGGCATCAGCTTCGACGGTCCCTCGCCGGCCCAAAGCCCGGATGCCTTGGCTCCGACGGCAAAGCCCAGGCGACGCATGTATGCCATGTGCCCGCCGCAATTCCAGCGCGTGGGCACCGACTGCTACTCGCTGGTGGAGCAGCGCAGCAGCTGGCTGGAGGCGCACTTTTTCTGCAAGGATAAGAACGCCAATCTCACGGAGCCGGGCAAGCATGCCGACCGCAAGCTTAGGCAGTTCCTGCAGAAGCAGGACGCTCTCTCTGGAGGTGAGTTCTATGCTTGGGATATTTGGGTTGTAAACTAATCCTTGCACTCCACCTACTAGAACGCGACCCCATCTGGCTGGGTGCCACCTATGACCACCACAACAACAAGTGGCAGTGGAGCATGAGCGGACGCAACCTGTCCTTTAACGCCTTCAGCCAAAAGGACCCCACGTAAGTGACTCCGCCAATGCTCTTTCCTCTCTACCTTTATTTCCGTAGATTGATTTAACGCTTAAGCAACAATTCTAGCTATGTGCAACTTATCTCCAACAGCAACCCGCAGGACAATAACTGTGCCATCTACGACCCGAGCCTCAAGTACCGCTGGTCGGCGCGTCCCTGCTCGGATAAGTTGCGCTTCATCTGCCAGCACAAGATGCCGAAGGTGAGCGGCCCCAATCGCTACAAGATCTACAATCGATGGAACGCCACCTATCCGAACGAGCAGGCCAACGAGGTGGTCCTGGAGATCATCGATCCGCATGACAACGATCGCAGGTAGGTGAAGGGCATCTATGGGGTGGCATCGCCGGGCAACAGCTGGCTCTCTGGGGAGCTATCCTGGTCCTGGTCCCGGTCCTGATCCTGCTTTTGCTCTTCCTGAGGCTCTTCCTTCTTTTCGCTTTCTTCCACTTCCAAGAACTCGTCCCATTTGGAGAGACGCTCCTGCGCCTCCACAGCGGATTCATCGATTCTGTAAGAAGATGAAGAAGTTAAAAGTCGAATCTTTATAAGATCTATGTGGCCATGACTCACTTGTACTTGGTCTTGCCATCCCAAGACTCGGCGCTAAGCTGTCGCTTTCCGAAGAAACGGCCCTGCATCATTTGTATAACAACATCGGCCTCCTCCGGCGAGGACATGTTGATCTGGGCAACTCCCTCGGGGTGGCGCTGCAAAGAAATTTGTTAGAAATGCGGACACAACTTGTATTTGTTATACAACTCACATCGTAGATCACCACTTTGCGGACTATGCCGCACTTGCTGCACTCCTCGCGCAGATTGTTCTGATACTCCAGGATGAGTTCCACTTCCTTTTCAAACAGTTCCGGTGTAAAGAGGTTCTTGATGATGACAGTTTTCTCATTTTTGGAGCGTTCGCCACGCATTTTATCAGGACGCCAGTCGAATAATCTGGAAAGCGTCATTAATATTTATATTTTCTTTTAGTCCTTCGAAGGTCACTCACTTTTCCTTCATCTTTTGCAACTTCTCCTTGTCCTTCTTCTTCCGCTTGGGCTTCAGGGCAGGATTGTACTCGCCGCGCATTTGGAACTGAGCTCTCTGGACGCGAATCTTGTGACCGCGCAGATTGTACTCGTCCAGGATGTTCAGCGCCAGATTCACACTCTCCACCTGGAAAAACAATATAGAATGTTTAATTAACACATGTCTCTTCTCTTCTCCAGATACCATCGCCGCGTGAAGGCCGAGGGCAGCGACGAGGAAATGATTATACCTGCACGCCGGCGCAACAACAACAATCGCCGCAATAAGCAGCAGCGCAACCCGCAGAGGAACCGTCAGAACCAGAACCAGCACCCCAATGATGTGAACTACCAACCAGCACAGCAACGGAAGCGTCCGCGTCCCTCCACTGTTGCACCGCCGGTGGCTTCATCAGCCGCTAATCCCTCCAACGATGTGTTGAGCCCCGCGCCCACGCCTCAGCAAATGACGCAGTACGACCGAAAGCTGCAGCGCCAGCGGGAGCGCGAGCGTCGCCGCCAGCAGCGCAAGAGGGAGCGCCAGGCTCTCGTCCGGCAGCAGCGTCGCGAGAAGCAACGTCGCCAGCGGGAGGAGCAGCAGCGTCTCCAGCGGGAGGAACAGCAGCGCCTGCAGCGGGAAGAGCAGCAACGTATGCTGCGGGAGGAGCAGCAGCGTCGACAGGCGGAACAACTGGCTCAGGATGCGCCAAAATCGCAAGAGGTCGATGAACTACGCCAGCGCTCCAGCGAAGACAAGGGAAACACCAAGGAGGAGCAAGAAAAGAAGCTAAAGGAGGAGAAGGAAAAGCGGCGACAGGAGGAGCAGCATCAAGAGGAAGAGGCGCGGAAGCAGCAACACCACCAGCAACATCTGAAGGAACAGGAGCAGCAACTCCGCGAACTGAAGGCGAAGCAGCAGCGCGATCAACAGGATCGGGATTACCAGCAGCAACTTCGGAACCGGGAACTGGAAGTGCTAAAGCAGCACCAGGCCGAGGCGGAGCGCCAACGGGCCGCAGACGAGGAGGCCGAGAAACTCCGCCAGGAACGCATCCAGAAGCAGCGGGAGCTGGAGGCCAAGGAGCGACAAAAACTGGAGGAGGAACGCCGTAAGCAGCGCGAAGAGCAGGAGGCGCAGGATCGACTGAATGACGCCAAGCGGCAGGCCGAGGAGCAGCGACAGCGCGAGGAGTACGAGAAGCATCGGCAGCAGGCCAAGACGGATAGGGAGAGGCAGCTAGCCGAGGCGCGCGAGGCAAAACGCCGCGAAGAGCTGGAACTGCAGGAGACGCTGGAGCGCCAGGAGAAGGAACGTCAGGAGCAGATCCGACGCGAGCAAGAGGAAGAGGAGAAGCGCCAGGAGCTGAAGCGGCTGGAGGAAACGCGCATCTTCGAGGAGAAGGAGCTGAAGCGGCTGCACGAGGAAAACCAAAAGCGCGAGGAGCTACAGCGCCAGCGAGAACGGGAAATCGCGCAGCGCGAGGCACTCGAGAAGAAGCTGGCCGAAGAGGAGGCGCGCCTGGCTAAGGAGGTAAGCGCTGAGGAGCGTGAGGTGAAGCGGCGCCTGGAGGAGGATATCCGCCATGCGGAAGATGCGCGTCTGGCCAAGGAGGCCTTGGAGCGAGCCGCTGAAGAAGCCAAAGCCGCCGAGCAGAAGCGCCGCCTCGAGACGGCCAAGAAGCTGGCCGACGAAGAGGTCCAAGCCAAGCTGGAGAAGAAGCGGCAGGACTATGCCAACCGCATCTCGGCCCTGAGTCCCGAGGACCAGAAGAAGTTCATCGAGATGCGCAAGCGGCGCAAGCAGCTCAAGGAGCAGAAGGAGCGCGAGAACAGGGAGAAGAAGCTCAAGCGGATACAGCACGCCATGAGGCTCAACGATGACGAGTAGAGCGGTCCCAGCGCGGATCCCCCCGAGTCCGAACCCAACACTAACCAATAACTAACACACGAGACACATATCGATCAAATTGGTTCCGCATACGCACCGTTGCCCAGTCGACAACACACCTTTTCGATTGCTTTTCTTTGTGCTTGAAATGACGAAGAGAAACACACGCAAAGTATTATTTACCGGGAGAGATGAGATCAAGGATCATCGCTGCGCAGCTAATTATATTCGGTTAAAAGGGGAATCAGATTTCAGATTGCATTTCGAACGAGCGCAGGAAACCAGCCCAATCTCCAAGCACTTCGCTAAGCTCTAGTACTGTACAGTAAATATATTCACTATATATATAGGTCTAGGATATAGACACACACGATACACCAACGCACACACACACACCCCACACGGCAACCAGTCACGCACGTTTCCTTAATAACCGAACTAGAAGTTAGCCATCAATTTTAGAGAGAACCCACAAGCCCCGCGAACCGGGGGAACTTTTAACTCAAGCACACGGAACCAGAGAAGAAGGAAAGGAAAGAAGCTCCTCCACCAGGTCCTGCTCCTCCTCCCACTCCTACTCCTCCTCCTCCCACAACTCGTTTGCCTAAGCCAAGCAATACTTTACTAAGAATCTTTTTGGATAACATCATGGATGGTTTGGCCACTTTACTAACTTCTTAGGTTACAAAACTATACTTTACACACACATTTGTATATGTAATAACTAAAGTATGTTTAAATGTAAATTTTTATGTATTTTTTAATACCTCAACAACAACAACAAGAAAGAGAAAAGGAAGAGTGTCTAACCGCGAGGCGACTTTCAGTGCGTTCTTTGTCTCGTTCAAAGGAATGGAAATTGATAGATGGAAGGCCCAGGCGGTTGAGAACGATGAAATCGAAAAGAAAAAGCAATTTTATATAGCCAAGTAAAGCATTTTAATAATAGTAAACTAACCAATTTTAAATATTATCACCATACTCTGCAAAAACAAAACTGAAACACGGAGAAATGAATGCGAATAAACCTAAATAGTCAGCGAATCAGAGGAAGGGCAGCAACAGAAAATACGAAAACATATGATAAAATTACCATATAATATTTATGCAAGATTAAAACTAGTTAAGCCAGCAAACAACAGAAGTAAAGATACAAAAAATAAAGAAAAATAAAGTTTGAAACAAGAAAAAAAAACACAAAACAAAAAAAAAACCAAAGCAAATGTTGTTCTCATTTCACTCACCTTGATATAGTCACAGAGGCCGTCGCCCTTGATCTGGCCATCCTTCTCGGCGTACAGCTTCAGCTTAAACTTCTGGGTCTGGGGATCCCGCATGACCATGCCGCACTTGCCCATCAGTTCGGCAAACTCATCCATGGTGATGTCCAGGGGCAGATTCGAGACATACACCTTGGTGTTCTGCGTGGGATCCATATCGAACCATTCTGCAACAAAGTGTTCCTTGGCTATAATCCTTTAGATAAGTTTTAATACTTACTCGGAGGCTCTTGGATCTTCCGCTTGCCCGTTGGCGCTGCCGTTGTGGAGGCTTCACTATCCTTGGCCATGGCCGCCTCTGCCTCCGCCGTCATTCGCCTGAGTTCCTCCTCTTTTCTCTTGGCCTCGGCCGCTTCCTTTTCAGCCTTCTCTTTCTCGCCCGCCGAAGTGTTGTCAATGAATCCGTAGTTCATTTGATAGCGGGCCATAAAGTCATCGTCGATCTTGGGAAACCAGGCATTCTTGGCCGCATCCCAGAAGAACACGGCGCCATCCTTGTCGGTGTAAGTACGATCCCCATTCTCATCCACGCCATAGACCACATCCTGGTCCGGTCCTTGTTTTTGCTTGGGTAGCCACTTTTGCTGCTTTTCATCCCACTTGTAGTGCTCCGTCTCGGTTTCCTGTTGCTTCTTGGGCAGCCACTGTTGGGTTTTGGGGCACCACTTGTAGTGCTCGTTCTCGTAGGGATCTCCGCCTTCTTCGGCATCGTTTAGTGGTTGCCAGTTGTTTTGGCTGGTGCACCACTTGTACTTTTGCCTGGTGCTGGGATCCGTGTAGATGGCCCCGCCGTCCGGTGCATAGGTCATGTGCTCCTCGTAGGCGGCAAAGTCCTGGGAAGGAGTTTCATCCTTTGGCTTTGTTACCTCATTATTATCCGAGCTGGGAGCCTCCTCCACTTGCTGCTTGCTTTCCTCTGTCTCAGGTTTGGGATTGGGTTGCTCTTCGTGCTCCGACTTACTTTCACCTTCGTCGCTCATTTCGGGGGGGTTTCTGTAATTAAAGAAAGCTGAGAAGTAGACTACATTTGGTTTATTCCTTTCGTTTCCTTTCCTACGGCTACGTGGGCGTGACAATCGTCTAATTCCCAGCTAATTTCACATTTTTTCCCCTATTTTTGTTGGCTCCCAGGACAACAAATAATCACCACGTGAAGCAACCAAGACTAAATTGCAGGAACGTGCCCATATCGCTTGACATTGAAGAAAGCAATGGGAGGTAGTGGGCGGCTGCTCGGAATGGGGAGCTGGTAGTGGGCATTCCGAGAAGCCTCGCAGGAAAATAACAAGTTTTCCTTTTTGCACCTTTCGCCAGGCCTGGCCAGGTAAACAATTTACACAATGATTGCCATTTTCCCTCACCAAAACGAAGGTGAGGGTGTAAATGAATGTGTGTGTGTGTGTGTGTGGGTCAAGCTTTGAGGCAAGGTAATAAAATGAAATGAAAAGCGCACGCCACTTTCTGGGCGGTCCAAGAAAAGACCAACACACAAATCCCAAGAAAGCACACACACACACAACACACGGAGGGTAATTCGCTCTCTGAAGGTCAACTAATTTCGTTTATTTTTGGGTCCCGGGAATGGGGAACCCTTCTTGCCTCCCGGATCGATTGCTTTGAACCCGGGATTGCTGAGGAGGAGAGGAGCCCGCCGATGGCAGGTTCAATCAACCTTTGGCCCGTTAACTACCAATCCATAGTGGCCCAATAGATTTGTCAGCCTATTGACACATCGTCTGAGAGTTCCGGCAGCTGACCCGTGCCGGGGTTTTTTTAGTTGATCCGCCTCCTCCTTCACCTTACGTCATCCGGAACATCTTGACCCAATCGAACCGGAGTTCAATGGACTCCGGCTAATTGTCACGACGACTACAACGAGTCAAAGGCCACTAAAAATAGGCGCAAAAACCACAAAGAGCCAACGCTCGAGTTCAACGCTCAGCTCAGCAAGTGGGCAGCATTTGCATGAGCCAAGATTCGCCTTTTGCCAAGTCAGCGGCTGAGGGCGGAACCATCGGGGATTCCCCCTCTGGGTAAACTGGCACATGCAACAGCCCCGTAACCCGCATCCCGAAGAGCGGCAAAAGGCGAGACGAGGCGGCCAACAAGGCGCGCAATTGCAGTTTGCAGGCCAAACAACTTTGTTAGGGGATTCATAAATTACATAGACATTGGAGTACATGCTCGAAGGGCTCACGGCTCACGGCTCGGCTCTCACATGAATAACCCAACGAGCTGGCGCACATATTATATGGAAAGTTTAGACACCAAACTGAGGCCTGCTGGCAACCCATTGCAATGCAGAATAGAATACAAAAAGCCCAATAAAAGGAAAACAGAACGAATGCAGTCCTCGCAACAGTCGAGCTTCTTTAACTTGGCCTAAAGAAGGTAGAATTTTGTGAGAGTTGAAGTAAAGTTTTCACATATTAAAGATCCCGACTGGAAGTTCTTCAATCTATAAGTGAAAACGAGAGTTAAAAAGAAACCTAGAAGTTATCATTATTACAAGTTTAAAAACCAGTAAAAATATTCTTAAAGGAGGGAAAATCTGTACTATTTTAATAAAAGAAAATATATAAATTATACCGATTGTTCTCCCCTTAAGTTTACTCTTAATTTTACACCAGATCCCTGCCACGCGTGGCTATTATTCTCTCTCCAGTGTCCGGTCTCTGGACACCTTTGGCCTTTCCCAGTCGACGGACAACGCATTTATTGCATAAGTAAGTACGGGAATCCAATGAAAGACCTTCTTCGGATGTTAACAGAAATCCATTAATTGTGGCAAATTGTCTGCGAAAGTCCGCAAATGTGGAGAGACTTGACTTGCGGCAACTAGGCCCCGTTTTTATGACGGCGCCGCCATAAAAATCGTTATCCAATTTCGGCTAAGCTGCGACCAAAAGTCAGAGGGGAGGGCCCAAAACGAATTAATTAACTTTTCAGAAAAAATGCCGCGAATATATTCGGCTGGACACTCCGTTCTATGCAAATGTCAACAGGTCGGGGAGGGGGGAATGAAAGGGAAAATGGAAAAGCAACCCAGTTCCCCAGTCACATATATAATAATGTTATTTTTAACGTGGCCGCTCGTATTCCGGACTCCGTATTCCGAGAGATTTGCAAACATTACTCACAAAATGCCATAAATACCAAAGAGAGTGGGAAAAGCCAAAAAAAAGAAAATGGGGGAAAAAAAAAAAGAAAAACCCGAATTCCCATACTCGCTCTTTGGCGCACGGAATAACTTAACTCGGGAAAATCGTGGCCGGAGGAGTAGGGTGACTCACTCTTGGCCGGGAACTCACTCACTCGTAGCATACTTATAAGGGCCGGCTCTCAAATGGCCCAATATTGATGGCACCCCCACTGCTGTGGGTCGTGCCCGAGCCCCGACTGTGTGTGTGTGTGAGCTAGAGTCGTGGCTAGTGGCCAGCTAGCTAGTCCTAGTCCTAGCTAGACCTAGTCCTCGCTGACCAGTACGCGCTGAATCGTCCGACTGACCGCAAGTGCCGGCCAACTAGCTCTCGCTTTCTCTCTCGTCCAGCCGCATTTCCGCCTCGGGAATCGGGAATCCGCAGCCCGGAGCACGCAACTCCAAATGGCTTTGTTGTGTACCAATAAGTGTGTGCGGCGCCCGGGGGCACCGATAGACATTTGAACTGCAGCCGGCGAATAAAAATAAGCCAAAACGCACTCCTAATACTAAAATCAATAATAAAGTTTTACACAAATCCGTCGTATATATAATTTAAATTCAAGTAAAAAAGAGACCAGACAGTGACCCCATCATGGACATTCCTAGCAGCGGAGCCATATTTACCCTGGGCAAATCCCATCTGGCGGAGAATACGCAGAGCTACTTCTACATCAAGAACGATCCGGTGAAGCGCCTGATATCCGGTCCCCATCAGAGCGCTGTCATTTGTGGTAACTACTACATGACCCCAATCCGCCGACGTCCAATCCCCACCGAAGCTCCACCGGTCAAGTGGCCAAGTCAAAGTTGGTTGTCTGTGCCCGCTGCCGCCGGTGCTGCATTGCATGTTTGGTGCAATTTCCTTTAAATAATAATAAGCTGAACGCCCGGGGGTACTTTCACTTTCTTCTGTTGGCCCAGTCTTGCTACTTTTCGTTCATTGAATTACTAAATTACGTCTACAAAGCCCGGCTTTCGCAACCGGACAAATTGCTGACCAGGATTAGGTGTATTTGCAGGGGTGGTTTAAATATTTAAGCCCGAAAACTACACTTGAAAAGATATAAATTGGTATAAGATCAAGTTTTAAATTAAATTTCAATAGGAATTGAATAGGAAATGTTTAAATCAACTAAATATAAATAAAGGATTAATTCTAGGGCTCTTTTTAGCACTCAAACACACCTTAATAAGATGTTTTAATATATAGGTATACTTCCGAGAGCAATAAACATAATAACTTAGCTTTAGTGACTAGCTCAGCAAGATCAACTCACTATTAATTAATTAACAGCCCATTGGTATCTATTAATAAATAATTTAATTATTTTACCGTGTAGTAGTACACATTTGTCCCACATTTAACCCCGCATTACATAAGCTTAAAATCCGCGCTAGACTGAGGCGAGCTGACCACCAAGCACTTCAAATCACGGCAACATCGACAACTAATGGGGTCAGACGCGGCGTAAAAATACCTGAAATATGGAGCAAACTCACGAAAGAAAACCCCCAAATATTAAACCGAAACCGAATCAAATTCCGAGACCGAAACTGAACCTAGAACACCGAGGCGGCAATCGTAATTGAGGCGTTAACTTCTGCGGGGGAGCAGTTAAACAGTTGAGCGATTGAGGGATTGGGGGAATGGGGAATTGAGGGAAGGGCCCACACACTCGCACACATTCTCCAATCAATAAAAGTCAAGAAAAGGGAACAACCCCCCCACAAACATAATAAAACAAAACAAAAACAGAAATAAAAACAAAAGCCGTCGAAAGGCAGAAAGGAAAGCCAAAAGCAAATGTCAAACCGCGCTCTTATCAATTACAGAATCTGGCCGGCTATTTGTTTGGGGCGAGAACCACTACGGCCAGCTCGGGATTGGTGGCCATGGAGGAGCCTCCGGCAGCAGGAAGGGTGCCAGCAACAGCAACAACAACAACAGCGCCAGCAATGGGGACATTGTGACCAAGCCCACCTGCGTGAAGGCCTTGAAAACACTGGGATTAAAGATTTGCGACGCCGCCTTCGGCAACAACTGGGCCGTGATGCTGACACGTGAGTGAATCAACAAATAGCAGTCCTGAAGGAAGTTGGTTAACTTAGGAGAGAAATGTGCCACTAAAGGAATTGGCCCCAACAGAAAGTTTGAGTTGCTGCAAAAGTTTGTCAATGCCAGCAATTTGGTAATTGAATTGCAGGCTTACTTCAGTTAGCTCCAACTCCTATTATTTTCCGTTAAGGAAGCATAATTTTGAGCATATTTAGAGCCTATGACATATGTATTTAGACAAGGCTTTAATATATATATTTAATATTAGTATTGCAGACTTATTAGCTGGAAAAGATCCAGGCAATTTTACTCTACCGATAGAACTTACTAAGAAGTATCTATGTACAAGGTTTGTTAGATTGTTTAAATAATAAAGATTATAGACAGTTTAAAGACAAACGTAAACATTAATATTCTAGAATATAAAGAAAGTTTAAAGTTTTCTTTGTGTGGCTATGGCAAGCTTTTTGGGTTTGATTTTTAGCATTGAAAGTAGTTACATTTGAAGAAAACTAGATGGGAAAACTTTATATATGTACATAATAGTAATTTTCTCTGATTAATTAAAAAATAAATAAGAAAACCACCATCTCCGCAGATTCCAATGAGATCTTCTTTACGGGTCGCAACATTTTCCCCGAAGACACCCATGTGGCCCAGCACTTCACCACCGCACTGGTGGAGCAGCAGACCTGTGCTATTATCCGAAAGCCGTTTCGATTGGAGGAATTCGACGATTACCTGTCCAAGAGCGAGGAGACGGACAACTTCATGGCAGTTCAGGCGGGAAACGAGCACTTTGCCGTGCTAACCAGTAAGTAGTAGAGAAAGGAGACAGAAATGCAGTACAGATAAGTTAATCCCAAATACTAAAATCCCTTTTGAAAAGGCACCGGACGGCTTATTGGCTGCGGGTCAAATGCCCGTCAGCAGCTGGGCGAACTTGAGGCAGACTACGATGGACATCCGGTAGAGATTCGTCTGGATGCAAAGGTACAGCAGTTTGCCTGTGGACCGGAGTCCACGCTTGTCCTGACCGCCAGCGGAAACCTTTTCCTCACTGGCCACCTCAATGAGTTCGTCTTTCCGCGCTTCACTGAGCTGCAGAAGAACCTGCCGCCCACGGAGCAGATTATCTTTATGCACATATCCAAGACCAGCGAGGTGTATATCGTGACCAATGCAGGCAGCATCTACCGAAGCTTTGAATCCGTGCGGAATAAGAGCCTGGTCTTCCAGCGCTTCTATGACTACGACAGCGAGGAGAACGGTCCGATTTGGAAGCTCCTCAAGGGCTTCTCCTTCTATGCGGTTCTCAGCAAGGCGAACAAGTTCTTCACCACATTCTCGGAGAGCGGCCATCACTTGAAGACCTTCCGCGAGATCTCCAAGTTCAAGAACCTCCGACTACTGGACATCGCAGTCGGGGATCAGCACATACTCGTGCAGGGCATACCAAGATCCTCGATGTCATCGGCTACGGTTAGCGGCTCAGCGGACCCACATCGCTATACGAGCCGCAGCTTCGCCCTGCAGCCGCCAGATGCGAATGGAAACGAGGAGCACGTTAGGTCCCACAGTGGCAGGAGTCTGACCAAGCAAAAGGGAGTGGAGGAGGCCGAGGAGCGATCGATGGCAGCCACTGTGGGGGGCTTGGCAGCCGCAGCCGGTGCTGGTACAGCGGCAGCCATGGAGGCAGTGAAGCATTTAAGCAAAGAGGAGGATGCAAACGAAAAAGAAGAGAAATCTGAGTCCCAGGATACAAATGCAAATGTAGACAGCGAAGAGTCTAAGGCCAAGGAACTCGAAGAAGTTAACGGAAATGAGGACAGAAAAAGCAGTCCTTTAAAAGAGATAAAAAATCAAATGGAGGATCAATCAGCAATAACTTCTGGAAATAAGAAACAAGAAATGGAAGATTCCATAACTGATGAGCAAAAGGAAAAGGAGGATCACCCAACAAACAAAGGTCAGCTGAAAATTGAGTCAATGGAGCCCACAGCACCGTTAGAATCACCAATAAATGAAATGGCAACCAAGGAAGTAGCTGGTAAAACCATGGATTCTCCCTTGAAGGCATCACCAGCTAAGCAATCTCCTATAAAACCCATGAATTCCCTGCAGAAAATGCCCACGCCCCCGTCACACACACCCACGCCCCCGAAATCCCCAACGGAATCTTTAAGATCCAACAAATCCGCGCATTCGATGCATTCAGTAAATCCTCAAGAGTCGATGGTGACGGCGGCGGGTGCTGGCAGCCAGGAGAAGCTACTGCGTCCTCGAACACCATATCCCGAGAGCAGCGATTCCAGCACACCGCAAACGATCAAGAAGACACCTATACGGAATTTCTCGTACGAGGCGGCCATGGATCACGATCATTTGGATCGCACCTCGCCGGAGCTGGTGGACAGCTTGGAGACAGTGGCCGAGGTGCCTGCGGCAACTATTCAGGTCAACACTCCAACGCCGCCCACAGAAGAGGACGAGCAGCTGGCCGTGGAGATAACCACGACCAATGACTCAAAGGACAGCAGCAAGGTGATCAACGAGATTCGCTTCATCAACAACGGCGTGGATGTCACGGCCAAGGTGGAGGAACAAATGCCGGACACACCGCACGAGAGCTCGCTAGAGGACCTGGAATCGGATGGCGAGCAGATGCTGCACCACGTGGAGGAGCAGGTGGACAAAATCGTAACAAACACAGAAGAGGCGGCGGCCAAGGCCGGGGAAGAAGCGATGGATGCCATGGACTCCACGCGCAGCTCCATCCAGACAGCGGTTAGAAAGGCGGCGTACGGCGCCAAGGATGCCATGGAGGCTGCCGGCGAACGAATGGCCACCGGAGCTCGAGGCGCAGTAGGTGCCGTGGGCGGGGCTGTGGGTGCCGCAGGAAAAGGTGCCCAGCGGATGGCCAGCGATGCCATGCACGCCGTGGAGCAGGCGGGCAGCAATGCCATGCACGCCGTGGAGCAGGCGGGCAGCAATGCTGCCAAGGCAGCGTCCGACACAAAGGACTCCATGGGCAGGGCTATGGATTCGGTGACCAGCAAAATTTCTAGCGAGGTCCTGGGCGCCAAGGAGAATATCTCGTCGTTGTTTCAGATTAAAGCGGCCCGTGAGGCCGATCCGCAAACCACACCAGTTTCAACGCCGGACGTGTCCTCGAAAGAGGGGGCACCCAAGACGACAACCACGTTGGGATCCGGCGAAGAGGATGAGCGAACCACAGCCTCCGTGAACTCGATACACAATTCAACAGGGAATGGCAACGGGAACGGAAACATCTTCGAGCCGAGCAATCCCTTTGAGCCTTCGAGCAATCCCTACGAAGATCCCCTCGACGCGGTGGTGGAGCGCAGCAAAAAGGCAATGCAGGACGACATTCGGGCTATGCAGATGCGCGCCAACTCCCACGTGCAGGCGGTCGTTCAGCAAAAGGAGGAGGATGCCAAGGGCTTCATGCAACAGATGATGGACAGGCTCTCGTGCCGCAACGAAAAGGCGGTCAGAATCGAAGGTAATCATTAGGCAGTTTACATTGTAGCAATTCCCGTAAAAGAGACTCACCTGAATCAACTCTTTTCGCCAACAGATGAAACGCGTCCGCCGGCTGCGCTGCACAACAAGAACACAAACAAGGTGAACAGCGAGCTGAGTTTAAGCAATGGACATGGCGACCAGCCGCAGGCGTCGTCGCGGGTCTGCACGATTTTATAAAACAAGCACTAACCGCGCCAGCACTTTTTTAAGCAATTGCATTTGATTTTAAAGTACAATTTACCAAGAATAATAAACAATAAAGCAAATAAGTTCTGCACCGGGCAGTATGACCGTATTTGGGCGGGTTAAAAATACTGGAGGTAGAGAAACATCGATAGAACACCGATGCATCGATGTTTTAACAATTTTTGGAATCATCGATGATACATCGATGTTTTACTTTCATATATCGAAAAAGATCGATGTTTCTCCACCTGTAAAAAATACCACATGCAAAATTAAAACATTCACAGGTGAATGGCATAACTGGAACCAGTTCACATGCCAAAAATTAATTCAAGATGAATTTTAGAAACATCGATCATTTAAAAAAAATTAAAAAAATTAGTAAATATTTATGTCAATTGGTTAATAACATTTTTTTTAAGCAAACAAAGAACTGTCTTTTTTTTAACTATCCCAAGCTAAGCTTAATCAATTTTTGATAGGTAAATCTGTTTCGATCTGGTTTCAACATGGTTTTAATTTCTATTTAAATTTCTATGTAAACTTTTTTTAAACTATAAATTGATATATATTTCTTAAATTACAACCCGAAAAATCCTTCAAAGAGCAAAACTTTCGCAGCTATTCACGACCGCGAAGCGTGACACGATACTTGGGAGCAAGTAACAGGTCCCCCAAATATCGCCCATCTCCAATTTGCACCAGTTCAGTTCGCGTCTATTTTGTACGCGAAACAGTAAAAAAAAAAAAAGAAATATTTGTACTATTTTTCTAACATTTATACGCTTTTTATAAATGAACAACCAGCCGCGGATAATGCTGTGAGGCCCCCTTTTCGATCAGCGATAGCGAAGCGCGAGCACCGTTCCCGATTACCAAACCCCAAAGCGAATCGAATGCGGAAAATGATGTAAAACGGGGGGAAATCTAAGCCAAAGGCCCCACACAGCACAGCCACAAAATGGAAAGGTAGGTCAATGTGTGGGCGCCGAGAGGTGTGCGCGTTTGTGCATGCCAGCCACCAAATACAAACCCAAATGGAGCCCGGAGTTTGGAGGATTTTTTAAGGGCCCTGTGGAAAACATTGATCATTTTGATGGGGCCACCGAGCTCCAAAAATTAAAAGTCTCCTAACCTCAAAAGAGCTTTTACACTGAGAGTACGCGACTGTGTGTGTGCGCGTGTGAGTGCATGTGTGTGCTGCCCTGGTGTCTGTGTGTGCGACTGAAAGTGGTTGTGGCTCGTGGGCCAAAGGGGCGAGTGGCGGAGCAAAGGCAACGTGTTAGTGGAAAAACTGCTTTTGAAAAAGGGAAAATTTTTCACCAAAAGCCCGCCCAAAATTAGTGAGATTGCAATCCAAAGAAAGTCCTGGTGTGGCCTGTCGTCTACTAGCGTTTCGTGTTGGTCAGCACGGCGGGATTTCGATCAAGTTGCTAGGAAAACACATGTAATTTGCGAGAAAGTAACACGCTGTCAGTTCCACTAAAAAAAAAAACCAAGAGAGATACCTGAGCGCTCAAGGGTGTATGTGTTTGTGTGTGTGTGTGTAAGCACAGTGCAAGCTCGCTACGGTGAACAAGTTAAAGTTAAAACTTATTCTCTCAAGAGTGTCATTTAGGAAAGGTGATTTTAAACTGTCATAAATAATTCCTACAGTAATTTCAGGCTTTCATATAGAGCAAGATTTTTTGTGGGCGCTGGTGGGCGTGGCCGAGATTGCATATGACCGATATCTGTATCACAGCTATAATAATATTGTCATCAAATTTGGTAGCTCGAGCTCTACGAAGGCGGTCGAAGCTAAATCGAATCGCCTGGTGCCTCCATCACCCTTTGCGGTACACCTATTGAGTTAGTTATTATTTACAAAGCTTAATCAAGCTATTTTCCGCTGCTGTCGAGTGTCCACTGTGGATAAAGGGCAGGTAACCTGTCCGAGCGGACGTAAAAACCAAAAGCGCTTGAAAATATTTCACATGCATTTTGAAGAGCGCCCGCCGCCTATTTATTTTGATTTTAAAAATGCATAATCGGAATGCTCCATAATTTATGCCCTTGGGAAAACACCCAAAATGTCAGAAAAAAAATAATTCTGGCGGGGATTGGCGCAGATAGAAAGAGGGAGAGAGGCACAAGTTGGGGAAGTGTGTCAGCTATTGAATAATTTAGATTTATAATTTCGCAGTTAGGTATTTTTTGTGTGTCTGGGAATTCCTCACATATTTTTGCATACCAAAAGGCCAGGCCGCCACTCTTTACTAAAACCCAATCTCCGATCCAATCTCCATTCCAGGCACTAGCAGCAACAACACCAACAGTGAAGCGATGACCATGTCGTGGCATTTGTGAAGCATCGATCTTAGTTCGTTAGCCAGCTTTCTGTTCAAGTCACAGGCGGTGATCCAGTTTACCCGCCACCAGAAGATTCAGCACCAAATCCAAGTCCAAATCCAACCCCCTTACCCGATCCCAGCGAGCAGTTCATGATGCATATCAAGAGCCTGCCCCATGCCCATGCCGCTGCCACGGCGATGAGCAGTAACTGCGACATCGTCATTGTGGCCACCCAGCCCCAAACTACCATTGCTAACAATAATAACAATGATACGGTCACCCAGGCCACGCATCCCAGCCACATGGCAGCAGCGGCGGCGTCAGTGCAACAGCAGCAGCAACAGCAGCAGCATCACCAGCAGCAACAGCAGCAGCAGCCCAGTGGACCGCCGTCTGCACCACCGCCGCCGCCGACGGAACTGGCCTTGCCCTTCCAGATGCACCTGAGCGGGATCTCGGCGGAGGCGCATAGCGCCGCTCAAGCAGCGGCCATGGCAGCTGCCCAGGCAGCGGCGGCCCAGGCGGCAGCGGCCGAGCAGCAGCAGCCAGCGCCACAGCCACAGTCGCAACCGCCGCATCTGGCTCATCTGACCTCGCACAGTCCGACAATGTCCAGCGATCACTATCTGGGCACCAACGGGCATGGCGAGCATTCCGGCGAGGGTGGGCCTGGTAGCAATGGCAATGCCGGCGGAGGAGGCGGAGGACCCCGCGAGCTGGAGAAACCCTTCCACTGTACCGTGTGCGATCGTCGCTTCCGGCAGCTGAGCACACTGACCAACCACGTGAAGATCCACACTGGCGAGAAGCCCTACAAATGCAACGTTTGTGATAAGACCTTCCGTCAATCGTCGACGCTGACGAACCATCTGAAGATCCATACGGGCGAGAAGCCCTACAACTGCAACTACTGTCCTAAGCATTTCCGTCAGCTGAGCACCCTGGCCAATCACGTGAAGATCCACACGGGTGAGTAGTTGACTGGGGTCAGCCGCAGATTATCTTCCATCTTGCACATCTCTCCTTTTTATGGCAGGTGAAAAGCCCTTCGAGTGCGTCATCTGCAAGAAGCAGTTCCGTCAGTCCAGCACGCTCAACAACCACATAAAGATCCATGTGATGGACAAGGTCTACGTTCCTGTCAAGATCAAAACGGAGGAGGAGGAGGGGTGACTGGGACGGATGGCGTTGGCGGCACACCACCATCAGCACCAGCAGCAGCAGCAGCACCATCACCAGCAGCAGCCTCCGCCTCCGCCCAGCAGTGTTGTCCTGTCAGGACACCACCACCACCAGCAACATCAACAGCAACCGCACCAGCACCACCAGCAGCAGCCTCCGCCACCGTCCCAACAGCAGCCACAGCAGCAGCACCTGCAGGACGGCTCGCCGCACCACCAACACCACTTTAATGTGGCCGCTCTTGGGGATTTGTCCGGTGCAATGCAGCTAGGCACGGTGACAGCGGACGGCAGCTTTGTGACCATGGGCGGTGTGGTGGTGGGCCGCATCCAGCATACGCGCGAGGAGCTGCAGCAGCTGGGAGTGATCAAGGTCGAATCGCCATCGAATGGCGTGACGACAGCCACAACGTCAGCGGCTGCGGCGTCGACGCAGCGCGAGGGATGAGTCGATGAGCTGCTCCTCGAGTACATGCTCAAGGAGGAGACTGTGGATGAGGATGAGGAGGAGGAGGAGGATGTGGAGCAGCAGCAGGAGGAGGATCCTGAGCAAGAGGAGCAGCAATCATCGATCCGAAAGTGAGCCAGGTTTTGGTGTGTACGCTTACGTTGTTGTTAGTTGTTTAATTGTAGCGAAACATTGTTGTTGTTGTTAAGGTTTAAATGTGTGACGTAAGAACTTACCAAGATGAATGTATAGCAAACGCTTCAAAAGTAGCTAACCGAAACCAAGCAACCAATCCAGAGCACCCAGAGAGAGCTCCCGCATAGCCGCAAGACAGAAGTCCCTAAAGTCTAAGCTAAAACTAGAACCCCGCAGCAAAAAGACCTCTCAACAGAAATAGAATAAAGCACACTCTCTCCTACTCACTTAAAAGTAATCCTAACCGTTAACTGTAACTAGGAGCAACTCTAGATGAAAACTAAAAATTGCTTAAAAAAAAAAACAAGGAAATACTTAACACAAGATAAGCTAAAAGTCATTGCGTGTAAGTTGAGATGAACGAACGAAGGCGGACAGGCTGAGCTTCACAAAGTGGCAAATACGTTTCAAATTTTAAATTTGTTAATCCAACACTCACTTTTAAACTGTTTTTATTAGACCTTTAACGTTTAAGGGCAATTGTTTTACACACTCGCTGACTTAGTCAGGCGGTGGCCGATTCTTGTGAGGCGATTTTTACCGAGCTTGGGGGCCTACACAAATTCAATTTGTTTTAACGGAAATTCCTAGCTTAATTATTTAATTGCAAAGAAAATTCTAATAGTCGGTAAGCGTGGTCGAAAATAACCTAATTTCGTAGTCCCTAAAGAGCCATAGTTTTAAAAGAGCAGCGTTTTGTTAATTTTAATTGATTTTAGTCCTGGTAGTTTTAATTTCTACATCCTGGCATCGATTGGAGCACCCACACAAGGCCCTTGTCTAATATTAGTTAATGAAGTAAACGCAAACTAATTAATTCTTAATTAATTACGACCATAAGTTCTGTACAAAAAACGCCCAACTCCAATTTGTATATGTATAAAGACCGAGATAGAGAGCGAGGAGAGCGGCGTAGGCGAAGTTAAGAAAAGAGTTTAACTAAATTGTAAAAACAAAAACAAGAAATCCTTTTTAAAAAGATGAAAATAATATATTTTCTAAAAATACAAAACTGCGACTTTTTATGATAAACAATAGCAATACACACACATGAATTCAAGTAATTTTGTGGACAGATCTTCTTGGTTTTATAAGGTCTTTGATCCTACATATGTTACCCTTGGTTCCCCCGACTGACTATATATCGTGACTATACCCTTTCAGATCCTCTTTAAATACATTTAAAACCTGCAGCAGGGGCTCTCCGTCTCCTGCCTCAAGTTCCTAGAGATTTTAAAGCGCAACAAAAACGAAAACGAAACGAAAACTCTTAAATGTATACGAATCAATTGCAAAGCCGGGAAGAGAACGAAAACCCTAGCCTATATGGAATAAACAATAATAAATAAATGTTGATAAATGTGTAGTGTTAACGAATTGAAAGCCAGACAGCCCACATCCCAATATCCTGGCAGAGCATCCCTCTGAGGAACCATTAATTGCACACAGCTTCCCCTCCTTCCAATTCCTACCTTCCCTCTCCCTCTCCCACGCCTGCGCCTATTATATACATTACAAACATAAGTGACGTAGTGAGATTAGCATTTAAGAGCCTAATTATAATGATTAGTTGGAATGTGTAAAATGTAAAACCGCAAAGAATTTAGACATACAATGAACAAAGACAAGAATCGTTAGGCAAATGGAAAGCTGCAAAGGCAAAAACAAACAAGCAAAAAAGTGCTTAAAAACAAAACGCGATAATATTGTATAATTATACACATATATACATATATATTTATTAATGTATGTACAAGCGTAGTAGCTGTATTTATATATGTAAATGTGTACGTAATTGTGTATTTAGTTACCGCATAAATATATATATATATTTGCAACGGAGAAATACAGAAACGAAAACAATGGCAAAATAATGCATCTTATTCAAAACGATACCGCTGAGCGCTTCCTTCAATGAACTCTGAATAACTTAAACATGATTTGAACTTTCGTGAGCTTAATGTATACAAGTATGATAGCCTAGGATGCCTCCGATTCGTTGGCAGACGTAGTCCCTGGTTGTGGCATGGGCTCATCGTCGCCCAGGAAGGCGTTCAGATAGCTCAGCCAATCGGACACATCGATCCCCTCTTCGTTCTGCACCTCGTTCTGCAGCAGGCGGCGGAGGTAGCGCAATTGACGCACATCCTCGCCATAGCGCACGCACATCTTGGCCGTATTGATCCTGGCGATCGGTAGATTAACCTTAGGCCGGCCTATAATCACCTTGGTGTCCATGCGCTTCTTCCAGGTGTGCACCTCCTCCTCCATTTCGTCCAGCATGAACACCTTGCCCGTGTCGCCGGTTATCACGCCCACCGGCGTGGCGAGCGGACTGCTGGTCCGCGTCTGAATTGGCTGCACCTGCCTTTTGTTTTTCAGGCACTTCCAGAAGCCTGCGAGGTTCAGCCAGGCGTCGTAGTCCTTTAGCGCATTGAGCAGCAACTTGAGGTAATCCTCCCGCGACAATTGTTCGTCGTCCTCTTCGATTTCGCTCTTGGGCTTGTACTTCACCCACTGGCGAGCGGTGAACTCGTCGCAAACCTTCTCCGGACCGAAGGGCAGCTTTTTGGGAAAGTAGAACAGCTGCAGAAAGTGATCTGTGAACTCGTAGCGCAGATAGGGCTGAGCCAGCTGCGGAATGGTCTTCAGGTATGTGCTGATGTGCTTGGGATTCTTTGACTTGAAAATCTTGAAGAATTCAGCGATCAGCAGGCGGGTCTGGGGGCCCAGATGCGGAAATATCGCCTTGTTATCCTCATACTTCAGTTCCGCCGTGTTGCTAGCTTCCACAGCGAGGACTATTAGGCGCTGGGGGAAGTAGATTAACCATTATTTAATGTATTTCTAACTGGTTGCTCACCAGCTCTCACCTGGAGAATCCTTTGTCTTTCCGGATACATGGACTTGGACGCCGCCAGTCCGTACAATCGCATCACCTGACGAACGATGTCGGTAAGCCGTGTGCTGGCCGTCATTTCAAAGACGATCGATACAAACGGCTTGGTGTCCTCCTGAAAGAACTCGGACTCCGCCTGGCGCAGGCGATTGTGGTCCAGCCACAAAAGAAACTCCATTTCCAGGATCCAGGTGAGTATGTTAAGCACGTCGCACAGTCTGGCCAGGCGCACCGAAGCCGACATCCTCTTGAAGTCGTCCAGGCAGAGCTTGCCACTCAGCCAGTCGTACTGATGGACGTGACGCAGGAACACCGTCTCCTGCGACATGTTGGCGTCCTCCTCTTCGGAGTAATTGAAAACGAACTTCTCGTAGAACTTTGTGTTTTCGCGGATGTCCTCGTCGCTACACTGAGCCAGGTTCTCCTCAAGGAGATCCAAATAGAACTTTAGTTTCTGGGGTGTTGAATTATCCGTGCGCTTTTCCCGCCCCGCGGGCTTTGCGACGCCCAGGAAGTTGAGGTAGTAGGGACGCAGAGCCGTCCAGCAGGGCGGAAAGGCATCGATCAGGAGGAAGAAGGTGCGTATCAGCTTGTTGTAGGTGTCGCCCAGCTCCTTGACGCTCATGTCCTTGGCTATGAGTATCTGAAAGGAGAGTTAATCCAATTATTGCAGTGCACTAAAGCAACAGGGGTAGCCAGCCTCCCTTACCATGGTCATGTCTAAGAGCCGTTCGAAGATCCGGTCGCCAGGATAGACACACTGCAGCACCATCATCTCCAAGATGTCCAGGAAGGTGTCGTAGTGCTGACCATTCAGCGTAGTCCTCAGTGCCTGAGTGGCTGTGAAGCTGGGGGCGTCTGGCAGAATGGAGTTGCGGTGCTTGTCCACACACTGGCCGGTGTTGTGCAAACACTTGGGCACACAGGCGCCAGGCAGGCGGTCCTCGCTGCTCAAGTACAAATTAGAGATCAAGATACGCAGGTTCAGCTTCCAGTTTAGCTTCTGCGGTGGCGCTTGCGGGGGTGCCGGTCGCTCCTTGGTCTTCCTGCGGCGCGCCTGCTTTGTTGGTTCCGACTCTTTGGCATCCGATTTGGCTGAGACCATTTCCACATCCGAATCGGTCAAGGTACTTTTCGTCTCAGGAACTCTGCTGTCGGTCTTACGGCGACCCGTCTTATGGAGTTCCGTATCCGTACTGTCCTTTCCACGCCTCTTCCTGTCTGCGCTGGCTCTACTATGGGGCTCCGACTCCACGCTGGTCGGCCTGGCATCATCCCCAGATTCATGGTGAAAGGGAACCGTCTCCACGCTGTCCCGGCGAAAGGGAATCGTCTCCACGCTGTCCGACTTACCCAATAACGGTAAATTGGATTCCTTGAATTCCGTATCGGATTCGTGCACTTCCATTTCTACGTCCGAGGAGAAGAGCTCTCGTTTGGCCAGTTCGTTTAAGTCGAGATCCTTGTCGCTCTTGAGCGGTGTGTCGTCGTTGGTCGTCGACATTTCGTCGCCTCAAAATTAAACGAAGATAAAAGGCGCAATTTGCGTATTTTAGCCGGAATTTTGATGTTGAAAAGCAGCTGGCTTAAAACCGATATTTTCTACTATCGATTTTCGATTTTTTTTACGGATAAAATATCGGACTACGAATAAAACATTACGAAAATGTATAACATCGTAAAAAAAATCGTACAAATTTGTTTACACCGATCACAAAATCAAAATATTTGAAAATTACTTATTTTAAAAAGGTTTCGAATAACACCACTCATTCCACGATCCCATGAGAACAATCGAATATCAATCAATTTATCGATAAAGGATAAGGCTTACCAACACTTGGCGGTTGGATTTAAATTTGAAATTAACATTTAAAAATGTTACTTTTATTAGAAAAATGTTATACGATTTATTTTTCTACATTGGTTATTTTAATCCATGTATCATAAGCATTTAATGTTAGGTATTTAAATATTAAATGATTAATTTACTCAAAATCTAGTCCGTTTTGGCTTTCAAGTACTTTAAAATGAATATAATCAAATTCTCATTTAAAAGCCATTCAAAACTATTTCAAGAAACGGTAAAAAATGTCAAAATAAATATATATATTAATTTGCATAAATTACAGTTGCTGCCCGAAAAATAAACCCACGCATTAATATCATTTCGGACGCAAAAACGGACGCCTGACCGTGTCACTTGCACAACTAGACGACGGCGCACTTGGCAAAAACTCCAAATTTAGAATTTAAATATAGCAATTAAGCTGATTTATGCAGCCCCGTCCGCATGTTACAATAATTGCCGCTAACAACTCGAGTCTCCAAATCCGCGCAACTTGGTGGGAACCGAAGAGAATCGTGGCGCCGTTGCGGTTCGTATGCAAATGTGTGCGCTGAAAAATTGGACAACAAAAATTGAGGCAACTTTTTAAGTCGTACATTTTCTAAAAAAAAAACCGATCCCCAAATCTAGTGCATGATTAAAGGTGTATTTTTTCGGCAGTCCACCTGTTTGGTATTTGGCTTTTTGACTCCCCTACGTGTTAGCCGCGTTAATGAATTACCTTAAATGTCAATTACCAGTGGCTTTTATCGCTGTATCTCAATAAACGCCAATTATAATTGCTGCTCTCTCACACAGACCGACCGACTGACTGCCTGAAGGATTGTCTATGTAATTAACGACGTTTGTTTAACTGCCGCTGGATAATTGCAATCTTTAGGCGAAGTGCAATCAATCGATTTACAGATGTTTCTGCCCAACTTGAACCTGCCCGCGTGCATGTGAAATTGAGTTATTGGAAATTTGATTTATATATATTATTTACATATGTAAATAGGCCTGAGGGTAGGCGGTTCTTCGCGCCGATGGAAATTGTCTGTTGTTGGTGGCTAGGGTGCAGCCAAATTAAATTCCCGGCTAATCGCTGACATTTCTGGGGCAGAGCTGCAATTATAAAGGTGCGACTTCAGAAAAGGGAAATACGCATAACATAAAATTAAAAAACAAAATATATGGAGACAACTTTCGATTAAATTAAACAAGAAGGAGGTCATATTTTTCTATAAGTATTTTTATGTCTTACAACAAAAGAAGAAAAATAATCAATAGATTTAATAGCTAAACAAAGAATACATACATATATACTTTATTTAATAATATTTTAAAGTCAACAATCTACTTAATTAGCTTACCGAATTGCACCTTGGTGTAGGCCTGTCAAAATCATATCACATTGAAAAATAAACCCCATTCTATTACATGTTTTTTTATTTAAAGATCAACTTTAACAGCCCCACGACATTCAAGGTTTCCAGATATTACTTCAGATTTAATCGCTCATACGCCGTGTGGCCTTTGGCTGACTCCCATAAAAGTTGTACAAGTGCTTTGCAGCGGATCACTTAGATCTGCAGAACGGCCACCACTCATATCTATTGCCCCCCATCAGCCTTATTGGACATGCGTAAGTCATGTCAAAAATTTATTGCGTGACCATTGGCGGGAATACTTTATCATAAAGCGGCGGCACGGCTGCCAGCTTCCAGCTTCCAACTGCCGAATGGCCAGAAGCCAGAAGTCATAGCGAGTCCCAGTGCCAGTGCTTTAATGTACCAAAGTGCGAAACCGCCAGTTGGGCAATGAATGCATATAGAGAACATAAATCTCGCACCAGAGTCCGTCCAAGTGCACCTACACAGGCATTCGGTCCTGGCCAAGTGTCGAGGTGCCAATTAAGGCTGCTCACTGCGGGTATTTTGGATATTTCATGCGAGGCATACGGCTCGCTGCATAGATAATTTTTTGCGGAGCTCGCCACTGACCGAAAATGGACCAGGCCAGGCCGAGTGTCATTTGATTCTTGTGGCAGCCTGGCGGCGTTTCATGCGCCTTTGACATGCAACCAGGCTCCGGCTGCGATCCGAGCTCCATGCCGAGAGCCGGCACAGTTTACACGAATCGGCGGAAAGCAAAAGCAAAGGCAGCAAAATTACGAAATTTGTCGTCTGACAAAAAGCTTAGAAAACGATATAAATTAAATTTACGGTTTTGGTGCTCATTAAATGTTCACAACTTTGGGCCCATCGAGGCAGTTTTTTTTTTTCTTTTTTCTTTTTTTCCTTTGGTTGCAAAATTAGAACATCGCTTTGGGAAATCGCCAAAATGCAGTTAATTGTTTTTAGCTCTTGTTTTTCGTTCACTCGTTTGGTCTTCTTGCTTCTTTTTTTAGTTTTTGATTCAGTTTCGGTTTCGGTTTTCTCGCGATTGTCACAAATTGAATAATGTCTCAATTGAAAAGCGTAGCTCGGAGAACATTTAAACATTCAGAGTGTGTTTGCAATTGTTTGCCATACACGGTGAATAAAAGCGATTTTAAAATGGTTTATAATAGGAAATAAATTTATAAAAATTTGAAGGGGTATGAGGAAGGATTAAGGATTGTTTTAGGGAACAGCTTGAAAACTAAGGCTTCACCGCTTGAAATATTTCATCAATCTGCTCTGAAGTGAAATTCACTTGCTTTTCCAATTTAAAATTATATTTTAGATATTAAAAATCTTCTTTTAACGATAATACTATTTTATATTTGGTTCTGTGTAGCTTTGTTTTCGTCGCCCGCCACTAATTACGTGCCGATCCAGCATCGAAGCATTGTATAATCGTGCCGCTTGATATATATCCTGGCACAGCTGGCCCGCCCGGTCTGGTCCGATCCGATCCAGAAAAAGTGAAAGGCAGCCCGCAGAAACGCCCACTTCTCGCCGGGACACTCGCTTCGGCGGCGTCCGAATATAACTAGATTATTATATAATTGTTACCATTTGACTAATTTGCCTGTGGCCAGAGATAAAGGCCTGGTAAAAACGAGAAAGCGAGTCTGGAAAAGGGGCCATTTACCAGGCCAGCAGTGCCAATCGCTCCACTGACCAATATTCGCGACTGGCCGGCACAACCGGCTCCCAGCTTCGAAAACAAAACCAAAAAATATGGGTCACCCATAAGAGCGCGACGTGAGCTAATCTCCACACCAGATGCAGTTTTAATTGCCAAACGCCTGCTGCTGCAGATGGGATCTGCTCTTCGGAGGAGCAGCTACCTAATTCCTGGGATAGTGGGTGTACATTCTGCCCTGCAAGGAGCGAGAAGTCCTCTTGCAGTGGCTCAGTTTGCTGAACCATTTGATGTAACCCCTTCGTGTGTGCGGCGGGAGCGATCTCTGGAAGTCCCTCGATGCCACAGGTGATTTTCCTAAAACTAATTCCAAATAATAATTACATTTTTTCCTCCTAGGTTTACATACCCTTGGCTTTGGTGTCGGACTCCTCTGAGGACGCAGATCGCCGCCAAACGGTTCCTAGATTTATAACGGCCAGACGGGATACGCAAAGCATTGCAGAAACGATCTATTAAATCATACAAAATCCTACTTTAACAATTTATCGATATTATTTCGGTTCGGTTTTGCTGTGTGTGCTGCCTCGTTCGACCTGTTGTGTGTGTGTGAAATGTGAAATGAATGAAAATGCCACTGCCGACTCTGATTGAGTAAACTTTTCCCGCCTCGCTTTCGAGTGAGTGTTGCAATCCGGAATGGAGGGAAGCTGACCAGGCTGCGACGCGGTCCAGATCGAGATCTCCGCTCTAGCTTCAGCTCTAGCAACGTCCCACTCTTGGCTGGTGCAAATGAAAAGAAAAACGAAGCCAGAGCCAAAGCTGGTTTCACTCGAAATGGGCCAGAAGCCGGCGCACAGAGATGCCTTACATAATCGTCCATAGAAAAGCACACACATGTGCACTGAGCAAAATTTAATTATGATTAAGTAGAAGTTTTAATATATTAGCATTATTCAATTTGGGAAAAGCCAAAATTCTATATGCTGACTTAATTCACATGTCGAAGGCAATAAGCTGGCTTGGATATATGTACATATAGGTTCCATTTTAAAGTTCCAACTCAAATTTCAATTTATTTAAAGATGCGTTTAAAAATTTAAGAAATTAACTATATATTTCCATAAATTGTGTGCATTTACTTATAATTCTCAAGTTGTTTTTTGTTTCTTAGCTCTTTTAAAATAAAAGTCCTTAAAACTAAAACTCCTTGTAAACATAGTAAATGGGGTATATGTACATAGTATTTTTTTGAATATTCCTAGGTCTAAATTATTAAAAACTTATAGAATTCAACGACTAATAAGTTAATGAATAAGAAAGGAAGTTTGAATGATGGCTAGGTTCACTGATGAGCTTTTGTAGTGAAAGCGAAAGAAGGTTGTCTAGGAAACTGATTTCTAATCTCGAGTTAAGTGTACAGCATAAAGTTAAATAATACATTGTTTAAATCCAAAAACAACTAATAAATAAATAAATATTTCTATTTCATTCTTAAAGTGTAATGGTCACAGTGGCATGTGCAATTTATCTGCTCGCATAGATCTTTCCTGGCTGCCGGCTGCTTAGGACACCCCAGTTAGCAGACCCCCGTCTCCGGCTTCGATTCAGATCCAACAGAGGCCTGGACAGAGGCAGACATGACTCTCTGGCATGTGGCTTAGTTTCGCTTTAATAGAGCCAAAGACAGTGGCTATGTCCCCGGCTGACAGGCATTTGCATTGCGCCATTGGAGTCATAATGCAGTGACACATTTTGTTGCGTGTCAGTAATAGTCGTCGTCGTCGGGCTGAAGCCTAATGCCGCTAAAGGGCAAACGAGCTGCGTCTTAATTACGTTAATGGCAGCCAAAAGCCAAAAGAGATTCGCGCCGATCCATGTGCGATTCTCGTTGCCTCAGCCCCGACGGCAGGTAGTAGCAGCATTTGTGTAATCTTGGTAATTAAGCGACGCTTTCTGCGCACAACATACACACACCAAGCCATACTATAATGCTGTACACACACACAGACAACGGGTTTTCCCACGATAGCCAGTGGAGTGGCATAGAGTCCCCTGACTCTTTTAACTACTGTGCACAACAAACAGCCGGCGAGTTCCAGAGGCCAATGATATATGCATTTTTCAACCATTGCCAACAATGGCAGCGGTGCGCGCGCTTCGCTTATAAATTAGAAGCAGCCAAAATAATAGCCATATTTTGGTTGCCTTTTTGCTGGTTTTTATATTTGGTTTTTTTTTTTTTTTTGGTAAATTTTTCCCCTACTGGCAGACCCTCAGAAAAAGGTCAAAGCTTCAATGGTTGCAGCTGTGCTTGTCTCCGGTCTCCGGGGACGTGGACGTGGAGGTGGCTTATCTTGGCCATCAGTGGTTGTTCCATGTTCGATCGTTCGGCCAGTTAAACGGGAGAAAAAACTACATAATTTATTAATGTTATTATATAATAATATTAAAACTATAAATTATATTTTAATATTAATTACGAGCAAACTTACAACCAATTTGATTACTTTTTCTTCTTTTGTTCTTGCTTAAAAGGCTTGAAGGTTTTGCAAATTTATTTATAATATTTCTCTATATACTCTTGATATCTTCTGCTATTTTCCCACTATTTTTCTAGCAGTGTGCCTAACTAGCTGTCGTACTGAACGCACTTAAAGCGATTTCCCAGCTGAACAAATTGCGCCGCGATGTGCGATGGTCAATCAGGGATCGTGGCATTTAAGAGATTTTTCCCCCCCTCAGACTGCCCCTCAGACCATCATTTCATCCTCATCCTCATCAGCCATGAACATCGATGACGTCAGGTGGTGGCGAGCATTGTGTAAATGCTGGGAATGCTGCAATTTCTGGGCAGGCAGGCCCCAAACGTCATCGGTTGACCACATCCCGGCCAGAGCTGGACAGCAGTTCCACTTGGCTGCCGTTTTGATGGCCAGTGAAGCGCATAATTTCGCGGAAATGCTTGTGGCCACAATAAGGTAGGCATTTTCCGCCCAAATCCCAATCCCAATCCCAAAGATCTCCGGCTATATAAATACCAGGCAAGTGCGACATTTCACGCTTAGTATGCGAGAATCGGCGGTCTATCGATAGAGCCATGAAGAAGCGACGCGTAACCAGCCCAGCTGGAGATAGCTATCGAGATGGATGTGAGCTGGGAACCCGTTTGGGCTTCCGCATTGCGCACCGCAGAGGAGCACGCGCCGCTCTCAGAGATTGGCCCCTGCTGGCGCTAATTGCCGGACTCGGAATGATCGGCTCTTGTGACGCCGTCGGCTATTCCTTTACGCGCTTCGAGGGTCCGGTGGTGGGGCCGGAGCATCTGGTCACCGTCCACGACGGACGAACCGTGGACTATGTGGCGCGGCCCGAGTATAGCTTCGCCTATGGCGTTGAGGATGGCAAGACGCGCGTGCTGCACAACCGCAAGGAGACGCGCAACGGGGACGAGGTGCGCGGCGTCTACAGGTGAGTCCAAGACCACTCACGGCAGTGCGAAGATGAGGGGTGCCGCTGGCCGGGATGGGGACAACTTGTCAACGCATTCATTAGCGTCACACTGAGCTGAAATTGATATGGCGTTTTGTAGGCAATTTAATACCACTTACCATATGAGGCGAGGGTATAACAGGCATAACAAATTTGTTACTTTATTTTGAGCAGTTGCTTGCTTTAGTTTGCAAATTATTATTATTAAATATCGAAATAACTTGAAACTTTTACATAAATAATTCAATTAAAATATTGTAAAATATTATAATATTAGTTTAAAGTTTGCAACTCAGTCAAGGAATCTTTTCCGACCCTTAAAACTATATCTATTCTTAATCTAAATAAACAACCAAGTCGCCATTAATGAAATAGATCCAAATACTAAATAACAAGTGTCAACTTCTGTTTTTCAATTTCAAAAATATGTATTACTAAATTAAAACTAATTAAAATTAGTTCAAAGCCCTTTTTTCAAATATATTTTTACAATTTAAACGCAATTTAAACACTTTATAGCAAATATAATGAATTATGAAAATGCCTTGTTATATATTTAAGCTTAAAAATGTCACAATCTCCTTTTCTTAAGGTTTCCTTAAAGAATTTTAAAGATTTCTTTAAATGTATAAATTAAAAATAAATACTAAAAACACATTATTTTTATACCAATTACTAAAAAAATCCAACCTATCACCTCGTAAATTCATTAAGTTTCTCGTTGAATTAATATATTTTTTTCCATGGCCTCCGCGCAGCGTAGTCGATCCGGATGGCACCTTGCGTGTGGTTAAGTACACGGCCGACGATGCCAATGGATTCCAGGCGGAGGTCATCACCGATGGCGTGAAGATACTGCACGGTCATGGCACCGGGGGAGATGCCGCCGGCGGAGCGGTGGATAACCAGGTGAGACATGACAGCTCCGAGGGCGAAGAAGAGGAGGAAGAACCAGCGGCAGCAGCTCCACACCAGGGAAATGGTCAGTACAAGGTACACGAAGACTATGACGAGGGTGGTGGTCAGGCAGAAAAGGACGAGGGTGGGGAGGAAGAGGAGGAGGGTGGCGATGACCATCAGGAGTATGAGGGCAGTAGTGAAGAGGGCTACGTGGAGGCTGATGCCCACAGTCAGCAGGAGGAGTCCAGCGATGAAGATTACTAGAAACGAATCTCACAAGCAACTAAAGGAGTATTAAAAATATATTGAAATTAATTATATATTCTATAATGTGATAAAAAAAAAAAAAAGAAATAAAACTTGTAAAATAATCCACAGAAAGGGTAAGATTTTTTATTATTTAAATGAAAATTAAGGAGGTCCTTGAATTACTTTTATTTTATATACATCTTAATTACACTTAATTCTTTTCTTATAACGATTAGCATATTTAATATTATTTGTATAACCTAATTAATAATAATCTCTAAAAATAGCTTAAATATATCTACATATCCCACAATTATGCCACTTTTACTGGGACACCTTTGCATAATCCCGAAACTCCTGTTCCGAAAAAGTAAGAAATCTAAATAAACCGCTAATTGAAATATCTGGCGAGCTTATGCCGCCAGCTCGCCAGGGGTTATGGGGTCCAAGAGGTAAGAAGTGCATTTACGTAACCACAAAGCCACCGGGACAGACATCACCATCGACATGGACATCAACGTCAAGTGGATATCGGCCAGGCCAGACCAGTGGAGCGTGTGCGTTCGCCTCGGACTGCGACTTTGATTCAATTTTCAATTCGTTTTCGCTTCAGTTTTTATTTTCATTTTCATTTTCGCATGGACTCAATCAAGCGAAGTCAACGGCAAGTTTGTTGCAAGCACGGGAAAAATCGATCTACACACACATTCTCCCCCGTGTGCGTGCCGTGATCCACTTTGGTCTTCGGTCTGGCTTGTGGTTCCATTTCGTCACTCGCTTAATTTCAAACGCGCAAATGCGCAAAATCGCATTAAATGTGCGAAATGCAGAGATCGGGCTGCCCGCGGACCCGTCGAAAGTGGATCAAACGACGTCTGGTTTTGCCAGACCACGATGCGGTAATAATGCCGAAATGCCAGCCATTCGGACCAACTTGGCGGCGGTAATCTCACAATTGAGCCGGCGACAAAATTGGGCTGGCAGCCAGAAACCGGACCGGGCTAATTGACAGCCCCCATCACCCCTTTTATCAAGCGCTAATAACCCGATCTCAGTCTGATCTAAGCTCGATTGAAGCCCGATCTTAGCCCAATCGCAGGCCAATCTCAACCCCTTTGGCGTCTCATAGAATGAAAGACCAAAGAAAATCTGGCTAAATATGGTTAGCATGCGTCTGCGGGCAACGTGTAAGAATCCCCCTTGCTTGGAAATGTTTTAATTAAACAAAGTGTTAAGAAGCGGTAAAGGAAAAAAATAACATCTACATTGGTTGGGTTTCAAAATTAAACAGGTTTAATTTCGCAAATTTATACCAGAGCTAAATGCCTAGAAACTATCAGGAATTTATAAGGTTTCTGTGAATAAATAAGAATAACTGAATGTTTTGATTTTTTTATATTTTTAAATGGAAAATAAGAATTATAAATTAAAAACATAGATAGGGTTTAAAAAAAGTGTGGAAAAACTTGTTAAATGAAAAGATTCTATAATTTTTGAATTGTCCAATAATAAATGTTGCTCAACATGTTCCTAACAATTGGCTAGCAGTATGTTCTTAGAAGCATTTGCCTAGCAACATTTACTTTGATTTTCTGTTGTGGTATTAAATTTAATTCTTTTCATAATTATATATATTAAATAGTAACAAAATATTAACTTAAAATGGTACTTACATAATTTTATTTATTTTTTATTTACAATTAATATCATCAAAACTCTCGTATTAACCAGCCCAACCAAACAAAAGCGTAATTGGATCTACAAAAGGCTTTCGGAAGTGCAAAAGATTTCATAATCCCAAACGGATGTGATCTGGGTGGAAGTACATAGTTAACCGGATATACCCATATCCATTTATGGCACATTACGCATACGCAGCGTTGTGCAACGCCTTGGATCGCATTGCGTGGAATGTGCACTGCATTCACTTTCTAATTGAACCAACCCCGAGGCCCATTGTCCAGTTTGGAGTCAAAGATAATGCCCAAACCGAAATGTAACCTTCAAAGTCTCAATCACGAAAGAAACAAATATAAATCGCTTTGCCTACTGCATAAATCAAGCCACAAATCTATAACTGTCAAGTCATTTTAAGCCAATGGGTAAGTTTTTTTTTAGGAGAATGTAATTCAAATGAAGTGGGTTCGACTAGGCAGTGACTGGTTTAAAAAGAACTAATAAAACTAATAGTTTACTAAGTCAAAAATATCCTAAGAGCAGAATGAATTATATATTAGTTAGTGGAACTTAATCGCTTAATTCTGAATAGAAGAAAAATTGTAAATAATTCTTAATTTAGAACAAGAAAATCTGTATGAAAAAACTAATAAATTCTGAACAAAAACGTTTTACTTTCTATACAAAAATACCTTTATATTCCCTATCTTCCTTTAGCTCTATATACCCCTTAAAACCTCAACTTAGTCTTGTTGCAACCCTGCAAAGTGCGTTTAAATGTTCAAATGGATCCATTACCTCCTCCAAGACCCCGCCCAAAGACAGTAAACCTCCCACATGAGGCCATTGTCCAAACATAGGCAAACAAACTGCCAGATCGACGGGCATAAATCAAGGCAAAAAATGTTTGTTCTAGTTATCGACAGTCACAGCCATAAATATAATAAATCTTTGGCTAAGCGGAGAGATATCCATTACGACTTTTTTGGGGGATGGGTGGAGGGGGGCCATGCGTGGACAAGTGCAATTAACGCATGCAAACAATTCGGTCGATCGATCGATCAGCAAATGTCTCCTCGGTCCTCGATCGTGGCGGTGGAGGAGGAAATCTTAGTTCGACAATTGCGCAACTAAACATAGATCGAGGAACACAGAGACGGCGATGGAGACAGAGACGGAGACGGAGACAAAGCCTGTTGTAGTCAGTTTGCGATTTTTCCAACTGTCTTGTCCGCGCTGACCAACTAACCAACTAAACTGAAGCTGTAGCTGTAGCTGACGCTGAACTCTGAGGGGGAACAGCCTCTGTCAAAGTGCGATCGTGACGTGGCCAACTTGTTTGTGGAACAAACTCTTTTTTCTGCGGCTCGTTGGCAATTGTTTCGAGCGATTTTCGGCCAGCCGTGTAAATGTGTCGCCTTTAAAGCCCCGAAAAACGTTTTATGTAAGTCGATTCTGTGTCTTTGTCTCCGCTTTCCATGCTAATGGCCAGGCCCAGGCCAAAGTGATCTCTTATAGTGCGATCTGGGTTTTGTGTATTTTTTTCTTGTTTTGTTTTTTTTTTCTTCTAGCTTGGAGTTTTTTCCCATCGTTTGACCCGAGTGCAGTCTGCACAGTCGTCCGTCCCGCAACCGTTTGCCCCCGCATAATGGCCACTTGTGTGTGTTTTATAAGATACAATCATAATTTTCTGATATGTCATGCCAGAGCGGCGGCTGTTGGCTGTTTGTTTGTTGTGGGTGTTGCCTGAAAAAGTGTCAAAAAGTACTGTTTTTCTCGTAGAGTTAAGTAAGCTGGGAGTAAAATGGGAACTTTGAACTTTGATTGAGGTTTACTAAGCCCAGTTTAGTTTATTTCAAACATATGGGAATGCATTCCTTATAAGCTCTTTAACAACTAAGTTTTGTTTTAAACCTTAAGATATTTTGTATGATATAAGAATAATAATTTAGTCAGAAGCATTAAAGGAGTCACTTCCTACCCTATAAGCCATACGTTGCCAAAAATTCAGCAAAATTTGTATAAAAAACATTTTTAAACTTCGTATGAATATTTATTTATCAAACAATAAAAAATTAAGCAAAGAAAATGAATGGTTCTTGGGCTTTGCTGTTACATTTTTAAATTTAGGTTTTTCCACAAAATTGTGTATAAATATAGTTTTATGGAATTCTGATATTTATGGTCTTCTTGGCGGCATTTGATTTCTAAAAATCGAATTATTGCCAAACGACGATTATCAATTTCAATTAACTAATTAATTTAAACTGCCAAAACTTAGATATTAAAAATAATAATAAAAAAAATACCAAAGTAATCTTAAATTTTATGTTTTTCTATTATTGTTTTCAATATTTTATATGTTAAAGGTCACAGCAAGGCATATCCAAAATTATAAGAATAAATAAATACGTACTTAAAAAAAATTCAATTAAATAATTTATGTCTGTAATAAATATTTATCCATGCTTTAATAATATTCAGCCTAGCAAATAATACAAAAAGGATTTCATAAACCATAATAATATTCCTAAGCTTTGTTACCACTTCAAATAAAAATTTAATGACCGACAAAGTCATAAAAAATAAGTACAAATATTTGCTATAATATTTATAGACATTCCGCAACAATCTCTTATCCGAATTCCATCCAATATTTATCATTTCTGGCAATCTTGGCGACAAACTCATGTCTCATGACTCCGAAAGATATTGATCGGGCGGCGTTTGATTTGCTTAGAGCCCTGTCAAGCTATTTGCCAATATCGAAATTCCGCTGGCAGTTCTCCCCGAGATCGTGGTAATACTCGGAACTCGAACTGGAGTTGGGCGAAAGAATGTCGGGCAACGAATTGCGTGGCACAAACGCGGTACGCAGTACGCAGCACTTGCGGCGTTGGCGTGGTAATTATAACGACGCCCCGTTTGATTGCCACAGATACTGATACATATGGTAAATATATATAGTTTTCGACCGTGCCACGATCGTAATTATGTCGGCAAATCAATAAATAAAGAGCTTAGATCATTAGAGCCAAAGCAAAAGTGTCGCTTTCAATTGCAGCCCCGTCATCGCAGACAAACAGTCAGCGAAACTAAGTCACCGAACGAGCCAGCGAACGCCTTCTCGGCCCGCGGAACAAATGCCGCACCTCTCGCCAGAGATCATTGTTGTGGCACATGCGTGGTTCGGTTGGGCCTCAGTTTCGACTCCTTACCCCCCGCTCCCCAGCTGGCATCTGCATCTGGCATCCATGGCTGGCCACCCCCAGCCACCCGCCCGTGGCAGCTGCAGCCGCCAGATCCGAGCCGACACCAAGCCGTCGTCTGTGCAGTCGGGTTGCAGTCGTCGACGGCCGACGCGTATATAAATACTTTTGGTCATCGTTGCAGACATCAGTTCAGCTAACGATTTCGTGCTCTTAACGGTCCTCACTCGCTCGAGCTCTCCTCAGATACAGCCTCCTGCACAGGAATCAGCGTCCAGTCGTCCTTCGTCCTTAACTAAGCTACGTGTTCGCGTGTCGTGTTCGTGCTCGAAAAAAACACAAAATGAAGGTGTGTGCCTGTTCCCCCCTTAAAAGATAAATCCAAAAAACCCCTAGGTACCCCCAAGTGAATCCGAATCCCCGATCCTGACACTCACTTCTTCACTCTAGTACTTTGTTGCCATCGCTCTGCTGTTTGCCGCCGCCCAGGCCGTTCCCATCGAGCTGGGCCACTATGCCCCGGCGTTGGTGCATCATGCGCCTGTCCTGACGCACGCAGTCCATGCCGTCCATGCCGAGCCGGTGGCCTATCCCAAGTACTCCTTCAACTATGGTATCAAGGATCCCCATACCGGCGACATTAAGTCGCAGGCTGAGGAGCGTGACGGTGATGTGGTGAAGGGTAAGTGGTCAATAGTAAAATATTTGAAAAATTACAAGGTAGTAAAATATATAGATATTGAGCGGAAAGGATCATAAAGGGGTCTTAAAAATGTGATTTTACAATTATTTGTTATATTTTAGAGCACAAAAACAAAATACTAAGGATGAGTACTTGCAAAATTAAAGAACAAATTATTTCAATGGTTTTTATATTCCTTTTTTATCCTTTTCATATTTATTTTACGTTTTTTTCCTAATTTATTTGGTTAAATCTTGATTTGTTATCCAAAAACGAATGACTTAGGCAACGAACTTGAAATTATTCACCCGAAATAAATACGTAAAATTCTTTTCAAGTTGCTAACACAGCTTCTAGCATTTATATATATGTAGTGGATTACATTTTTTAAAGTTAGATTCAAAATTTAGCGTCTTAAAACAAATGACTTAGGCAACGAACTATCTTAACTATTAATAAAATCTCAGCCAAAGAGAGTCTGTTATTTGAATAATAATAATACATATATTTATTAATTTACAACGTAGTAATGTAGAATATTTCTTCTACCTTATTAACTTATTTATTAATTTATTGAATTATTTATTTCTCGCTCAAATTCGAAAAATAGAGAACAACTGGTTAAGATTTTCTATGAACTGATACAATTCTTTAACTTTTTTGAGAATATTTTAAGCTAATACTACTACAAATTAGGTTTAGACTAGTAATTTTAGTAAAACATTCATCTGTGAAGTTTAAAGTGTGAATGCTTTCAGTTTATTTACAATATAAATGCTATAAATTAATGATCATAACAATATTAATAAACGTATTTCTCGTCCACATTCAATTCTAATCTCCATATTATCCAAAATTCCCTATTCCAGGCCAGTACTCCCTGGTTGAGCCCGATGGCTCCGTGCGCACCGTTGACTACACCGCTGACGATCACAACGGTTTCAATGCCGTCGTCCACAAGACCGCCCCCACCAAGATCATTGCCCATGCGCCGGTGGTGCATGCCCCCGTCCTGGCACACGCCCCCCTGCTGCATCATTACTAAGCGAGCAAGCGAGGAGCCTGACACAGTCACCCCTTCTGGTGCTCTCCCTCTTGCTCCCAACCATCCACCACCACAACAACAACAACAGCAACTTCATAGGAACCACAAACAGAAAATGATGAAAAAACCACAAAAAAAAAATTATAAACAAACAACGAGAATTCTTTTGTAAGTAAGCGTAGCTAAGAGTTTAGGACGGGACCGCCCTTAGGAGGCGGAAACCCGGCACCCGGCTGATCCTGGCATGGCATGGACGAAGGAAAAACGAACGAAAAAGAAAACAGAAACATAAAGAAAACCAGGAAATCATATTCAAAGCAAATTCATAACGACTTGGCATTCGGAATGACTTGATCGCGGAGGACGACCCTGATGGATAACGAAGATTGGAGTTTTATTATTGGAGAGACAGAGTTCTTCCCATATGATATATGATAAATGTTATATATTTCTCTGTATATATATGTACGTACGATTAACCAGAACCAATTTCCCAAGGCAAACTTTTGCACGCCGACGAGAAATACAAGGATAATAGCGATAAGGATAAGCTGGAAGGGCTTCTCGCGGATAGCTTCTCTCCCCTATCTCTCTCTTTGTACATACTTTATTTATTTTCTCTGTCTTCCACTTTCCGAAGCTCAACTTTTGTAATATATTTATGTGATCTGTCTCTATCTGTTCCTTAACTATATCTGCTCTCTATTTGCTATTTCCCCTGGAAGCCCCGGGCGGTGTCTGGGCCAAACTGTGTGCGGAGGATCCCCGAACTGCCACGCCCCGAAGAGAGCTCGTGTTAGGGGCGTGCTAGCTCCCTCAGAGCCAAACTGTGTGCCATGGCGGGATCCCCGATGGTTTGGCAGGCGCTGAACACGCTGTACATATCCTGAAATGGCCGGCCATTGTGCATTAGTAGCTAGTACTCTCTGTAGTCCCTGTTATCCTTCTCGTGTCCTTATTCCGCCACTTTCCTCAAACTCTCTCACTCACTCAACTGTCTCTCTCTCCGTCTGTCTCTCTCACCGACTCACCGACTCACTCACTCTCAGTCTGACACACCTTTGTATCTAGTTTCATTTTTTGCATTTAGTATTTTTCACATTTATTGTGTATTTATAAACATTATGCAGCTTAATTATAAACGACAAACGATGAAAAAATGTACGAAAAAGCCACAAAAAAATATAATTAATATCATTGTACTCATTTAAGGAGGATAGACGAAAAGTAAACCACAACTCTCACATGTCTCTCACGTCTCAAAAGTTCATTTGAGCCTTACACTTATGTACTATATATTCCCCATAAACATTTGTATGCAAAAAACAAGAGCAACAACAGCAGCAAACAGCAAACGAAATGCGAAAAACGTTATTATGGAAATAGAAAAAGAAAACTAAAAAAAAAAAAATAAATAAAAAATCATATTTAAAAAAATATCTATCTGTTCCTCTTTCTTTGGTTGGCTTAAGAAATATCCACGAAGGTCGGCAAGATTAGCATGACGGGGCCATAATTATTACAAACAAAAAACGCGAAAATTACTTAGCATTCCGGTGAAGTATTTCTAATAAGGGGTTCGCACCCACTTGCAGGGCTTCTCCCTGGCAATTTGGGTTCTCGGTTCTTCAGTCTTGAATAGCGATCGAAAGTACACGGAACTCGTCGGCCAAAAAGCTAAAAACGAAATAAATGTTTATAAAAGTTTAAGGAAAAGTCATCAGTATTCATAATGGGATGTTTGTCCAATTTGTTTTGGCTTATTGTAAGTGCTTTGGAACAAAATGGCAAAGAACTTAAGAATTTGAAATAAAATCAATAGGTTTGAATGAGTTTAGGAAGTGAGAGTTCTGTAAATTGATGTATTAAAATAAAAAAAAAGGAAAAATATAGTGAAAATGTAAATAACATATACATAAACAAATAAAAAATACTTATAAATAACTTAATCTACAATCAAACATAAGTTTAAATTGCAAACAAAAGAATTATATAATGTAGATAATTAAATACACGAATATAAAATAAAACAATAAATAAAAACAACTCGCAAATGTTGCCCCAAATTCTATTAATTTTTATTATTAATATATTATCGATATATAAAAATATGTCTACATAATCTAGAATTATATATACTCATAAAACCTCATGGAATAAATTCAAAAAAATATAATTGGAGTGCTAAAATAATAAGGAAAACATAAATCTTGATCTATTTTCCATTACCTAAGCTTTAAGCTAGCGTTTAGTTATTTATTCAACCAACTAAACGCCCGAATATATGCCTTAAATGTTCCCCTATTCCCAGCTTGTAGTACTAATCACAAAAGTATACGCCACGTTGGCCAGTGCAGTGCCAGCAAAGAGCGAAGCCTATGCCAAGACAGCAGCTAAAAATGAAAGTGAAAAAGCCAAAGTTAGCCACTATTTTCTGCACGAGCCTTATGGTAGGCAATATATTAAATAAAAAAATTATACATTTCTTAACTTTAAACCCTTTTTTAATTGTAAATTATAGGTCCCAATACCTATGCCTTTGGCTATGAGATCGATGACCCGCAAACGCACAACACACAGTTCCGTGAGGAACGACGCTTCGTGAATGGCAGCATCCAGGGCAGCTACGGTTATGCCCGCCCCGATGGAGTCATCCAGGTCACCCAGTACACAGCGGATGAGCAGAAAGGTTACTCTGCCCAGATGCACAGCTTCAAAGAAGGCGATGAAAAGCTAAAGGCAGTATGGCCCACCCAGAGACCCGATATCCTGGTGGACAGAAGCAAGATGGAGTCTCCTACCAACATTACCTGGGATCCTAAAAGCCACCTCAATGTGACCGTGTCCCATGTGGCGGATCATGTGGCTCAGCAACTGAAAGAGCAGCATGGCCTCGACTTGAACCACATTGATGTGACTAAGGATGTTCTAAAGCCAGCTGTGCTCGATGTGATCCAGGGCAAGACTCCCAGCCGTGTTATGCCGGTTCAAAATGTGATACCTCAGCAGTTTCCCCTTGTTCCATTCCAACTGGCAGTAGAACAGGAGGTCAGTAAGGCGACCACCGAGTCCAGCAAGTCTGCAGAACCCCAGAAATCGGAGAGTTCCAAATACCACAAAGCAAAGACAAACAATGCAGAGAAGGCTCCGCAGGTAGAGGAGCCAGAGTCCAGCCTGCCACCTCCTAAGCCACTGGACAATGCTACTCCCAGCCATGCAAATTGGCAACAGCGAACAATTGAAGCGAATCGGAGGGAATTCCTGGCCAATATACCCGATCTAAGTGAAGCCAGGCCAAAGTAAATGTCCGAACTGCTAGAAATTCACTGAGAAAAAGTCTACAAAGATGGTTAAATTAAGTATAAAACTGTTTATTAATTATTGAAACATATGTTTAAAAGATAAATACGACTTCAGATGAGTATCAATTAAATATAGATTTAATAAATAAATATATATAGAAATGAATAAAAATTAAATGCAAATACATTTTAAAGCTCAAGGCTACGGATGAAAAATTAAAGAAAGTTAATCAATGGCTTAAAATAATTATAATATACGTTTGTTTTTTTGTGTTTTAAACAAGTGAAAATGAGTAACTTTCTTTACAAGTGCCTTATGAAGTTTATAATGTAGTGGTAAACATTTTTATAACTTCAAAGCTGATTGATATTAAATTATTATTTAACCAAAATTAGTCAAACCTCTCTAGGCGATTGGGTAAGCTTCTTTCACTTTTTATTGGAGCCAGTATCTGGGCCATAAAAAACAGTGATCGCAATTTAGCCATTAGCCCGAAAAAAAAGGCAACAAAAGAATTCCACACGCTGCACAGGCCAATTGAGGCTGCAATAAAGGTGAGACACATACACAGCATGGCATTTTTTGAATATCTTCCGGGTGCAAAATTGGTGCCGCCGCGTCTTGATCCCAATCTAAGTCGCTAGCCGCCTTTGAAGTGGTTTTATATATGCTTTTGTGGGTTAATTTGTGTCGCCCACGATGGGTTTGGGTTGGGTTTGGGGCTGGCTCCCCCACGGCTGGGATATTCCCCGCATTCAGGAAGACATCGGCCGGATCACGTTCCAGTCCAAGTGCAAATGGTTTTGCCATTAATTGCTCCAAATTTCCAAATGCGTTTCCATGGCGAGGCAAAAAACGGAAGGAAATGCGAAATGCATGTTGATTTCGGTTTCGTTGCGGCTTTCTTTGCTCGTTTTTCCCCACTATCTCTCGCATCCGATGCATATTTATGCTGATTTATTATTCCATTATTGCGGCAGCTTAAATTTGTGGCACGCACACTCGCCGTCGATTGCGAAATCTGCTGCCAAAAGCACTCCAAACACTTTAAAGTGTATCTGGTATTGTTTTTAGCATTTTACATTTGTTTATAGTGGGATTTTTATTGCCCACGAATTTGTATCGGAGGTACATTCACTTTTATGCTTGGCTGGGAAGAGTCCAGCCCCGGGGATCGGTTAGTATACATCTCATTTATGGGATATGGGATATGCTTTGATAGCTCGATTCTTGTGTTTTTTTGGAGTTCCATTATTTAATTACAATTATATGTTATGTGGTTTCTTAAGGGAAAGTTGGCCAGGCCCCACAGTCTCGGTTTATTGTATGCTAATTTAGTTGCTGCTACTTTTCATTCCATTCCAATTCATTACGTTTCGTTTCTTTCTTTTGCGGCATATATATTCATTCGGTCATTAACTAATTGCTGAGGCAATCGACTTGGCTTGCACCACTTGGGTGCACCACTGGGTGGCTCCGTGAAAGTGTGCTTGCGATTCGCTTCGATTTCGTCTAGGGCGGGACGTATACGTAATGTGAGCGAACTACACTACATTACGTAGCCGCACAGTGGGTCGCTACGAGTTGCCTCTCTCCTGTCCCAGTTGCACTTCAACTTCAACTTGAGACCAAGGCGTGGGCGTTGTCCCTGCGGCCAAACCTAATAAAATGCGTGATTTATTCCATAAATATGTCCACGCTGACAACTTGATTTGGGGGCTGGGAGCTGCAGCTGGTTTTCAGGCATATCAGCTCCTGTTTTCCAGTCCCGGCGACGGTTGCATAAATTTAGCCATTTTATAATCTCGATATGGCCGAAACAGGTAAATTTCATAATATCCGGTTCGGGCGCGCTTGAAAAGTTGTTAATTTGGCCACATCTTTGCGCTGGCAGTGGCAGCAGGAAAAACAAAACCCAGAGATGCCAAAAATGGCAGCAATTAGCCGGCTGCCGAATAAGGTAAAAGTATTTAACCTACTTTTCTCCGCCGAGCAAAAAGTTAAAAAGTAACAAGCAAAAGGCAAATATCGCTTTTCATTGTAGGAAGTTGCCGAGAGGGCGACACTCATTCAATTGGCGCTTAATTAATGAGACAGCACGGCCACAGACACAAACACACAGACTTTCCAAGGAAGTCGCCATGGGAAAAGCCCCGGCAACGCCGCCCAATTTCCTCAACGTGTGAAAATGGCAGTGGCACTCGCGCCGAAGTGAAATTAAAATATTTAACAATTACCGAAGGCCTGCGAATGCAAAGCGTAAATATTTTGATTAGTCAATGATACAATTAGAGAGCTGCAACAAAATCAATTGGAAAATTGCAGCGCGGCCGCGAGACAAGTCTCGGCAACAATCTTGCCACTTTTCCGCGTGTTGCTCCACACAGGCACACGAGGGGATTGGAATAAGAGTGTCCCAGCTGCCATATGATATGATTATGTGATTTGGCAATTTGCATTTAATTAATTTCTTCGGCTATTTATTATGTCAACGCCAGCAGCCAGCTGAAGCCAGAGACGAGGCTTAAGACTCAACTCTCGCGGGGCTGATGGGCGGGTGCAATTGCCGCCTCGGCTGGTTACAGCACCGAATTCAAGTGAATATTATTTGTTACCGTTGAAAGGCTTTTCAGATTATGCTTCGACGGCAGTTATATCACGGCCGGCGCTCTCCGCGAGTGCATAATCAAAGCTGACGGCTATGACGGCTCTGGATGCGATTGAATAATGAAGAATGCGCAGATTGAAGCTGACAGAGATTATCCAGGCTAATGTTCATTCGGGGGAATAGTATGTGTGTGCCAAGTTTGGGGCGTAAAATTTGGCATAAAAATTAAAAGTTGAATAAATAACTTAATAGAAGGTGTTGAAATATTAAATTGGGAATGGAAAACCATATGTTAAACAATAATTAAAGTTATACATATTAAAAGGATAGGATCAAGACCTTATTTTAAATGTTTTTATTTTGTTGTTATATTTATAAAATAATTAAAATAACAAAATGTTTTGAAATATCATTTAAACAATTGTAATCAACTAAAAAAGTATATCTAAGTGTGTCCGACTGTGAGATATACGGTATCCAAAGATATGCACATAACCATGTTTAATAATGTTATTTATGCTGTTTTTAAAGTGAAGTAATAAAGTAATAATAATAAATATAATAGCCCAAACTTTATCTGGCGGAAAACACAAGAATGTAGAGCTATTGTTGCTCAGAAAATGTTGCTAGAAAGATGGTTTTCCAGCATCCTTTTAACTCTAAAGACCGGGTATCATATATTTCTTGAAATATACTTCCCCCTGAAAACATTTCCTGTTTAAACTTAACAAACTCGTATAATTATAAATAATTATGTTAATAGTATTAGCAAATATTTATTATACACACGGTGTGACCGATGCATTTAACAAGCAATTATTTTCCACCAAATGTGTCAAATGGGTGGACATGTGTTGATATTTTCACCGCTTCAACTTGTTTTCCGAGCTGCTTACCACTTGCCGCTTTATTACACATACGCACTGTGTGACGGATGTAGAGGATCGCTGAGGAAAACGTAGAAAAACCACTATAGCTTGCTGCTGTTTGTAAGTTCAATGTGCGCTCGCAATTAGCAAAATATTTCTCTGCCATTTTCCTCTTGGCCACACACACGCATATTTCATGCTTAAACCAGGCGGGTAGTCCCCAGTAAATTCGTGTTTTATTCCATTGCCTTCAAATAAATTAATATAAATTGCCGGCAATCGAATGCGTTGGAATGCCCTGGCGGCTCTTCGAGTGTAATTTTCAATTACAGGAGTCCCAATCGCTGCTGTTTTTTGTATATTGAGTTGCGTAAGTCAAGCTGCATAAAAGGATAACCATTAAAAGAGCAACAGTGCCGGCAAAACCAATTCCCACAGCAGTGTTGTTTTTTTTTTCGTTTTGTTTTGGATTTGGGAAAGATGCACGCGTCGCTGGCTTGTTAAGTTGTAAGGTTTCAGCCGGGACTCTAATAAATATGAAACAATGAGACAAAAGTCAAAGTTTGCAGCTGATTGCCAGCCATTGTTGTTGTGTGTTTGCCAAACGATCGCTTCAGGTGCACTTTAAAAAACTGTATCAATAGTAATAATAATTTTTAAGTTATTATCAATCTGTTTGTTTATAAAAAGGTCAACATTTTCTTGATTCTTTTTTTCCCATTTACTAAAATCTTTTCTTTTTCTTAAATCAGAAAGTATACCATAATTATTTTGTGATTTCAAGCTCACATTTTTTTTTTACTTTTCTGAATTTATTTATGTACTCACCTTTAAGTTCACTACTAATTTCTTTATGTGTAACAAACTTTATTCCATTGTTTTGTTTTTATTTTTATTTTTTTGTTTGGGCCCCCGATGTCGCAAATGTATGCCAGAAATACATTGCGGCAGGAGCAGTTCGGCTGCTTTTGGCCAAGTTAATGCATGTACTAAATGTCTAACGGTAAATATGAGTTACTAGGTAATTGCTTGGTCTGCTTACCTGCAGCTGTTACATGCGCGCATGCGCATAACCAACAACACAGCAGCGCTTTGACTTTTCACTTTTGTGAGTGGGAATTGATTGAGTGGCCAAGAGTGCTCTGGGTAAAAGTAAGCCACACTCTGGCCAGGCCAGTGAATCTAAACTATGGCTAACCAAAAAATTAACACCTGCTGGCCAAGGCGCATGAGCAGAGCAAATACAAAATGAAATTTTGTGTGCAATTACGACGACAGTCGGGGGAAAAATATATAAAAACTATTTTGAGGCGATAACTAGCAGGCGAAATGAAGCGAAAAATGTTGCATATAACAAAGCAAAATTGGAGAGAAAATCTTAATGAATTATGGGACTAACTAAATACACTAGGGAAGACAATAAATTTATTTTATTTAACCAACTTCCCTGCGAAATTGTAATTGTAATAATACTTAAATAATAATAATAATATAGAAAAGACTGTAAGATATTTACAAACTACCATTCAGTTGCTATAAATATTTCATAGTATTAAAAAAATAATTAAAATTAAGTAGATTACCCTTCATATTCCCATTCTCCATGTACCCTCTATAAAAATTCCATTAATATATACCAGAAAATTGTATCAGCAATGCGTTAAATTTTCAGCTCTTCGCCGGAATTGCCAAATGCAGCGGCAGAAACGCTGCGGCTCATGTGTGTATGTGCTGGAATGCACCAAAGACGACTTCGTCGTCGGCCGAGTGTGAGTCGAGTGTGGCATGTTGACTTGCGTTATTTTATTTTTTCTTGGTCTTTTCTTGCACCTGCCGCAACGCCAACGCTGGAAAGAAAAAAACAAAATCAGGAGACGTAGACCCCAAATCGTGGGCCATAATTAAGCATTTATTTTATTTGCCATATTTCTTGTGCTGCTTCGGGATTTGTGGCGGATTGGATTGGTAATCAACGTGCAAACAAAAAATAACAGAAACGAAAATGTTTTGCTTTTCATCCCCTGCTTGGCGGTTTGTCATGTCTCGCAATGTTGTCAAACGTTGTCGACCATAATATAGCAATTAAAATTGTGTCTGCATTTAAGAGTACATCAACCCGAGATGTCATTTCGTTTCGTTTCGATTTGATCCGATTGGATTGGACTCCAATTCCACATCCACATCCACATCCATATCCATGTCTATGGCATCTTGCCGAGCCTGTGAATCGGGGCTATGCAAAGTGGTTGCACGAAATCCGCATTTAAACCAAATTATTTCTCGAGTTATTGGCAAACAACTTGCCTATGAACCAGATTGCCGATATGGGAATGGAATGGTTGAATGAGTGGATGATGGGCAGGAAATTTCGAAGCGTATGGTGTGAAATGATGGGAAAATTCAAAGGAATTTGTGAAGAATATTGGAGTTTGAGAGATAAGCTTAAAGCTGTTGATTAAGATAGACAATTACTTACTTACTTAAGAATTTAAAGAATTTATAGGGTCGAAAATTAAATCTTCATATTATTTATCTATTTTCTACAGAAATTACCTGAATTTTTTGATTATGATGTTTATCAGGTATTAAATCTAAGACTTAGTTTAAATTTATATATAACTACTTGAAAAAACCCCATTTATCTTACCTTTTTTTGTCAGCGACCTTGATTTTCGCTTCCATTACAGAAAATTACACCAGCTCGTAATGTTGCCGAAGAGCAAAATACCTTTCTGTCACTTGAGTGCACTTAACAAAACGACTGTCGCAGTCACAACCTTCGAGGTGAGAACCCTCAAATCGGAAAACTCCACGCTTCGGTGGCTAATTAGCGCCATCATCCAATTGCAAATTGACGAAAGACCCACTAAAAATTGGTTAATTTAGCCCGCCACAATGCAATTGTGGCACTTAACTTTGACTCCGAACTACAGGCCAGCCCAAGTATGTGGAACAATACTTCTGTTTTTCTGCTTTTATGCCCAACAATTAAGTATTACAACATTTTATTGAGCCCGCCAACCCGGCAGCCTGCAGGTCCAATTCAATTTACCATTTACCATCTACGATTTACGATTTAAGATTTACGAAAATCAGCGCATTAAAGGTAAACGATTAACCGGAGGCTGCCGCAATAGAAGGTTGCCTCGAAAAAAAAAACACACTTTGCCCAGCAGCAGCCACGAAAGAAATCATCAGGCCGAAAATTTGGGTCAAACTGCGTTTAATGAGCGTACTTGCAGAGCAGCAGCTCCACTGAGCTATGGAGTTGCAATGCAAATAGGCTGAGAGTTGGCCAAAACGAAAATTCCAAAAAATATTATTAACAAACGCCGGAACGGAACGGAGCGGGGCAATGTTGCAGCTGCAACTGCAACTGCCGATCAACAACGCCGATGACGACTTATCAACGCCATCGCATGCGTCACTAATGACACACAAAGAGTCCTGGGACAACAGGCACTGGGGGAAAAAATAAGTCCAGGGATGCCTTTAGTTGAAGAAACAGAGCTTGAAAAGACTGAAACAAACCTTAGAAAATATGTTTCACGATTGATTTGAAAGCACAGGAAATTTATACGTTTTGGGATAATTATTTCCCAAGAAAGTTATTTAAGAAATATGCTTTTATTGATCATTTTAACAAATTCCGAATTTCGAATAGATTTTCTTTCAAGTTTTCTTTTAAGTGCATTGGGCAGCAAACATCAAACCCCAAACAATGGCAAACAGCGAGGCCTGAACTGTTTTACATTTGGCTCAAAAGACGCTCCGCTCACCAAAGACGGCAACGTCGCTGCCCGAGCCACCGCCGCCGCCGCTGCTGCTTAAACCACCGCCGATCCAACGATCCACCGATCGAGTGAACCACCATCACTGCTGGCAGCCGATTCACTTTCTTCCTAACATATAAAAGCGGCGCATTTTCGTTGCAAGCACATTATTCAGTGGTGGAAAGTCGTTGCGTGCAGTCATCCTACAGCTACCTTTTGTTTTGTGATCTCCAAACAAAGCGCGAACTAAAATAAATTCAAACTAAAATGGCCTTCAAGGTGAGGAGAAGCAGCAGCAGTCAAGGATTAAGGATATCGCTTCCTCAGTGTGAAAAATGAACTGTAACAGAAATATCCTTGAAGGATATGCCAAAGCAAACAGTGAATTGGTGAATCAGTAATGGAATACAGTTTAAAACTTGTGCTTGCAAAGGATATTAGCTTAAGGATGTGGCTTAAAGTGTGGTTAAATTTAGAAATTTCCCAAGGAAGGAGTCAGGCAGTAATGGCTGCCCATATTACTAAATTTATTTTGTTTTAAATAATTACAATATACTAAATGATACAGAAACATCTACAAATTATTTAAAAACTCATTTATAGAAACCACAATTAAACTATCTGCAAGAAAAGGCCTAACAAAAAGTCCGACTAGGTTAATCATTTTAGTTAACAGCAAAACGACAGCTTAAAATTTAAATATTTAAATTTTGCTTTTGCTAACCGTACTCCCTCTGAGCTAACCAACTTATTTGCAGGCTGTCAGAAAACCACAAACTAACCACTAAACGTAAAGACAAACAATAAACTCAGCCGACCACAGCAAATAGGAATTCATTACGAATTCATTAGGGGAAAACCTCAAGTATTTACCTTAAATGCAGCCACTACACGGATAACTATGTACATTCCCGACCCCTTGAGCTCTTACACCCACGCGAATTGGCCACCGCTAATTGCAACAGTCGCCACTCGCCTCCACTTCGTTAACGGAAACAATTAGCCGGGCTACGGGCTTTGGGCTTCGGGCTCTGATCTCTGGGGTCTTGGGTCTTATGTCTTGAGTCTGGGCTCCGCTTGCTAATTATGCACCTGCCTTTTTGATCTTACAGTATCTGATCTTCGCCTCGGCCCTGTGCCTGAGCCTTGCCTATCCGCTGGAGCACCAGTACTACGAGGAGAGCCATGGCTATGAGCATTTGGCCCACCACGAGGCAGAGCCCATTCACGAGTACGGTCATCACCAGCTTGAGCGCATCTCTTTGGGTGAGGACCATGGACATCATCAGATCGAGCATGTGCATCACGAGCAGCCTCACTACGAGACCCACGAGCATGAGGGGCATGACGAGCATGTGGACTACTATGTGAGTTGGGAAAATATTATTAAGAAAAAGGGTTGCAGAATATTTAAACAAAAACATTAGAAAATAGTTAATAAATACGGGTTTCTGATGTTCTCAAACATGAATTAACCTTATTTCTTGGATCCCAAAATAAATCTAAACATTTTTTACAGGCCCCTCCCAAGTACGCCTTCAAGTACGGAGTCAATGACTTCCACACCGGTGATGTGAAGTCCCAGCACGAGACCCGCGATGGTGACACCGTCAAGGGCCAGTACTCGCTGGTGGAGCCCGACGGTTCCATTCGCACCGTGGACTACACCGCCGACAAGCACAATGGCTTCAATGCCGTGGTCCACAAGACTGCCCCAGTGCACCACCATGAGGAGCTGCACGATCATCACTACTAAGGAGGGAATCACTGCTCACTAGAGTTAGCCAAATTACTCATCAGCCGGAGGAGGAGAGGGACGAAATATAGGAGAAGGAGAAGTAGACGGAGAAGGATTATGAGGATCCACATCGATCGACCATGGAATCAGCTTCATATCTCGTAATTAGGACATCAGCAAACACACACATGCCACGGACCATTCGGGGAGGGACCTTCACTAGACTTCAGGACCTCCCTCGTGGCCATGCCCACTTCATTAACATTTTGTATATTGTATTTTATTCTGTGATAGCGAATAACTTCTACGTGTATCTTCCGCTTTCAACTGATCCTTAGTCATCACTACCTGCTCAGACGAATTTACCAATCTTTAAACTGTAATCTGTAATCTATAAACTTTAAACTGTAATCTGTTATCTGTAATGTATACTTATGTCTTCTCGTAAAATGTAAAACTTGTTACAGAGATCGAACGAACGAATTGTAAATTGTGTAATAAAGTGTGAATTATGTACTTTTTATAAAATCACAACTCACCCGACCACTGACCATAATTTACAGCAGCCGGGGCCAATCATTGAACTTGTACTCCTCAAGAAAATGGCTAAAATGTCGAGCCTGACCAACGGGTTTTGTGCGTTTCCAGACGTTAACGGCAATAAAGGCGATTGCAAGACATAGTTAGACATATTTTCCGGCTCCCAAACAAGTTGTACGCCGCCTCGTTTTGTTTTGACTGAAATTGCATAAGTCTTATTTGAAAAGTTGCATGAAATGCTTCCTAAATGTCCAATACAGGAGTTGTAGAAACCTGTGGCGTGATTTGATACATTAGCTATTTTTTTTATTGTGAATAAATTAAGAAACAAATAAGTTTTATTTTCCTGGAAGTTTAAAATTACGCGCCTTGGCTAGTTTGATGTTTACCAACACTGTTTAAAAATATCGATTGGTCATAGGGATACAGAGGAGCCTCGACTTGAAACAATTTAAAATTAGGCTAGCCACTGTATTAAATCTCTTGAAAATAAAATTACCGGCTATAGTAATGATAAATTTGTTCTCTCTTTTGAATGTTCATTTTTCGAGTTTCCCCTGTTTTTGGCTTACATTTCGAACACTCGACAACCCTATGTCGCTGCACATTGTTGATAAGAGAGGGCAGAGTACAGATAAATAAAAAAAAAGATCCAAATGAATAGGTAGCCAATGGCTGAAATATAAACAAAATGCTGGAGAAAAATAAATACGTTCCTCGGGTGAATCAGGTAAGCTTGAATTCCAAAAAGCCATCACTTAAAAGTGTACAATTGGACTTTGTTTACCTTTCAGATAGATGCCATTTATCTGAACAAGGACATTACCCGCCTTATCCGCGATAGTTTGCTGGAAAACCTGCAGGCCTTATCAGTGAGCATTTGGATTAAGATACCCTTGGGAAACCTCCTAAAGCTCCTCCTATTTCTAGCCCATTCTGTTCATCAAAATCCAACCGGAGCTCGATTTGCTCATCCAGTCGGCCATTTGGTTTGGTTCCGTGGGCAAGCGCTGCTCCACCTTTGGCCAGCAGCTGCTGGTCCTCGCCTACGATGCCGAGAAGCTAACCGTGTCCCGGCTGGTGCTCCACTTTGCCCTGACCGTCCTGCCGGGCTACGTGAAGAGCTGGGAGGAGAGGCGGCTTACCAGGCGAGTGGAGTGGTTCAGTCAGGCGATTACTTGGGCGGAAAACAGCGCCCTGGTGCTAAATATCCTCAACTACTTTCGGTTCCTGAAGACAGGCCGGAAACCCACGCTGGTGGATTACATGCTGGGCCTGGACTACATTAGTCTGAGAAATAACCAGAGGAGGGACATTGGCTACAAATATCTGACGCGCGAGCTGCTCTGGGGAGGATTCATGGTGAGTCTAACCTGGTTTTAGTTGTGTGCCTTAATATCCTATTGATTCATATAGGAAATCCTTGGGCTTGTGCTGCCCATCATCAATTTCCGCAAGCTGCAAAGGGTGCTCAAGTCCTGGGCCTTCGGAAAGCAGTTAACTGGTCGACGGTTGGAGGACAGAGACGGTGGCGTGGAGCTCCTGGCACCAAAGATGACGGCGAGCACTACCTGCACCTTCTGCGGGGAGCGTCCCACGCTGCCCCACCACATGGGCTGTGGTCACATCTATTGTTATTACTGCCTTAGCGCCAATGTCTTGACGGATGCCAGCTTTTGCTGCCCCACATGCGGGGCGACGTGTCCGGAGAATGGGGTCCAAAGTGTCTGATAGTTGGGTATGTTGTGCAAGTGATGGTTTTATACGTCTTTTATAATATTAAGCGAAAAGTGGGCTGTATTAAGGAATAAACAAACAAATTCCATACAATTCCGCCAAGTATTTCTTCGGTGTTGGTAAGCGGCGGGAGAGTAGTGTTGGTAGTGGTCACAAAACAGTTGTTATTTACAGGCACGGTGCGAAGTGGTGTGCGACGAAAAACTCAACTTTATCCTTCAACAAACATAATTAAAAAGCAAAAAGTATTTAAAGTGGAGCATTACTTACTCCAGAAGGTTGAAAAACTGCCAGTCTATTCAAAACATTCCTGACAAGCCCAAAAAGTAAGTTTAAAATACTCATTTTACTACCCACAAAAAGCGCGCGAAAAATAACGCATCAGCTGTTGCTTCTCCTGGCAGTGTTGCCAGCTGAATCAAAGTAATTAGGCAATTGCTAGAAAATGTTCTTAAATAGTCTACACAATTAATTAAGGCAGTAAATTTACATTTTTAGAGAAATTAGTATATAAGTAGATATTTTAAATAAGTTTTGCAACCACACCCCGATTGTTTTGCAATTTCGCAAATCAGCTGCCGCGGACGATCCGGCAACACCGCCACTTTGTTATTATCTCATTTTTTCTGCTGCGCATTTCGCCTTTGTCCGAAATTGTAGAAGAAAACAACTAAACGCTACGCCAAAGGGCACGAAAAGTTGCTAAAGACCCACAAACCAAACAAATTCACTTGCGTTGCGTAATTGTGCGAAGAGAACGGGAGAAATCATACGCTAACAGAAGCAGACAAAGGCCAAACAATTGTATAAAAAAAAGAAACAGAAAGTGCCTGAAATAAATAGTACTATTTACCTGGCAACCAAGTGCGCATATATTCGCTTGAATATATTCGCATTCCGCAGCTGATTTCACCAATCAAGGTCAGTAGGTGGCGATATTCGCAGGCGCAGGCAAACAATAACAAATAACAAACGACGATCGCCCCAACAGCACGATGCTCGACTTGGAGATCCTGCCTGAGAACTCGCTGGGCTGCGACGCCTGGGAGTTTGTCCTGGGGATGCACTTCTCGCAGGCCATCGCCATTATCCAGTCGCAGGTGGGCATCATTAAGGGCGTGCAGGTCCTGTACTCGGACACCAATCCCCTGGGCGTGGACATCATCATCAACCTGCCGCAGGACGGCGTCCGCCTGATCTTCGATCCCGTGGTACAGCGTCTCAAGACAATCGAGGTGTTCAACATGAAGCTGGTGAAGCTGCGCTACGGCGGCGTCTACTTCAACTCTCCCGAAGTCCTACCCAGCATCGAGCAGATCGAGCACTCGTTCGGGGCCACACATCCGGGCGTCTACGATGCGGCCAAGCAGCTCTTTGCCCTGCACTTCCGCGGGCTGAGCTTCTACTTTCCGGTGGACAGCAAGCTGCACTCGGGCTACGCCCACGGACTGGGCTCCCTGGTCTTCCTGAACGGCGCCTCGCCCGTGGTCTCCAAGATGTCGCTTTATGCGGGCAGCAATGTGGCCGAGAATAGGGCGCCGTCGCTGCCGCTTACCTGCTATCACCGACAAATGTACTTGGAATCGGCCAGCGTCCTCCGCACCTCCTTTGGCCACACCAAGGGCCTGAAGCTGAAGCTCTTCACGGAGGGCTCCGGTCGGGCATTGGAGCCGCGCCGGCAGTGCTTCACGCGGGAGCTGCTCTTCGGCGATAGCTGCGAGGATGTGGCCACAAGCTTGGGCGCACCCAATCGCATATTCTTCAAGAGCGAGGACAAGATGAAGATCCACAGTTCGAGTGTGAATCGGCAGGCGCAGAGCAAGCGGAGCGACATCTTCTTCAACTATTTCACCCTGGGCATCGATGTGCTGTTCGACGCCAGGACGCAGACCTGCAAGAAGTTCATCCTGCACACAAACTATCCGGGCCATTTCAATTTCAACATGTACCATCGCTGCGAGTTCCAGTTCCTGCTGCAGGCGGACCACCCGTCCATGAGCGACAGTGGCCATGCCCTGGTGACGCCGACGAAGCAGGATCATGTGAACATAACCGCCTACACCAAGTGGGACGAGATCAGCGGATCGCTGGCCACCTCGGAGCGCCCGGTGGTGTTGCATCGGGCCAGCTCGACGAACACGGCGAATCCGTTTGGCTCCACCTTCTGTTACGGCTACCAGGACCTGATCTTCGAGGTGATGCCCAACAGCCACATTGCCTCGGTGACGCTGTACAATACAGCACCGCCCAGGCAACCGGCGCAGTCCTGGCAGCAGCACAAGATGCAGGACATCCGTCTGACGGTGGCCTAGAGGCGGTAATTAAGCTGGGTCTCCTTCGCCGCTCCATGATGCTGATGCCAAGGGGCCGCCGCCCTTCGTGTTCTAATCCTTAAGCTACCACAAACGATGATCTAACCTAGGCGTAAAGTAGACACATATTATATAGTAATATATATATATACAGTACACGTAGATATTTCTATCGTAAGCTAAGCCAATCATCGGACGAACCCTCTGACCAGGTTCATTCAGCGGTATTCCATTGTGTTAGCTCGATGCGTTTCGATTTATTTCGACCCATAACTGACAATTAATTAGCCTCGTACTTTTAACAATTGCATGTCGTTAATATATATTTCAGTAACTCGTAAGCTCCAATCGTGTATCTCTCTTTGAAAAAGAAAAAATCAAACAAAAAAAGTATATAAATATAAGGTTTCGACAAGAACTTTGATGGTTTTTACTTGGGTTTTGTGAAACGAGTTTTTATTTAAAAAAATTTTAAAAAATTTGCTTGTTTTTAAAACAAAACAGGTAACATGGGATGCCCCTTAATTTTTTTTTTTTTTTTCTACCATACTTTTTAATATATTTTTAGTTTTTTATCATGAAGTCGATACATTTTGCTTTATTAATTCGACAAACTATACAAAAAACTAAATACAAAATTTAATTTAAATTTCTCTGAATTAATTTATATCCCCAAATATTTGTTTCAGTCACTAAAAATGCCCGAGGAAATCGTAGATCAGGAGAACCAGGCTCCCCAGCAGCAAGTGCAGGCAACCGCAGTTCCAGAATATAATCGGGAAATGCTGATGGACATGCTGCCCGTTTACTACAGGCGCCTCTTTCCCCACATGCCCTTCTACCGCTGGCTCTCCTATGGACTGAGTAAGTGTACCCTTCCACTCCAATTTTTCCACTACCACTCCTATACTATACATTCCTCCTTTAGCTGAGGACGGCATCTTCTGCAACCGTGAGATTTCGTTCACCCTCCACGACGATATCTACTTGAGATACCTGTGCTTTGAGAGCCAGGCGGAGTTCGAGAAGGAGATTTGCTTGAAGCTCCCCGTCAAAATGGACATTGGACCCGTGATGCACACCAGACCCAAGAATATTCGCACTGTTCCGGGTGGACTGAATCCAGTTCAGCGCGAACTGGTCTTCGATATCGATATGACGGACTACGATCCGGTGCGCACCTGCTGCTCCGAGGCGGAAGTGTGCCAGAAGTGCTGGAAGTTCATGGTGCTGGCCGCCAGGATTCTGGATGTTGCGTTGCGCGAGGACTTTGGCTTTGAGCACATACTCTGGGTCTTCTCCGGGCGGAGAGGCATCCATTGCTGGGTCTGCGATCACCAGGCTAGACATCTCGATGGACGTGGCCGCTACGCCGTGGCGGAGTATCTCAACCCCATCTCCTATGTGAGTTTCGGAGGTAAAAACTCGCCCAGATGCCCGATGGGGGATCGGACGCACCACAGCCTAAAGCGAGCCCTCAAGATCGCGGAGCCCCTGTTCGAGGAGATCATCCTGGAGGATCAGAATCTCTTTGGCACGCCCAAAGGAGTTACCAAGCTACTCCAAATGATTCCCGACGATGCAGCCCGCGGCGAGCTAGAATCCTACTTGCAAAAGAGCCTGGAGGACGGCGCCCACTCGCGGCTCGTTTGGGAGAGCTTTCTCAAGTACTCAAACTCCATGAAGACCGCCACGGCCAGTGCCTGGAGCCGAAAGCTCAAGAACATAGTCCAGGAAGTGCAGCTCGGACTGCTATATCCACGACTGGACATCAATGTCACCCGGGGTTTCAACCATTTGCTGAAAGCCCCATTCTGCATTCATCCCTCCACCGGCAAGGTCTGCGTCCCCTTTAGCGTTAGCGCTGTGGCCAAGTTCGATCCCACTACGGTGCCCACCATCACCCAGCTGCTCCACGAGATCAATGCCTTTGACGACAAGAGCAAGAGCTACATGGAGGCGCCGGAGGACAAGAGCCGGATCAAAGACCACAAGAAGACCAGCATGTTCAAGGGCGTGGTGGTCTTTGAAGAGTTCCTGCGCAAGCTAGAGCGCAGCCACAAAGCTGCCAGTCTGCAGTTTTGATTACCTTTTTAAATTAATGTTTAAAGTAAGAATTATAATTTTAAGAAGTGAAAATAAATATAAATATTGTCAGTTGAACTTTTCCATTAATCTTTTTGATTACACATGTCGACAACGACTGTGTTATCAACACCAATTCGGTTAGTCTCCCGCATCTTGAATTTTAGCTTAGTATATAATATAGAACCGTTAATTAGTAGATCGTCAATTGCAGCTTTATCTTTATTTTGTGTTTCTGTATTATACTCATTAGGCTAGCAACAATAAATAGACTAGGCGAGGGCGCTTTCGCTCCGGATCCAAGTCCGGCTCTCACATGCAGCGCAATCGCACTAGAGGCACCACGTTGCCTTGGTTGTCCTTGTCGTCAATGTCCACCTCAACCTCCAGCTGGTAGAGTCCATCCTCCGGCGTCGTGCTATCGGGCAGGCTGGCCAAGATCTCGCTCTCGCCAGCGCGCAGCTTAAAGTTTGCCGCCGCATTATCTCCATTATCGCCCTGTCCCTCGTTGGATTGCGGCAAGGATATCCGTATCTTGGCGGGCAAAACACTGCCCCTGCCAAGGACCAACTTGGCGTTGGCCTCATCGTTCCCATGCCAGATATACAGATCATCTTCGGCCACCACACAGTCATCCTCCTTGTGCAGCTGCTGCTCGAGCGGATCAAGCAGGCATACGGCCTGAAGCGCGCAGCCAATGGCCACCACCTCGTCCGCCGAGTGGCTGTTGTGCAGCTTGGCGTCAGGGAAGCGGGCGCCTACCGCCGCCTGCAGCTTGGGAATCTGCATTGTGGCACCAAGCAGCACAATGTCGTCAATGCTACTTAGTCCCGGATGTTCCTTTTGCGCCTGCTCCACGCACTCGCCCAGCTGCTGGATGAGGTTGTTGATCACCGGCTGGATGAGGCTCTCGAAGCGGGCCCGCGACATCTGGGCGTTGAAGTCAACGCCGTCCATCAGCGAGTCAATGTAAAGCTGCGTGGAGGGCAGCGTGGTCAGGATGTGCTTGCAGTTGGCGGCTGCGGTGCGGATCTTGGCCAGCGAGCGGCGCGACTCGTGCGGATCCAGTTTGTACTTGCGGCGGAACTCCTCGCAGATGAACTGCACCAGGGCCTCGGTGAACTGGCGGCCACCGATGGGAAAGGGTCCGAAGGTGGCAAGCTGAACAAAGAGTCCGTTTTGTACGGCATAGAAGGCAAAATCGCTGTACAGGCCGCCACACTTGATGGTAAGGACATGACGGCGCTGCTCAGGCTGCTGCTCCTCGCCGATCCTGTAGCCCAAAACGGCCGCAGTGGGCTCAGCAATAATCTGGGCCACATGGAAACCAGCGGATTGGGCGGCATCCGCTAACAGTTTAAAAGCTGGGGCGGGATAGTAGCTGGGTATGGATAGAACGGCGATGGGCGCTTGATCCGCATCCGTGTGGTATTGGTGGGCCAGTTCGAGTTCAGCGCGCAGCAGCTCCACCGTCACCTGATAGGCGCTGAGGTCCTTGGTCACCACCCGGTCGTCCTGGTCCTCCTTTTCGGACGGCACCGTGTGCTCCATGCGGAACACCAGCTCCTCCTTGTCAAAGTCACATGGGATTTCCTTTAGCGCGCTCGTCAGCTTTTCCTCGGTGATCTGCTCCTTGGGCTGAAGGAGCTGAAAGCTGTGTGCCACCGCCTGGCGCGGCCTCGTCGCCATCTTCTGCTTGGCCGTGAGCCCACACTCTATCTCCGAAACGCCATCCCAGAGCAGGCAGGCTTGGGACACACGGTCGCCCTGCTTGTTGGCGATCACCTCGGCCTTTCCGTCGGCGCGCACGTGGGCGATGCACAGGGTGCTGTTGCCAATCTTGATGCCAAATCGCGGCCACATTCTTGGGGAGTGTGTCTCGGTAGCAGGAATACCCGGAATTTAGGAATAATTACACAAATAGAAACACGCACGTTTTTTTCCTGCACGCGCGGTAGTGTTATAGGGCAGTGTTGGCAAGTGGCTGTAGTGGTATCGATAAGGATGGCAGAGACTCGATATCTTTAAATCGAGTTCAAAATGTATTTTAATTTTCTGAACGGAACTATACAAGTCTTTTTTAGTTAATTTTCCAATATCAAAATATATCGCAGTTTGTATACTTATTGGTAAAGAACAGAAATGTCTATAAAAATGCAGATAACATTAAAAAAGATATATTAATATCAAACGCCTCAAGATAATGTTCTTTTTTATAAAATATATTTTCCCGAGAGTGCAGCATTTTTATAAATTAATATAATCTTTATATATGATATATTTTCATATCGATCCTTACAAAAGTGTTGCATTGTTTAACACTATTACCAAAAGTACTGCGTAACGCCGACAGCTGTTTTTCTATCGATAGTCAGCCCTAAATTCGACCCCGTGTGCTAACCAACACTGACAGAAAAATATGTAAACAAAACAGAAGGAAAATTGCAGAAAATTCGCGTAAAAAACCTTGAAAATCCCACTAAAACGGGGTTACAACAATGCTATAAAGTGCCACGGAGTGCCAACCAAACTATTAGAACGGGAGTGCTCTAAAAACCCAGATGTAGCTACACGAGTTAATGAAAAATCCATAGATATCAGATCACAATCGCATCGGCAGCAAACTGTTGACCCCGCCGACCCCACCATCAGCGCCACAACCACCCCAACCCCGCCCCACTGTCCCCGCGGAAAGTGGGCACTGTGTGACATACATGCGCGTGTGTGTGCGGCGCAATCAACGCCCCCAAAACCCAAGCAAACTGTCCCGATTCGTCATCGATTTACGGCGGAGCTAAAGACAAACAACAATGCGACTTCGCTGAAAACTGGACAAATTGAAAGCCCCGAAACCCCCTCTCTGATTGAAACCTAGGAGAAGCGTAAATAACTGATTTCTGTGTGTTTCGACTATTCCGAAAATGCGCAATACCTAGGCCCTTGGGAAGGGAAATAAGCAAAAGGCAACGGGACACCACGGACTAGTTGACAAAACAAAGCAAAATCCGGACCTACAGCAACCTTGAGTGTTGTCCAGGATGGACGATAATTTGAGCACCAAGAGCTCCGAGTCCTCTATAACGACCAGCGGCGAGTACGAAATAGTCACGGACAGCAATGTGGCCAGTCCCACAGAGCACGGACCGAATCGCAGGGTAATCAGCCAGGATCCAAAGACTTCTACGGAGGAGAAAGGCAAGAAGCCGCCCACTTCTCTGAGTGCTTTGGCCCTGTCCTCGCCGGAGGGAGGTGGCGATCGCTCGCCCACACTGGACATGGCCCACAATCGCAATCTGAGCGACATGGAGCACGAGATGACGGACGCGCTAAGGGATCTAGAACTGGAGCGTGGCGTAGGTGAGTACAGAGCGAAGTAAACTGAAAACATAGGGCCGTAGCAGCCACTTCCAGTGCTCAGTCACCAGCTGAGCACACATCGGCCACAGCAGAATTCCGTACAACTATTAGCTCCTAAGCCCGACAGCTGCAATCTTATCTGGCAGAGCCTCAGTGCTACTGCTGCGCTGTCATGGAAACAATCGACAAACAAGCCCCATAACACTTTCCACACTCCACACACACGCACAACCCGACTGAATTCCGCTCAATTTGTTACTTTTTATCGGACTGGCAATTGTCAATTAACATATTTGCTTGCAGCCGCCTCCGCTGGGGAGAAGAGCTGCTCGCAATCACGTCTCCCAAGTCAGCAAAAGTCCCTGACCTTGCCATTAACAGGCTCCAGCGGTAGGTCGCTCGATCCGGAGATGCGTTTCCCATGCACCCTGTTCTCGCCCAAGAGCGAGGAGACTCTGGACGATGCCTCCAGCTCGAACCGAGTGGGCCATTCGGTGTTCTACGACTGCATCGATGCGAGTCCCGCCTGCGTGGAGGAGAAGCAGGATGCCATGAAGCCGGAGAAGCCGGGCGACACCACCGACGAGGAGGGTGAGTTGGCTTAGAACTGGGGGAAGGTATTTCCGGAAAAGAAGGCAAACAAAGAACTCAAGGCCCACTCAAGCTGCAAATTAACTCCCATTCTTCTTGGAACAGTTTCAGAGATCGATCAGGGCTGCACCATATTCTCGGGAGTCACCTACCTGGGCGCCGCCAACATCAATGCCCCCAAGTCCGAGGGCGAGGTATATCGCATCATGAGCGAGCTGAACAGTGGCTCAAAGTCGGTGGGTCTCAAGATCACCGTCAGCATTCCCAACTGCTCCGACGGACTGGTGGTGTGAGTAAAGTTTGGAAATCCCTTTGAGTGACTAACCAGTAAGCCTCCTCCACCCCTTGCAGCCTGCACGATGCAGAGAGCAACACGATTATAGCCACCTACGAGATATCCAGCATCATCTTGTACTACCGAGGACCCGTGGACACGGCGGAGAATGGCTGCTTTGCCTTCACGTGGCTGCACGGCGATGCGCTGTTCCAGTGCCATATTTTCCGCTGCCATATCCCCGAGGCGGTCAACCAAGTCAGCGGTGAGTCAACATCACTCGAGTGTGATTTCATAGATTTATTTAAAACTCTCCTCCGATCGCAGCCTGCTTCCAGAAGGCTTTCCAGACGTATCCGCCCAGCATGAGTTGCAGTCTCAACTCGGCCGTGGACATGGCCAACTCGGTGACGTCGGACGTGAGCGGCAATCCCCTGAATTCAGCTGGCTACGAGTTTATCGTCTCCCTGGAGATACGCGAGAGGGTGGCCAAGAATTCGTATGCCGCCGTTCCCCGGGATAGGGGCTGCTTCAAGCTGCGGGCCAATACGGACAAGGAGGTGTGTATCACCGTCAAGCAGACGCCCTCAAATATCCTCCAGCCCTTGCATATCGAGCGCTGTTTCGGCGTTCTGGTGGCCCCCGGAAAGCTGGTGGTCCAGAAGGATATGCATCTGATCGACATGCACAGCATGGGCTACGTTCTGCCAGCAGCAGGAACAAGCGGCGCGGAAGCGGACAGCAACTCGCAGCAGAACTCCTCGCTGCCGTACGCCATTCGGGCGGAGTGGAAGGCCCAGGAAAAGGCCTTCGAGCAACTGAACCTTGAGTCGTCCAAGACCAATCTCACCGTGGCCGTGGATATCGTGATGCGCCGCATCCAGGAGCCCGTTCGATTCGTAATCGAGACCCCAGTGACCATCCAGTCGGCAAGCGAGATGCGCATCATGGACCACTTCATGTCCAAACGCCCGATGACGCTGCGCTTCTACTTGCACCTCAAGCGCACCGACGAGTCCAACTGGAAGGTGAACAGCATCGATCCTTCGGAGGAGATCACCGAGCAGCCGGCTGGGAACCAGCAGAGCTCCTCCCTGCTCAAGCTGGGCATGAACAATCTCTCCCGCATCGTGCGCAGCTCGTCCATAGCCTCCATCGAGGATGACTGCCCCACAGACTACAGCAGCGACGGGGATGAACCGCTGCTGAGTGGCACGGGGGAGGTGTCCAAGGATTGTTCACAGGACACCCTGGACGAGTGGGATCCCATACTGCGCGAGTGGGATGGCGAGAAGAGGCCCAAGAACCTGGCTCCCCTAGTGCGTCTGGGTGTGCCGGAAGCGTTGCGCGAGAAGATTTGGCAGAAGCTGGCCAATGTGGAGGGCAGGCTGGAGATGAACGACATGTACAAGATTCTCATCACCAAGGTGAGTGGTTCAAGCCTGAAAAATATATTCAAATTTTATTTGAAATATATTTACAGGAAACCAAATGCGAGACAGTCATTCAGCGGGACATTCATCGCACTTTCCCGGCGCACAAATGCTTCAAGGAGACGGGCGGTTCCGGCCAGGATGCCCTCTTCAAGGTGTCCAAGGCCTACGCGGTGCACGACAGCGAGGTTGGCTACTGCCAGGGTCTCAGTTTCATCGCCGCCAGCCTACTGCTCCACGTAAGTCAAGGATTTGCCAGCCCCTTTCAAGCTTGGACTAAACCAACTCCTTTGCAGATGCCCGAGGAGGATGCCTTCTGCGTGCTGGTGGCCCTCATGTACGACTACGGGCTGCGTGATCTGTACAAAGCAGGCTTTGAGGTCCTCTATTTGCGCCTCTATCAGCTGGAGCGCCTGATCAAGGACCAGCTGCCCAGGCTGCACGAACACTTCACCGCCTGCGGCATTGAGACGCACATGTACGCCTCCCAGTGGTTCCTCACCCTGTACACGGCCCGGTTCCCCCTCTGCTTTGTGTTTCACGTGCTGGACGTGTTCCTGCTGGACGGCCTGCCGGTGCTCTTCCAGGTGGCCGTGACTCTGCTGTCCATCTGCGAGTCGGATCTGCGGCAGCTGGATTTTGAGGGCATCCTGAAGTACTTCCGGGTGACCCTGCCCAAGAAGTGCCGCAGCTCCAGCCAGGCCCGCAAGGTGATGAAGCAGGCCTGCGAGCGAAAGATCAAGAAGCTGAAGCAGTACGAGGAGGAGTTCCTGCTGAAGAAGCAGCACAAGGAGCGCCTGGAGAAGGAGGCGCAAATCTACGAGAGTCGCTTCGGCGAGGAGCGGCGCAAGCTGCAGGCGGAGATCGAGGCCCTGGCCCAGCAGCTGTCGACCGCCAAGGAGCGGGCCGTGGAGAAGGAGAAGAAGCACACGGGCATCATACAGGAGTACAAGCAGATCATTCAGCGCCAAGAGCAGGACATGAACACCCTCAGCGAGACGCTGAGCAAGGTTATGGTAAGTAAAGGTTAACATTCATAGAACGTTGTAATGCAAACTTCTTTCTTCAGCACACGGTTTCCAAATGCCAGGCTTGCCTGCAGCAAATCGACGGGGGAAACGATAACGCCAGGTCTTCGGATGGCTTCGGTTCCATGCGGCAAACGGATGCCATGCGTAATGCCAACGAGCCGCCACTGGGACCTCTCGATCCGCTCAATGCCGCCTCGCAGCGCATCCGCGAACTGGAGCTGGAGCTGGCTCAGGCCAAGCTGGCCCAGGTGGAGGCGGAGTGCAAGAATCAGGACCTCAACCATCAGCTGAGCAACACGATCAGCGAGCTGCAGACCAACAACCGCAACAGCTGGCAGCCCTGGCTATCGAAGACCTTCAACTCGCTGCAGGAGAAGGTAACCACCCGTGGCGCCGGCCATCGGGACAATGGCAGTGGGCCAACATTCCAGTCCTACATGGGCCAGGCACCCACCACCCTCAGCGAGGCCAGCTCTCCCAGCGGCAATCAGGTAACCTAGAGAGGGTAGCCCCTTGCCTTGAAGTTTGTGAACATATTTTTAGTTTTCTATTATTAAGTTCTGGGTATTCCCGACCGAGAGTTGAGCTCGAGGAGTAGCCAAGCATTGCTTATCATTGTTTAATTTATATACACCCCACACCTTACTCCTCCCACCATGACATACATAACCGAATCTTTACTTAGTTGACTCTCCACCCGAGCCTTGACCCCGCCTGCTGTTTCTGTTAGCGCCTGAACATTGTTTGCTTATTATTTTTATTGATATTTTGTATTTCTGTTGCAAAAATAAAACCAAGCAAGAAATATGTATATATAGCATACTGAATCCGATTCTTTTGATCCCTGACACGGCTGCCCAGGAGTACAAGACCTTCGCCTTTGCCTCGGTGGGCGGTTCGCCGAAGTTGCCCCCCAAATTCCAGGCCACAAAGCTGCGCAACAGCATCGACAGCCTGCGGAATATTGTGGTGCCACTGGACACGGGCAAGTCCCTGGCCGAGAATCTCAAGCAGCAGCTGCAGCAGTAGGAGCAGCAATAAAGATGTAGGTGGCTCTGGATAGCAGACAGGCCTACGGCATGGACTATGCCCTGGTATTATTTATCATCATATTCGTCTATATACAAATCTATATAAGCAAATGTGCATTTTGATTTCCATATACAAGTATTCGAATTTTATTATTATTTGGCACCTTTGAGGCACCCCATGGCAAGGATCATATAATAACAAGATGCATAATGTCCATTTAAAAATGGAATGGCGTTACTCATCTTGTTATTATAAGATCCTTGGCCAGTGCGTTTCACACTGTAGCTTCAAGGTCTAGGAGCAACTAGAGCTTTCTTTACGTCCAGGTTCTTACAGTTTGATGCGCACTGGCGCTAAACGCTACACGTATAACGCTAAACCAGAATAAAAGTAACCAATAAAATGCTAACTATTAACGTAATTATTTATTCCCTTCGGGTGGTATGTTTATATATAATATAGAATACAAATGTTGAGACCTGTTTGCTAGTTCAATTTGGATTAATTGTGGTGGAAAGGATACTTAAATATCAACTAAGAACAAATAAGAAAGTTAACTCCGTCACGCCGAAGTTTGTATAAAAGTTCCAGCACATTAACCCAACTTAGACTAGTAACATATCTATATAACTGTGACCAGATCCCGACCAGAATCACCCCAGGCTTTAATACTATCGTTCCACTCGGCTGTTCCTTCAAGATTTTCACAATCACCAGAGCTACCTCAGATGAAGAACAGCCGTTGCATTCCCTCGGCTCTTTTCTGAGGCGTGGACACCGCCATTGCAGCATAGTTCATCAGCAGATCAGCCGACGAGCTGCGCTGGATGAGACGTCTCCGGCCACCGGCAGCCGTGTTGCTAAAGGATCTGCTACGCACATGACTTCGGCGGCGGCGTTTGGGACGCTGGGCCACGGCTCCAAAGCAGGACACCTGCTGCTCCGCCTCGCTCTCGCTTTCGCTGTGATTCGGAGGCGGGGGTATCTCCTCCATCGTCATGTGGGACTGAAGCGTCTGGTTGGAGTGCTCCTGCGAATCTCTAGTTATGGTTTCCGCCGAATCACTTGCCTCGGTGACGGTCAAGCGAGCTCGCTTCCCCACACTGTAGCTGGAGGGATCTCTCGACAGCTCCGAGCCAAAGTTGCTGCTGCTCCGCTCGTGTGGAAGATTGGTGCCGTAGCTCAGGAAGTCCGGGAATGGCAGGTGCAGCTCCTCGGCGGTGAAGGCCTCGGGGGAGGAGAAGGTGTGTCGCAGCCGCTGGACCCTGTATCCTCTTCCAGGCGGCACCTGTTGCACCACCAGCCACGATCGCTTCAGGTACGTATGCTCCGTGCAGTTGCTACCGATCTGCTGCTCCTGGTCCTGATTCTGGTTCTGGGTGGAGGTCACCAGACTGCCGGCTGTCGTGGAGGGCAGGCCTAGAGTGAGTGAAATGCTGAGGGAGTCGTCGACTTCCTGGGTGCACTCATCCGCCGTGCTACCGGGCGTCGTGGCTGGCCCACCGGCTGCGGATAGTTCACCCCCAGGGGGTAGCGGTGACGGGCCCGTTGAAACCCCCACGGATTGGAGGCGGACCCCTGGCTCCTTTGCTGCCGCGAGAGACGAGCCTGCAGCGCCTGCAAGTGGGACTCTGTGGGTAAGTTAGCGACTGCAGGGCGGGATTGGGGTATGGGTTTTGTGGCACCCTCAACTACCTACCACAAATGGCCGTGGCCAGGAGCATTCGCTGGGCCATCGTCTGGCACTGCTCCGCGTCCTCATTGGTGTCCGTGGCGGCCACAGCGTGGGTCATCGCTGCCGCCGACGTACTGGGCTGTTCCTGATCCCTGTCCAAGCTGCAGCTGCGATGGAGCGGTAGCACGGACTGCATGGTGCAGTTGCTGGGAGCACGGCTGCAGCTCCTATCCCGTGGAGGCGGACGACGTGCTCGCCGCTGGCGACGAGGCTCCCTCAGCTCCTGCTGCATTCCCACTTTGATCACTTCCTCGTAGTCGGGCGGAGCTTCGTAGCTGGGTGGCTCATCGGGCGTGCGATCCTCGTCCTGGCGATCTAGCAGTTCACTGATCGTCTGCAGGTGGCTCTGAAGCTCCCGCTGGTGGCGCGCCCTCACACCCATCCTGTATAGGATCACCATCCAACCGGAGAGAACGCCAAAGATGCCCAGCGTGCTGATGATAAAGATGCCCGTGGCCGTTTTGAGGTCCGGATACTGATCCATCTTGGGGAAGTAGTAGTTGGGCTTGTGGGAGTACCAACGCCGGTCGTGGTGCAAGTGCGCCCAGTCCTCCTCGCAGGAATCCGGCTCGTCGCTGCCATCGCCGCAGTGATCGAAGCCATCGCAATGGAGGCGGATGGAGATGCAGTGATTGTTCCCGCACAGGAACTCCGAACCAATGTAGCAATCTAAGTTAAGGATTTTCCTTTATGCCTTTCATCTTCTACTCTCCCAGCACACTTACTCAAATAGTTGAAGACGCTGTAGACAATGGCCAGCTTGGAGGACATCCCAAAAACACCGCGCAGGCGAATGTAGTAGCCAGCGAGAATGGGGGCCACATGGCTCTCCTTGCTCAATCCATTGTTCGGCCACATCACGTTCTCAATCTCCACGGCATCGGAGGTGGTGCCCTGCCGGATGGTCAGCTCGGAACGAGCGGCCATGCCATAGAAGTCCTCAACGCGCAACGAGATGTGGGTCTTCATCATCATATAGTTATTGCCGGGCTTAATGATCCAGATGCAGTCAAAGAGCCGGACATCCGTGGCGTTTTCGATCATGTTCATCATGGTGATGGCGCCCCCAGGCCCAGTGACCATTCCACCACAGTCTGGAGGAAATAATTGAAAAAGATTAGTGTTAATTATAATGATATTCTAGGTGATGTTTTTATAAAAGCCCTTTTCCATCATAATTCCCCGTATGTAACTCTTCACAATCCATGTTATATTCAAACCTGCCCCAACAATGCATAACCCACTCATCCCCTTTCTTGGCTTATATATAAACAAAGTACCCTTTGGGCAATGATCCAAGAAATCGATTGTCTTACTCAACAGGCCAACCCACAACAGTCACCCAGTTTCCACTTCAACGCCTTGCATTGACATTGATATTCGTCAAGAGTCCGAGCCTTCCGCCCATTTCCTCTGCCAAAATCAATATGACAATTGCCTGCAGACCTTCAAGTGCCCAACTAATCCGGCAATTATCCCCCATGTCACCATTCACAGCCAAAGAAACTAAAGCTACGCCCCACTATATGGTGCCTCCTTCTTATAAGATGTAAATTATATCACAAACAAAATAATATCATTTCGATTTTTGTCTAAATTTAATAAACAATATGATGTTAATGGAATCAGAGTAAAAAAGTATTCAAGGAACTAAGTAAAGATTAGATTTTAAATTTTGTTGAATACCTTTCCGCTCAATTATAATTGATTTAAAGTTCTATTTTACAATTCTTTTGAACTATAAATTATATCACAAACAAATTAATTATCTTTTGATTTTTATTATAATTTGATGAATGATTAACTTTCGAATCTATGAAATCAATTGGAAAAAAGAGTTAAAGCATTTAAGGAAGTAAAATTCTTTTCTGCTCAACTTTAATCTAAAATTCCCTTTATAGCTTTTATAGGAATAAACTCTTTAAATTGAAATGTCACCGGAGTATTACTCACCTGTATAGGGCACCAGCCGTTCGTCCTTCAGCTGCTTGGACGAAACAAAGCTCACCTCGGCTCGAAAACCCACTCCAGTGGCTGAATTGCCCCGGAACTGTAACAGCAGCGACTTTCCGCTGCTCACTGTGATTGGTGGCCGGAAATGCTCGCCCGTATACGAGTCCAACATCTGGCCATTGGAGTCAAAGATCTCCAGGGTAGAGGCCAGGCCCAGCTGGAAGTCGGTAAAGTCCAGCCGGACCTGGCAGTTGTCCGCCTCGCAGGTGAGGATGTGCTCGATGCCATAGTCCCGGGGATAGGGCATGGGGAAGTACGGCGTGGAGATCACCTGCGGTAGGTGCTTAGCATTCCCATTGCCCACAATGGACTGCTTGGGGGAACCACTTACTATCCGCACATTACCTATTAGGGGGAATATTTTAACTTAAACCCCAATAGAATCCCTCTAAACTTACGCTCTGAGAAGTACTGCAGCGAGAAGACATGGGCATTGGTGGCCCTGTAAAAAAACTTGAGCTGCAGCGTCCTGGTTTTGCTTCGGAAGACCTTGCCGTCGCCGCAGAACTCCTGTCCCGAGATGGTGGAGTCGTAGGGTGGCTCTGAGAACTGGATGTGCTCGCAGGGACACATGCTGGACTTGCTGCCGCCCGTGTTGCCGCAGCTCTTAGAGAAATTCGCATAGGTGAATGTCACCCGGATGACGCACTCGGCGCAGGTGACCAGCTCCAGGCTGCACTGGTACCACACGTCTCCCGCCACCGCATCGTTCTTAAAGCCCAGCGGCGAGCTCTGCTGCAAATTCTTGGATGCTGATCCTGGCGTGAATCACTGGGAAATCACACACACTCACCCGATAGGCGGTGTAGCTCACATTCCGGGCGTGCAACTCGCCAGGCGGACTGCCCAGCTCCAGGAAGTGCCGTCGCCCATCCCAGTGGTTGCATATATCCAGGTCCCGGTAGCTGTTGCTCGCTGGATACGCCGCTCCTGGCGAGTGCCAGTAGAACAGGCAGACGATGTAGGCCAGCAGGTAGCCATAGCCCAAGATATGGGCCAGCATGGATAGTATGTTCCTCCGATTCGGATCTTGGTCCCCTTCCGCTTGAATATTCGCCGTGTGCAGTGCCGCCCAGTGTTGTGGCACGACTGTGGCCGCCACATCGCTGGCAAGTGGCAAATCCAATAACGGCTGGACCTAGAAGAAGCCGCACAAGTGGGCCGGCCGTCCGCCCGCCGGTCCACGTAACGTGTCGAGCCCACCCTCGCCTCGACTGGGTTAAAGACCTCTTGAGTCCGGTATAAAAATACATTTATTTGAAATTGTTCTTCCGTTTTGAACGTTTCTGGGAAATGGTTTCGGGTTTTGGCGTCTCGCAGAGACAATGAACAGTGACACATGCATCGAGGACACAATACAGTTAGCCTAGGACATGCACAGCTACATGGACAAATGGAAATATCGTAGTATATGGTGACAAGGACGAGGCTTCGCTTGGTGGCTCCCTAGAGGTGCGAGGCCTGTGGCTCGCCGGCTAGTCACTTGGCGGCGGCGGCGTTCTTGGCCAGGGCTGCGCCCAGGTTCTTGGCCAGCGTGTCCATGAACTCGAACGTCTCCTGGTAGTCCTTGCGCTCCACAGCATTGATGCTGCCCTTGATGCAGATGGCCAAATCCTTGGTCATGGCACCGCCCTCGATGGTGTCGATGCACACCTGCTCCAGAGTCTCGGCGAACTGCTTCAGGGGCTCGTTGTCGTCCAGCTTGGCGCGGTGCAGCAGGCCGCGGGTCCAGGCGAAGATCGAGGCAATGGGGTTGGTGGAGGTCTCCTTGCCCTGCTGGTAGAAGCGGAAGTGGCGAGTCACAGTGCCGTGAGCGGCCTCAGCCTCCACGGTCTTGCCGTCGGGGCACAGCAGCACGGAGGTCATCAGACCCAGAGAGCCGTAGCCCTGGGCGACGGAGTCGGACTGCACATCACCGTCGTAGTTCTTGCAGGCCCACACGAAGCCACCCTCCGACTTCATGGCATAGGCCACCATGTCGTCGATGAGACGGTGCTCGTACCAGATGCCCGCCGCCTCGTACTCCGACTTGTACTGCTTGTTGTACAGATCCTCAAAGATGTCCTTGAAGCGGCCATCGTACTTCTTCAGGATCGTGTTCTTGGTGCTCATGTACAGCGGCAGCTTGCGGTCCAGCGCGTACTTGAACGAGGCGTGGGCAAAATCGACGATGGAAGCGTCAGTGTTGAACATGCCCAGGGCGACGCCAGCGCCCTTGAAGTCGTTAATCACCTCCTCGATGACCTGGCCGTCGTTGCCCTTCCAGGTGAGGGTGAGCTTACCAGGACCGGGCACCACATAGTCCACTGCCTTGTACTGATCGGCGTGGGCGTGGCGACCGATGACGATGGGCTTCTGCCAGCCGGTGACGAGGCGGGGCACGTTCTTGCAGATGATGGCCTCACGGAAGACGGTGCCGCCGAGAATGTTACGAATGGTGCCGTTTGGCGACTTCCACATCTTCTTCAGCTTGAACTCCTCCACGCGCTTCTCGTCGGGGGTGATGGTGGCACACTTGATGCCAACGTTGTACTTCTTGATGGCCTCGGCGCAGTCGATAGTCACCTGGTCCTCAGTCTTGTCACGGTACTCAATACCCAGATCGTAGGTGTGCAGCTCGATGTCCAGGAAGGGCAGGATCAGCTTGTCCTTGATCGAATCCCAGATGATGCGGGTCATCTCGTCACCGAGGACATCCACCACGGGTCCGGCTTTAATCTTCTGGGCCATCTGTGTGGGAGAGCAGACCGGCAATGAGGACTTGAAGGTGGGAAAGGGGGTTCTTATTAGCTATTATAATTATGTTAGGCGAAAAATGGAGTGCAACAGGCGTGTCTGGGCATTCACCTCGCTCACAGTGAGATTCTTCTTATTATCCATGGTAATCTTGAGTGGATTGGGTTGCTAGACACAGGCAAAATAGGCGAAAAGTGAGTAAAGATGATGATACTGACAGTCGGCTAAAGCAAAGTGAACTTTGATCCGGATAGATGGAGCAGGGTGCGTCGATTTTTGTTATTTTTTAAGAAAGGTGAATATTTAAGGGGTTTTCTTTAGAAAATATTAAAATAATTCCAATAAATTGTAAGAAAAGTGAACTTTGAACTTTTCTATCTTAAAGATTCTTAAATCAAATATATGTTTAAATATTATTTTTAAGCCTGGATCCTACAGTGCATACTGTTCTTCAGATAATTATGAAATAAACCAAGATCTTGGTTCTTTCTATTCTATGATCTCAGAAAATAGTCCCCTAGATTATTTTCTCATCCGAAATATCGATCCACCCTGGCCCGAAAACTTTGACAGCACAGGAAGTTAGATAGGGCGTCGAAAAGGGCAACGCCGGATGAACCTACCACGGAGCTGCTGGCGAAATTCGCCCGGAATACGGCACGGATGAGCTGCGGCTGCCGGTGGACCGACGTCATCAGAGCTGCGGAGCGGCGCACGGCAAACATTTTACAACTTGCGGATTATTATGAATGAATTGGGGGGACTGGAAACGAGAGACAGAATATTCAGCTTTGTCACCAACTAATAACAGATCGAAACTGACACTGAAAGCCCGGCATTAAGCGAAAGTCTCCGGACAAAAACTGTGCAGGCGGCTGGCGCGTCGTAGCTGTAACTGATAATTGTGCCGTTATTCGGTGCAGTTTTTGATTCTCCTCTCCAGGCGATTGTTGCGCAATCGGCGTAATCACAACGTACTAAATGCTCGCACTGATAAGATTTAGCTGACGGACTTTGATAAGCTGCTCTCGCAACCACACTCGACGCATAAAGTACCAGCTTTTAATTAATATTGCAGCTTGTAAATAAATAATAAACACTTAGAAATGCACCAGACTGGTAATCGTTATCGCTGGCAGCTGGACTTCTCAACTCGATTTGCATTGCGGGTGGTGGCCTCGCTCTCACTCTCTCTGGCTCTCTCTTTCAATTCCGCCCACTCGCAACTGTTGCTATTATCAGCTGGCAAAAACTTTTCCACTATTTGAAAGCATAAGCCGGGGCCAGCAGCTTTTACGCAGAGTTCAGGGCCGACTTGATAATTTCACAACAGGCGCGTGCTGGGATTTTTTGATTTTTTTTTCCATCTTGTCTAACAGCTGACCGATAACGATAGCCGGAGTGATGGCACTGTGACAGGTCACAGCTGATATTTTTTGAACGGGGGCGCCAACGCAGAGGCTCGCTCTGATTATCTCGAAACGTCTGCCTACCAAGCTTCTTATCTTTTCCAGTCAATGCCGCTCAATTGTACAACTAATCGCAATTGCGTGATTCTATTTTGACGTTGGTTTCTTTTCTTGATTCAATTAAAATAATGAGAGCGTTTAGCTTTGATTCCAGAGATTTTCTAAAGTGGGATACTACCTTCTTCAACTAGTTAATTAGCATGCCCATGGTGGCGCGATCGCGCATCACGCATCACGCCATGTGCCAGACCACGCCCACAAATGGGGGAAATAGAGAGGCGGTGGCCAAAGAATATCAATATTCAAGCTTTCACAAACGGTTTTTTGTAGCACATCTGTGCCGGCAGACTTCGAACACAAGCTCAACAATATCAAATTCCAACCCACACCCCCTTACTTCTATTGTATCAAAACACGTCAAAGATAAGATTCGGCATTGGTAAATAAACATGCAATGTCAGGGCGCAAAATACAGTGGACATAACTAATGGAGTTTTTAAGAGTAAATTGTAAAAGGGATATTTTAACTATGTATCTATGAATTACAAGTCAAACTTAAAATTTTCGAGCTGTAACTATACTTCTCCCAAATTTTTCTTTTTAAGATTAAGAAGTTAAAATTCAATCTACCATTAGATTCTAATTTTCTTTATTTTTCTAGATTTTGTTTGAACTTTGACCCAAGAAACATAAAATTAATTGTATTAACATGTATTCAGATGATTAATTAAATTTCAAAATATTTTATAAATATTTAAAATTGTATATCAACAATTAATGGATTATTAAATATCAGAATAATTCGCATATCAGGAATTCTTCACTTGAATATGCTAACGTCATCAGTTTCTAATCTCGCGTCACTAACCTTCTCTAAGATTTTCTCTCAGAATTACAAAATAATAAATATTTGCATAAAACAAATAAACTAACAATTTCCTAACTATAGATGTTTGACTGTATTGCACAAATTCCCATGAGATACGAGCCCTCGCCAGGGGCTATCTGGAGATGTTCTCGAACCGTCTATTTGTAGATATACAAAGTATTTGTGCTTTAATTAAAACTGTCGACACGATTCACGATTAAACTTTGGACGCCCGGCACCTGGAGACTAACAGGTGAAGGAGAAAAGCTGGTTACGTGTCTGTCTCTGTCTCCATAATTTATCCCTATCTCTTTCTGCTCTTTCACCTCTTTCTCTTTGCCTCTGTCTCTAGCTTATTTTCAGAAGAGACACAGGCACAGCAGCGAAAACCGGTGAGAGAAAACAAACGCAGACGCAGATAAAAATGCATAAAAAAACAAGACCGGCGGGGAAAGTTCGGCGACAAAAGTAAATAGTAAATAGATGGGGGCTAAATAGGTTGGGGCCAGGGGTTATGCATAGATTTAAACAACGTTAAATATTCACATTAACACGGCTCAAAGCCCAATGATTTGCATATCAGCCCAATTACGAATTCTCCATTTTATTTTTTTGCACACAGATAAATTGCAAGTCAGCGTTACGAGTGCAGCATAAAACTGATTGAGATAAGATTAGAGGGTGGGCGTGACGAGGAAAATTTGGAAACCGTGCTTTATGTAACCCCCTAGGACTCCACTTACCTTTCAGAATATTTAAACTGCCGGATTTAGAACGTACGAACGTAGAAAAGACCGAAAAATGGCGAACCACTCCCAATCAGACACAGCGACTAAGTGATTTCGAGAGCCAACAAATAAACTAGGGTTGTTGATAATATATCAAAATATCAATATATCGATATTTTTTGTCTGAAAACGATATATTTATATCGTGAAATTTTTTTGCCCAAATATCGAAATCATGATATTTTTTTTGATATTTTCCCCTTGGTCACTCTGAACTTCAAAGTAAAATGTCAAAACAAAGTTTTACATGCTTGGGGTCGAATTCTCGTGTAGAATGTAGAGTGTTCGAGAGCGAACAACATAGACTTCGGCAGCCTTCGGCAGCACTTCGGCTCCGTTGCAACCGAACCGAGAGAGAATGTGTTCGACTAAGTGATTTCGAGAGCCAACAAATAAACCATGGAGCCGCCAGGCAGTGGCCTGATGAAACGAAAGCGTGGGGCAGATAATTCCGTAGATAAAAACATGTTTCCCCCATCAGCTGTTTTCGGAAAGCTCTTTTTTGATAACTTTAAGCTTTGGCAGTATTTGTTTGTGGGCAGAAATCGCCAACATTCAGGTGATTCAAATTGAAGAAATATGGCATTTGTAACTAGTTTATCCTAAAATTCAGTAAATTATATTTACAAGCGATACAGTGCTGACATAACTTCAAATTTTTTTAGAAACATAATCGATTTATTTTTTAATCATCATTGATATACTTTTGTGCTAAACTATCACAAAAAAAAACATTTATAAAATACATTCTTTGGATCATTTCAAATTTATCAAATTATTTCACTAATTTGATAAAAAATTGTTAATGGATTTAAGAATTTTGAAATATTTTTAACAGCCTAGGTTAGTGATCGCATCTCTTCGATCATGCACCGTCGATAACAATATCAAGTTCAGTTTCTTATCGATAGTTTAGATAGTTTCTTAATGAGCTGTTTTGTTTTAATTCGAAACTTTAAGCTTTGGTTGAGAGTTTCCTGCCGGTCAGTTTTTGAACCTGAGCAAATACCGCCAATATTTGAATTAACATTTTTAATTGCAACATTTCGGGGGAGCTTGTGAGAGCCGCCTGCTTAGCCGTTCGTTTTTTATGGCGCTAAAAGAAAATCCATAAAATGTGCTCAAAAAGTGAAATGTCAGCTCTTCAACTGGCTTGACTTTAAATATGCAAACGAAAATAAAAAAAAACTAAAATCTGCAATCCGGTGGCGTGGCCGCTTTTAATGTGCGAAAGTGTGCTTGCCATCAAGACTTGAAATGCTACGTTCTGCGGCAGAGGTTGAACACCTGTGATCAGGGTTCACCATAGAGAAAGATATCTTGAGGAGCCACCCTGTAAATTTAAATAAATATATTTCATTTTTAAAAACCAGTTTAGGCAGAAATATTTGTTATATTATTGACCTCCATATTCGTTTTATTATAGGATTTTTTGTTAATTTATTGTGAAAATATGTGTTTCATTAAAAGCAAGGAAAATATCAATAATAAGAAAAAAGAGTAAAATAAATAAAAAAATTGTGTACATTATATGCGAGTATAATTCATTCTACGATTATTATTTTACAATATTTTTGTTATAGGAACTTTTTTTAAAAACAATTTGTACAAGTAATAAAGAAATATTCGTATGTTCTTTTCATACAGGTATTTTCTTTTTTAAGTTAAATTATTAAGTTTTGTGATTTGGTGATTAAGTTTTATTTGGATATCTTAAAGAATAACACAACTTTTGATAATTTAGTTCCAAGCTAAAGATACAAAGACCTCTTAAAATCCCTCTTTAAGTTATTAACTTTATTCTATCAACCCTTCTAATAAATATGAGTAATCTATGTCATTATCTCTATGGCTAATTGAAAACTAAACAAAAAAGATAAGGTTACATTTTCCTCCGTGCTCGGGTTTAGCCATCTCATTAAGTCTCGCACCCGTTGAACAGCTCAACTTGTCGGGCGGGGCCAGGCCAGAAAGCCAACATCAAACAGGCATTCCGGCGACATCTCGGAACACGCATGAAAATCTCTCGATCTTGGGCCTATTATTTGACATAAACTGGCTAGAAAAACTCGTCTAATTGCGCCGCTTTCTTTGCGGCATTAGATAAGCGCCGCTCAGTGCGTTATATAACCCCCAATTATAACGAGTCTTAATTTGTGCATGCCAATGCATTAAATAACATATCCCCGCCGTCCTCTCAGGTAAAACAAACGCGTGCCGTCGAAAATGTCGCTTAGACGTGTTGGTTTCGTTTGGGTTTGGGGTTTGGTTTAAGTTCGGATGGGTTTCTGAGCCACTCCACTAAAGCCCAAACGAAACCACCGACCATTAGCCATGTCAATGAACGTGAAATGGCCACTTGTTGCCACTTGCTCCGGACCGGGCACATCATTCACACATCGTACTCGCACTCGCACTCCAAGTTTCGTTTTGGCGCATTTTCGTGGCTTGTTAGTTTCGGCCAAGAGTGCGTGCCTGAACTGCCATATTGGCTAGTTGGCATTGTTAAACTATTTCTTTTGCGAGCCGTTATGTAAACAGATGGCAGAAGGAAAAATGCAGAAAAACGCACAAGAAATACAGAAAAGAGCCGAAAAAACAGAAGCGGCTGGTAAACTACTTTTCATTTCAGTCAGCGCACACTGAGGGAAATTACAATCTTTAAGGTTTATAAGATATTCTTGGCACATTTATAGTTTTGGTTGTCTATAAAACAAGTCTTACTTAACGAGACTTTGAGTTGGGGAAGCTTTAAAAACTTAGGAAAGTTGTAGAAGTAGTTTAAATTATAAATAATGTTAATTTTCAGATGTTACTTAAGTATTAAAATCATAATAATATAAAAAGTTTTAAAATCATAATAATATAATCCAATTAAAATCATATTTATTTTATTTTTAAATTTTAAATAAATTTAACTGGCACATTTCTATGCTAAATTCCTTAAAAAGTGTTTCTCTGTTTAAATTTATTTCTTTACAAAAATTGGCACAATCTAGTATCTCCTCCTTTTTCCCCAGTGTACTGAGGAATG